CGTCAGAAGCGACAGTCTAGCGATGTATAGCGCCTAGACCGTGTGTCATACAGTCCCTGATGATATCGAAAGTTTAACCAGTTTCAGTTATTCAGATTTTGCAATCCAGTTAGAGGGGTTTTCTTAAAATGAAAGCATTTTTTCTTTGTTTTTCCTAGTTTTAATTATAATGGTGTTCAAAAAATTCAATCTAATCTTGCAACTGAATTTCATTTGGTATGGAAGCTTTGGGTCATTCTATTTTCCAATAAAATGTTTGAGAAATGTCAAATAAGAGTGTTTTATTACAAGTAATTTATTTTTGGCATTTATCTCGAGATCTATACAGTTTTCGAAAAATTTACATAGGTGCAAAAAGTTTCCAAATTGAAAGGAGAATCTGAATCTATGTCTCTTGAAAGCAGAGGCGGCACGCAAAAAAGTTTTACAGGGTTAAATTGGGTACGACCCCTAAAATTCTATCACCCTGTAGGTATTCAAAAACGCTCAATAGCCTCAAATATTGAGTTTTTGAAGTGTATTAGGTGTACCAAATTTCAATCAATTATTCCGAAAATTGTAGGAGAAAATTCAAAAAACATAAAAATCTGAAATTTTGACACCCTGTAAATCGGAAACGGAGCTTCCACGCATATATGTTTGTATGAGATTTTCATCTTGAAAAAATGTCTTCTTCAAGCTGTTAAAGTCCTGCTACAAAACACTGAAAGACCCTGTATAATTTCACGCATCTTTGGACGGTTGGAGAACGAATCTGATATAGTTTACCAGCATAAAAATGAAGAAAAAAATCATTCATCGCGAATTGCCTTCGTTTTTGTCTAATGACACTTCTCAGAGACAAAAGTTGACATTAAATAGTGCGCTCCAAGATCCAAAAACAATTGAAAGTGCTATCTCAATTGAACTTTTTATTGTGTTAGACTTGTTCGTCGAAAAACAGCCTTTTCACGCAAGCTTCATGCAATCTCCTAGCAACAACCGTGAAAAAATTGTTCTTATACACACAAAATATATCAAAAAAGTACAATTTTTCTGACAGTTGTAGGAAAAGTAAATTTGTTAAGTTTTTGGGTATAGTTAACTTGCATTCAAATATTCAATGATAATAATAAATGTTTCGTTATGTATGAACTACCATTTCGTCGAATCCTAGGCATCAGAATATAATCCCCGAAACACGATCGTTGTTTATCGTAATAACACCCTGTATATTCCACTCGATAATATTTTCCCAGATGTCAGCAAAATATCGAAATCGATACTAATTACTGGCCAAACAACCGCCAGAAAGTGCCCTTCACTCTCCGTATATTTATCTCTCTTCCCGTTTCCTGCCCACCACCGTCGCACAGCTGTCACAAAAACCACCCCCTTTCTACCCACCCCTCTCACCCATCGTGAAGAAAATCAATGTTTGCACCCCCCACCAACCCCGTGCACCGTCGCCACCACCTTTGTTTGCCCTCCTTTACGTCAGCATCATTTTTCACCCCTCTCTCTCTCTCTCCATTTCGCAAGATGGCGAACGTGATATGTTGCGATTCGTGTTTTTCGATGATAAGTTTTTGCAACTGTCAGGGAATTTTACTCTAGCCTACTAAAAGCATGGCTTTCAAAGATGTTTTTCCTGTGTTGAAGTTTTCCTGCGTATGCGTCCATAATGTATCACGTGATTCACTGTGACCAATCTGTCAGTGGAGTTTGGGAATGCTCCGTGATCTTTAGAGTATGGTATGTGGCGCCCCCACACGGTCTTTTTAAGTATCAAACATGGTCGCGCTATTGAGTATCGATTCGCATGGAAGTCACTCCCCTTCAGCGAAAATAATGCGAATTTCCTCTAGGATTTCGCCAGGAGTTTTTGGGAAACAATGGAGGTTTGTGCTGTGATCGTATACAGATCTAGATACATCGAAAGCTATGATAAGTTTCATGGAGGGGTGCAGTTCAGTTGTATATATAAGTGCTGACTCAAATTAGGGCAACACACATTTTATACAATCAATAGTTCTCTTGCTTTATTACCAAACAACCTGCTAATCAACAAAGTTCTAAGCTAACAACGGTGTATCGAGTCTACTCTCTAAGCTAGCTACAACAACTTCTAAGGCTACTAGATAATTCAGCCACCGTACAAAGAGAGGGTATATCCGCTGAGGTGACACTGTCTTCTCTGGTGGTCGTAGATGGCCAAGACTGTGAGCATGTCCCGCCCAAGCAGTAACCATTGAACAGTACTGCTGTGACAGGACAATATCACAGGCTCTGCCGCTTTGTGTGGATGCTTCTCAGGCTGGCTGGGCAGGATGATTTTGATGCTTGGAGGGAAATGTCTGGATCGCGATCGCGGCCTACGTTCGGACACCGACTGGCGATGTCCTCGCGAGGGGTAGAGATGAGAGGGTGGGCGCTATGGAGACGGCGAGTTGCGCGTCGCGACGCCGTGGGACGCCGCGCCCCGTATCGCCGGTGCACGTGGCCCGACGGCGGGGTATTGATCGCGATGTACGGGGTGTTTCGGTCGCGGGGGCGGTGGCTGATGGTATTTTTCTTAGTCGCGGGTCGTGGACCTCGAATGTTTGACTTCGAAAATTCTCGGGAACACCCAGGTGGTCAATTTGAGTCAAGTGAACAAGATTGCCCATGGACTATATTTTTTAAAGTTCGGATTGAGACTTTCTCAAAATGAGAATAATTAATTTCAATATGGGATTTCAATTCATGGGTTGAGAATAATAAGAAGGTATTTCAATTTCGATCGAGAGAATTTTGGAAGCGATAGTACCCAAAAATAATTGGAAAAGTTGTATGTTTTGGACCGTTGTTTTCAAGATGATGTTATTAATAATATATTAAATACTGTCTGTAGGTTGATCGAGGAGGTGGTACATTCATTATTCTATATTTTTTGGGATTTTCTCTCCTCGTTTCTATAAAATAAAAATATGAATATTATTTCATTATACGTGTAGTGAGGACAAATTAGATGATTCACCCTAAAATGTCACTGCGTTTAAAGAATTTTCCCATCAGAGAGCCTACAAGAAAAATTCATTAGCTTGTCAGTGACAATTTGTATTGAAAAAGGTTTTGAGAAGAGAAATGGAGGTATCTAGAAAAAATATCAATTTTTCACTTAGCTTTGGACGTTTCAGGACCGAATCTGATCCCGTTTTCAACGTGAAAAATAGTTATTTGAATAGCAAATTCGTATCTGTCTTGAAACTTTTCAGTTCTCAGTGACAATTGGTGACGTTGGCAATCAAATGAGTTACAGGATGTTTTCATTTATTAATCTTGAATGTCCCATTTTCATTTTCAGATTTCAGTAGTGAATACCATGTTCTGTCTATATCATTGGAAAAGAAGATAACAACCAGAAGAGAAAAATCAAGGAATCTGCTTGCATTCTTCTGAACGGAGACAATAGCATTGCTTCGTGTTTTATTCTCGGTTTTAATAGTATCCGAAGTATTCTTCAAGCAAATCAAAATAATCAAGAATTGATGGGAAACCTTCTTTGGAAATTCGATATTTGAACTAATTTAGTGCAGGAAATTTACCTCTGATTTTTCATGTAATAATAACGATAATAATGAAACAATCTGTATAGCCGACAAGATTCAACAAAATGTAGGGTGATTGAAATATCTCAGTGATGTTTCAGTGTTCTGTTGTTTCATTTGCTTTCGGACGTAAAATTCAGCGGATGATGGCGGTGAAATATTTATTTCGGGTTTCAGCGAATAGAAAATCGATAGACCCTGTATACGAACGCTTTCGACCTTTAGGGCTGTATGGGAGTGTATGTGTAGGTTCATCGATGCTGCGGAAGTTGATTAGGCCATTCTGGATGAATTATTGAATGACTCACTCATGCCAGTGCGAGTGCCAGTGTTTATACACATTCGGCAGCTGATGATAGATTGGGTTCGGTCTTTTATTTCATTTGTAGACGTCGTACCATAAGTAATTAAATCCGATGAATGATGTTCGGTTTTTAAAATGGTTTCATTCTGAATTATACAGGGTGTCCCATAATAAGCCTGCCAAACTTCACCAGCGGCTTCTACGACCAAAAAATGTTCAATGAACATGGGTCGGAAATGATGTTTCCTGAATATTTCAGAAACGCTATGTGATGAACTGATGCAATTTGGTAAAAGAACTAAACTGTTTATTCTCAACGTAGTGAAAATAAAGCCATTCCAAATTTTCGTTCAGGAGTGTATGATTACCAGGGTAGGACTACATTAAATATTACCTATATACTCAAACTTTCTGTAGGCATATTTTTCTACAATTTAATCTCTGATTATGAAAATCCACACCTCTTCAACGAAAAAAAGGTTCTCTTATTCCATATCGATAAGATGTTTCATTTCCATTTCATAAATATTGTTACATCTCACATGCACAATTATGCATATATATAATGTTTCTATAATTTTCAAATCATAGTGGCTATAGACAAATCAACTTCTCTTTTTTCGCCAAACAATTTCATGAAGGCGCGTAAAATACGAAGACGATGATAAAAACCTACTCCAATTTTTTTAATTTTTTTTTTGTACAGCCACTCCGATTGATTGCAATGTTATCGATAATATGTGAGATGAAACAATATTTTTAAATCAACTTTACTCCAAAACGATACATCTGATCTATACGGAACAAGAGAATCTTCTTCTTTCTTTCATAAACCGAGATTATGTTAGTCTCACCATGAATGAAATTTTGGATTGATTTAATTTTCACTGCATTGGGCATAAAAAGTTCAGTTTTCGTACCGAATTGCATAATTTCATTATATGGCGTTTCGAGAATATTTGGGAAATATTCATCTTCAGGACTTTAAAAAGGCCTAGCTCCCCTAGGAATCATTTCTCGATTCATGTTCAAAGGAACTTTTTTTTTTTATTTTCAGTTGAGAAAGCTGCTTTTTTATCCTTTGGAGCGCACGAAAGGGAATCTTTATAGTGCGTCGATAAACTCACCTTTCTGTTTCTAGGATTGATTAGCAATTCCGTCATTTCACCTTGCGTTCTGTCTTTTCTTGTCCTGCAACAAATAAACAATATAACCTGAAATACTCCGATAACTACGAAGATTTCGGTATTTTCAAGTTCCTGCAAAAAGTGTTCATTTTAGTTATGGTGTTTTGAACCTGAAGTCCTTTTACTCTTCAGCGTAGAATACACTGGTGAAGAGAGAAAGGAGGGTTACTATTTGATGTTTGATGAGTTTTCGAATTTTTTGAATTGGAAAATATTTCTCCGATGTCGACTCAGCCCGTCGTGAATCACCCTGTACAGAACTAAGTACTCAATTTGAGTTGAATTTCAATTTTATCAATTAGAAATTACAGATTTTTTGTGGGATGGAGTTCCCTAAACCCCGATCGTGGTTACTCCTTTGGATTCAATACACGTTATAGCATTCCATTCATCATATACCAGACGGTTTTCGTTTAAACAAGATCTGAATTGTGATAACACATTTATGTTGGAAGCGGAGATTGAATTTCGAATACCTAGGCACGTTTAAAGTGATTTTAATTCATCGAATTTTGCACAGCCACATTTCTCGATGATAATTCGAATATCTTCCGGAATTTTGGAGATGGAAACCTATTTCTGTAGATGAAACTTCGTAAATGTTTTCATGATTCACTTTTGCCATTATGTGCTGTAATTTTCGAAATAATATGTTTATACTCACAAAACAACGTCTGTTCTGATGAATCCTTCGACTGTACAGAATGTTACCCAACACAAGTCCAAGAACATCAACGTCAAACTGGGTATAGTCTGGAAAGAATAATTCAAAGTAACAATTATTTAATTAAGAAATTAAGGAAAACATGATAATTGAAATCATCAGTCGTTGAATAAAAAATGAAAATGCCGGTCAAGGTGTCACTCGACTTATATGAAAGTTTATCTTGCAAAAAAATCACAATAAGAAAGGCTTCATCATCAAAAATAGACCTCTTTGATATTTGATTGAGGAAGTTAACAGGCGAAGAATTTTGGGAATTCAAATTCATCGTGTAATTGAATAGCGTAAAATATCTTTCGAAGAAGGTATAACTACCTCCCAGAAGGGAAAAGTCAAATAATGCAATGAAATCCCCTTCAAATGAGTCATTACTCGAAACCTTCTACAATTTAATTTAAAAAAAGTTGATGAGTCGCACCCTTATATATAAAGCTTTTCCACTGCACTCTGATTAGGGAAGTTAACATAGGAATTGGAACGAGAACAAAATAATCTTTCGATTGAGGCGTTTCTCGATCTCCTTCGCATTCCAAATGAAAAAGTAGAAAGTGAAAAAAATTGGTATCGTAATCGTTGAATGTACAACTAAATGACCTTCCAAATGAGCCATCACTCGACCTCGATCTTCACATTTCTATCAGAAAAGTTGATAAGCGCATTTTCCCTTCGACAATTACCGGACAAAGTCAACATATCCATATCCTCAACAAAATTACCTTTTGATTGAGGTATTACTCGACGAACTACACATTCAAAATAAGAAAGTTGGCACAGGAAAAAAATTGTATCACAATATTTGAATGGCCTGATTTTCAAAGTCAAACGAGAACATTATTTGACCTCCTACACATTCAAAATGAAAAAAATTATAGTGGAAAAAAAGATTATCTTCAGCGTTAATCCCACATTCAATTCGAAAAAGTTGATAAGTCGTATCCCGAACACCCTATTTTGCAAAGTCGGCATTGCCATCGAATAGAGAAGAAAATAACATTTTTAACGAACCGTCACTTGACCCACTTCCCATGCGAACTAAAAAAGTTGATAAGTCACATCCTGAGCGCAGTTTCTCTTCGACAGTGATTGACAAAGGTAACATATCCATTGAATCGAAAACATTATTTGTCCTCCTACACATTCAAAATGAAAAAGTTGATAGTGGAAAAAAATATTATCTTCAGCGTTGACTCCGAATCCAAATGACGGTTCGAACGAGCCGTCACTCGACCACCTTCACATTCGATTCGAAAAAGTTGATAAGTCGCATCCCAAGCACCCTATTTTGCAAAGTCGGCATTGCCATCGAATCGAGAAGAAAATAACCTTTTTAACGAACCGTCACTTGACCCACTTCCCATGCGAACTAAAAAAGTTGATAAGTCACATCCTGAGCGCAGTTTCTCTTCGACAGCACCCTGATTGACATAGATAACATATCCATTGAAACTAGTAATTATTTGACCTCCTAAACATTCAAAATGAAAAAGTTGATAGTGGCAAAAAATAATATTTCCAGCGTTGACTCCGAATCCAAATGACCTTTCGAATGAGCCGTCACTCGGCCCCCCTCCAATGCGAACTAAAAAAGTTGATACGCCGTTTTTTTTCTTCGACAGCACCGCCATGGGCGAGGGCAACGGGCTGATCGACCACCACGACCTCCACGGCAACGTGATCCCTATCAATGGCAGCCATTCGGGCTCGTCGGGCCGCAGCACGCCCAACAATGCGGGCGACCCCGCCCCTGGCAAGCTGTTCGTGGGCGGCCTCAGCTGGCAGACGTCCAGCGAGAAGCTCAAAGAGTACTTCGGCATGTTCGGCAACGTCACTGATGTTCTGATCATGAAGGACCCCGTCACGCAGGTAAGGGATTTTGTGCATTTCATCCCTGGCAAATATCATGATATTTTTACATAGTGTATCTAAATAACACCGAAAAAAATCAAGGGGTGATTCCTTGTGATATTTTAGGAACTAAAGTTCGTATAAACATGTGTCCTAACTTGCTTTGTTTTCGAGATACAGGGTATTGATATTTCCATGAACAATCTTTTTTCTATTCATTTCTCAATGCTCTTTTCATTAATTTCAACAAAACGTTGTGGTTTTGTTAATGGTAATATGGAGCTTCTTCTAGTGAACTTAGATTCGAAATAATATTTCCAGTGGCGTCACAGTGGGTAGATTCATCGATATTCATGGTGAATGTCATTGTACACCACCGGTTTTTCTGAGTTTCATATTTTTATTAGATTGGACTATTGAAATAATAAATTTTGTTTCCCTTGTGTGATTTTTGCATCTAGCTTAGTTTTTGAGGAAACAATAAAAATTCGATTTGACTCCAAATTTTAATGTAGGTGTTTTCAAGACCATTGAGATTACTCAAAAACCCCAATTAGATTCATTTTGAAATTTTGGGGCTTGCTCAGTCTCCACCCATACTGAATTTTGGCACCAGCCTTCGAAAATTTTCAAAACTGTTTATAGTTTTTCAGTTATATAGAAAAAAGTTAGTTTTGAGGATTTCTTTTTTTTTCTACGTTATTATTAGATACAGAAAAACCTAAAATACTCTTCCATACAACTTTTGATGATATTCAACGTGAGGTTATTGATTTCTATACAAGACGTATCGTAGAACCATCATCAACTTTTTTATACAAGGTGTCCGGAAATTATGCACAAAAAAATCGGGGGGGTGATTCAACATGAGAAAACATGAAATTTATTTCATATACAGCGTGTCTCACTTTAAATGGCCCCCTCTATATCTCAGTTATTTGTCATGCGATTCCAACTAAATTTGGTGTTGTATGAATAACCATCAATATGGTCAGTTTTACAGAGATGCACATTATTTTGGACAGTGCCGTACGTTTTTATTGAACTAAAAAGTGGTCGATTTTTCATAAAATCTCATTAGGCATTTTTGTACAGGAAATCTAACCTCATATTATTGTTGTTCATGCTTTCGAATCTCCATATGCAAAAAATCACCTGATCCCGAATTAACAGGATTGGCTTCATTTTTTTCATTTTCAGTCTCGAAGAAATAGTGACGTCAAATCAACTACGAATTTTGGAACGTTCAATGGCTCCGATAGGTGGAAAATCATGATTTGGAAGGAAAAACGAGTTATACTTTTTTTATGTTGAACTCACCGTTTCCGAGTAAATAATTATAACGTTCGCAAAAATGCTGTTTAGATGTGCCTGTTTTTCTGAAACCCTTCATAGGCATCTTATGAAAGTCCACATATGTGGGTTTGAAACCATGAAGAACAATATTATGAGGTCAGTTTTCCTGTGAAAAAAATGCCTAATATGATTTAATAAAAAACTGACCCCTATTCATTTCAATAAAAATGCACGGCACTGTCTAAAATGATGTTTGTCTTTGAAGAACTGGTCATATTGATGATTATTCATACCGATACAAATTTGGTAAAGATCGCACGACTGATAGCTGAGATATAGAGGGGGGGGGGGGCATTTGAAATGAGACACACTGTATACGTGGGTCCGGAAAAGCATAGTTTTCAAGATATATTTTGTTAAACTTGAAAAAAAATCGTTTTTCTGTGACGGGAAAAAAGTTTGGCATTTCATCTCTGTTGGCAGGTTATAAAATGTCACTTTTCATAAATTACTTTTTTTCCCGTGGAAAAAAAGAGAGTACTTTTTTCCCGGATATATATCACATATATTTACACTGTTGATGACTTTTGTTGTGCTATAGTTCCGAAAAATGAGTCAATAATACCGTCTCCGAGAAAGAACTGCAAGTCCTTTTATCTTCCATTCGACTTCGCGGTTACGTCTACACAACCACTAAATTCGCAATTTTTTGAAATCAAATCCCAAAATTAGACTGACAGAAGTGACATCAGATATTTGATTACTTCTAATGATAAAGATGCTTACAACGCAGGTGTCCCTACTGTTAAAAACTTAAAATTTGACGTCGATAATTATTTTCAGATTTCAAAATAATGAATCCAGTGGCGTCCCGGGGCCAACCCTACCGAATATATTTTGCACGCCACAGATTTCTTTGAATTCTTCATCTTCATATCCTATTGATCAACTAAAAATAATATATTTTGGTCACTTGAATTGTTTTGATATTTCACTTCGTTTCCATGAAAAAAAAATAAATACCAATTCATTGTATAAAGTGCACAACATTCCTTCAAAAATAGAGGTGAAAATAAATATGTGAATCATTGTCCATAGACATAGAATAAGAATGAATATTCATTTTCTTCAAATATTTCATATATGATTGACATGATGTAAATATGAAATGATACATTTTTGCTTTTACAGAGAAGCCGTGGTTTCGGCTTCATCACCTTCTCCGAACCTACCAGCGTGGACAACGTTCTCAAAGTACCCATCCACACCCTAGACGGCAAAAAAATCGATCCGAAACACGCCACCCCGAAAAACCGCCCCAAGCAGCCCAACAAGACCAAGAAAATCTTCGTGGGTGGCGTCAGCCAAGACACCTCCGCCGACGAAGTTAAAGCCTACTTCAGCCAATTCGGCAAAGTCGAGGAAACGGTTATGCTGATGGACCAACAAACGAAAAGACACCGAGGTTTCGGTTTCGTCACCTTCGAGAATGAAGATGTCGTTGACAGAGTCTGCGAAATTCACTTCCATACGATCAAAAATAAGAAAGTCGAGTGCAAGAAGGCACAGCCCAAAGAAGCAGTGCAAGCTAGTGCGCAGCTGCTGGGCAAACGCCTGATGCTCAGCGGTCTAGGCATGCGCATGGCTGCCCCAGCGCCTGGAACTCTCACAGTCAACCCTTTGGCAACAATGCAAGCGCAAGCGCACATGCAAGCCGCAGCCGCTGCCTCGGCCGCAGCAGCGCAGGCGCAGTCCGTAGCCGTCGCTGGGTACGGCAAGCTGTTCGGTGCCTACCCGCACTTGGCCAGCTACCGCTACTCCCCTTACCCGATGGCGGCGGTCAGCGCGGGCATGCCTCAGGGCGCAGGCGCGGCTGCCGCGCATGCGCAGAACCCCGCGCAGGCGGCCGGGGCTCCGCAGTTGGCGCAGCAGGTTAACGCGGCGCCCTACCAGGGGTACAATCTCACCAACGTGGACATGTCGAGCTTCCAGGGGGTGGATTGGGGCTCGATGTACGGGGTGGGCATGTACGTTTGAAGGGTTGAAGAGGGGTGAGAGAGGACTTCCGATGATGCATTTTTTTTTCGGTGTAAATAGGAATCTCATTGCGACGTGCTGTAGTTGGCAAGGTCACACATTCGCTTGTCGGGTACTTTTTCTTGGATGCAGTCTTTTTGAGTGAGGAGAGAGTTGCAGGGAAGGCTCTAGAAGTGGCAGATGTCAATTAATTGAAGGAATGCAGCTGCTGGTTTTTTTCTTGCTATTCAATTTGCGATAAATCGACGTAAATTGATTACGTGCAGGTGTACTAATCAGTATGCGCTGTAAATAACAATGAGTTATACTATATTTTGTTGTTTTTTTTCGTTTATCAATTCGAAATTATTCATCAATTGATGTGTCATGTATCATACAAGGTGGATCAGATTGAACATTGAATATTTCTTCCTGATATTATTTCCATTGTTACAAGGAGTCAAAGTTTACAAAAATATATTATTTTCTCACAACTTTGAGAAACAAGCTGCAAATCTAACGGAATTCAGTATGAATGTCATTGTTGAAAAGCGTCATTATTCGAATTGCAAAAAGAGTATGAGTTCCATGAGGAGTTTCATATACATAAGTTGTGATGGGTAATAAAAGCATTGTAAAAATCAATCTAGATTCCGATTCAAGCAAACAACTTGGCAGAAATAAACCTGACTTGACTGTTATTACTCTATTCAAATATAGGGTGAGCAGAGTCTCACTTTTCACCACTTCTGGAGGCTTTCCATTTATTTCTCTCCTCGTATATTTTCGCTAGTACAGCATATCGGCAATAACTCGCAATAATCAGTATTAATTCAAATTGAGTGCTGTTCAAATTTTCCTTATTGTAATCCTGATATTCCTGTTGGATGGCAATAACGATATCTTCGGCGAAATTAATTTGTGCCCGAAATGATGATTATTTTTTTCCCGAAAGGTTGTGTTTCAGTGTACTTAAATTATTAACTGCTAGTGAGTACTTAGTTTATTGTATTCGACTTTTGGACTGATGTAGGGACGATACTTTTTACGAATCGAGTTTAGCGTTTTTTTTTATTTTCTTCATTACTTATTGATATTATTATACTCCGTTGTTCGATCTCATTCGTTATTGGATTCTTAGTATGTAAGATTTCTATGACATGATATTGGTAGAAATGCTGCCGAACATATTATATTCAAAACAACTGATGGGAACAATCAGTTGAACAAAAAAAAACAAAGAAAACTACACATTGAGTTGTAGAATACCTTGCTTCATATTGAAGAGCTTTTTTGGGTTGAAAAACATCAGGGTGATATATTTTCTTGATAGAAGAAGATAGAGACCTAATGTGGCATGGATAAATGAAAGTTCACTGCGAATATTTTTTTCTCAAAAAATTTGGGTAAGGTTTCTCATGAAATCCTTCAAGATCTATGGCTTTATTCATGTTTTCAAAATAGAATTGAATCACTGTATATTACCTTTTTTCTAAAGAAATCCTGTATTTCTTGGGAATCTGAGAACTTTCTCACTTTTCTGTAGCATTGGTATTATTAAAATATGCTTCAGAATGATGGTGACAAGATGATTATTTTTCTTCTGGCAAATTCTGATTTTTGAATGGCCTTGAGAGGGTTTCAATCTCGGTTTCAATACATGGGAATAATCAAAATGATATCCTCTATTAGGACTATCAGTATGTGGCAACAAAATTGCAGTACTATTTTGGCAGCATCTATGATATGAAAAGGTGGAAATCACATTTTTCTTCATCATATTTGGAAACTAATCTCATTATTTGGCTTTTCTTAGTTTTTGATCTACTTGATTCAGAATCATGAACAATAAATATTATAGTAAACACCTTTTCATGCGGGCGCACTTGATCTGAATTTATTGACCTGATATGCTCAACATTTGGCTACTAAATTGCAAACCACACAATTGGTAGAAAATACCAACTGCTCATCTTCATACAGGGTACTATAATTTGAACATACCGCATACCTACGCAAAATTTGTTGGTTACATTTTTGAGGACTACTAAAATTGTCGTCGAGTTGTACTTAATACTCATTTGATGAATGACAAAAAATGACATATCAAGAGGTCAAAATTAACGTGATATCAAATACTTACTCTTGACATGTCAGGGTGAAACTTTTACCGTTCTTATAAAAGACATTCGCCTATGGCGAATCCATTTAAGCCCCAATATAAATGGCTAGCATTTCTACTGATACACTGTTCCATTATTTATATCATCACAATTCCTGACAGACTTGATGGACCAATCAAAGTTTCCCTTTTTCAACATCCTGTATTTTCTCCCAACGACTTTTCAATGTGAAGTTTTTCTCACATCATCATAGCTCTGTTCGAAGTTTACAAAACATCACATTCATTGCCGAAACTGTCAGTTGATACAAAATACAAGATGCCAAAAAGTGTCCATTTGGTGTGCTGGGAACTTAGTGCTTTTTGATGATATGTGAATATTTAAGGGTGTGATTTTATATGGAAACTCTGTTCAGAAATATTCCATAACAAGAATTCGGGAAAAGTTGACAAACGTGTCAAAATCTCGAGCGATTTCGAAGATATTGCGACACCTCGTATTTTCTTGATGAAACTTTCTAGGACCATAGTTAAGGAAACTATTAACCTATCAAATGCCAGCGTACTTTCAACTAACCTAGTACAAATATGGTTCGAAAACAGTTCAGTCTCAACCATTTATCTTCTCTTCGAACAAACATTAACGTTCCTACTGAAATATCTAAAATCCTGGGGTTTTTCAACCAGTTTGTCCCAGCGTCCTCGAATGAGGACGTCATGATATTTGATGTGGGGCGTTAAGGAAATATGCGGGTATTTGTTTTCCACATCAGAATATAACAAAATATAGAATAGCATAATAAAAAAATGAAGTGAAAATTCGAAAAAAAGTAATTTGGGCATTGATAGGTTGATAATTTTCCATGTATACTCTCAAATATTCGCATGCCATCAAGGAACACCCTGCTTATCGAAACCGTTTAGTGCAGCTGAGCCATTATACCTTGCCGAAAACGATCGGCCTTTGTTTGTTTCATCTCCGCAGATCTAGTCACCTGATCATCACATTATTAGTTTTCATTCGTCAAATTGTCACACTGTAGACAGACATACCTGCCCACATTCCGTATAAGTAAGCTGTGCATCGATTTTTTTCTAAAAAAAAAATAATACGTGTGATTCGCGGACCAAATAGTGTCTGTGGCCTGGTCTCAAGGCCAAGGCGCAAACGGAACTAAGAGCAGTTTTAACTCTTCTCTTCTTTTTGGGCAGCTCTATATTATACACGAAAATATGGAAAATTTGCTCTTGAATATTACCAAATAGAAATAGAATGTAGTTGTCAACCTCGTTCAGGCGTGAAAAACTCGTATTTTTTTCCAAGAAGTTGTGCGTATTCTGGAAATATTCCGGCATTTGAGTCAAAATTTGCAAAACATCGAAGATATGAAAATTAACGATACAAAAATTTTCTGAAAAATGTTTCAAAGTGGTCACAATTCGTTTGAAGCTTTTTTTAAAAGGTGGTGCCAAGTGATTCACCATAAATTTCCCCCTCTAACTCAGTTATTTTTGCATTGATTTAACAATTTTTGATCGGTTGTTCCGAGCACCTTGTATTTTCTGGTGGAACAAAAAAAATTTCACATGATTTTTCAAATTTTGAAATCGGTTCATAAATAACTGAGCTAGAGAGGGTGGTATTTATGGTGAATCGCCCGGTACAAGTCTCTCAGCTTTGCTCCTTCAAATACACCTTTTTCTGTGCCCTTCGAATCAAACCACAAACTTTGTTACAACTTGAAAGTATTGTTGTAAATTCAGAGAATATTGTGACAGGTTTCGGTCGAAGGAAGTGAACTACCCCATTTAAAATTATGTTGCAAATATTTGATAATATATCTTCATTTTTGATTAATTGATATACAAGGTGGTTATCAACTACTTCCACAAATCTTTAAGAACAATCTCTGACTAGTTTTAGGATAAAAAGTTTCTATAAAAATGAGTATGCAACGACTTGTCGAACTTTTTTCCTGCAATTTGTGAAAGATTCGCCCTTTGAGGTTTGTACAAGTATTTGATAAACACACAGTATATCTGTTTCATTTTCTATTGATTATGAATTCTCTTAAAATAATACTCATGAGGGTGAATATATTTCCAAACCCTTGCAACATATACCAAATAATTTATTTTAATATAATGGTTCACTGTTTGAAATTGTTGTTTTAAGATATATAGCATATCTTTGCTCTGATGAGGACAATTTTTGATTACACAACATCTATGATTTGGCAGCTAATTCAGCATCAATTCACGTTTGGCAGGTCTTAATTCTAAATTAATATCAGCCTTTCCAATGAGATGTTATCTCATTAAATCGCTTTGCACGTTATCTTTATACATTTTCTATTGATTTCATATCGGTGATACTCAGTATTTTTCTTGTTATTGGAAGCAGCTGAAGCCAAGCTATTTTCACTGACACTTTGACATTGACTGATTTGCTCTTAGTTTCGTGTCGCTCATTTCTTCGACAAACGGTTCATACTGATGTTTTTATATTGTAGTGCTTAATATTAGGAAGCCCTAGGAGACGAGTCTTCGGGTGCGCCTTGTGATAATTGTTGGGCAGCCTGGAAGCTGTTTCCGAAGCTGCAGCTCGAAGTTCCAATCAGCTAAACTGCTCGACACTCATTCAACAACTTATTTTTTCATTCGAAACTGAAAAGAAAAGTCGTTGGACATGCCGAAGGATCTCTAACTTTTTTTCGATCAGCTTGTCCCAGCGTCCTCGAATGAGGACGGCATTCGATATTTGATGAACGTTAACGAAATTGCGAGTTGTAGTGTCGAAAAGTTTAGTTGGCAACCAGTTGACGATTTTTACTCGACAGGGTGATTCCAAAGCGTTGAAGAAGTTGTTTTTCTTTTGGGTGTAGGGTTGAGGGTGGAATTACCCTTGTACGCTGGTCTCCTTAGTGCCAAATCGGTCGAGCTGCAGCCTAAACGGGGCGTTAACTTTAGCTGTAAATTATTATCAAGTTGACAAGCAATAAGCGTTGTGAGACAGAATGAACCCTCTATTTTTGTAACCAATTATAAATGTTAAGACAAATACAAATGGTTTAGTTTCACTTGGTAAGTGAACCCTTGCTACTTAAACTGTAAATAGCGTAGATTTTTCAGAGGGTCAGTTTGAATGTGACAAAACTCGAGAACTAACTAGACATTAAAGTTCTATTGTCTGGTCAAAAACACGACTATTTTGCGAACATAGTGAATACAAAATTCGAAATTGAAATCATTGTATTTCACTCAAGAATACAGAATCTCCATATATTTATTCATACTATTCAAACACGAATATCTCGCAGACAATCGATAGCAATATTATGCACTATCTAAGTATTTTTGAAAATTCTTGATTTTTTCAAATATTTGGAAAATGTTTTTTTGCGATCTCAATTTTGAAGGTGGAGAAAATACCTTGATTTCATGTATCACACCCCTACTCTATTTTCACTAATAGAAAAGTTGAAAATTACTAATTTCACATAATATTTTGTGTAATAAGCAGTCGTGTTTTTGTGTCCCAGCGTACTTGTAAGATAGACGTTCACGTTTAGCTGTTTGTCGTACGTATTTTAAAAGTTACTGTAGCTACTTAAGTAATGTATAATTTTTCATAGCGACTAGATTTTAGCGTATGTAGTATGTATCTCTGTGTGTAGTGTAGAGTGCGGCATTTTATGTCGCAAATGCACTGTAGTAGAGCCGTTATGAATAAAGTAGTTTCATAAAGTAGACATTTATGCTTGATCATTCCTTCTTGAATATGCTTGACTGGTTCGACAGTCTATCAGACGATTTTATCAACGTTTACTGGGTGACCATGACATTGCTATTCACACTGTCATTTTTATAAAATGACTTCAATTTGAAATCTGGTGAGTCAGTACGCAGAATCATAATTTCAAATTTATTCATTTTGTAATGAAATGACAGGCTGGCTAGTATTATCTGTGATCATTCGGTATAAGTAGAATTTTTATTCGTTCTCTTTTGTCCGATTGAATAGTCGAGATTGGTTATTTTTCTATTTTAGTATCTTATAGTCTTGAATATGGCATATAAAACAAGTAGCTCAAAGTCGGTCGACCACACTTAATATAAAACAATCAGTCAATACATGTTACAGGTTTCGGCGCAACGGACATCATCAGACATATAAAATACCTGTAAAATGATGGAATAACAATACAATAATTGGAAAAAGTGAAAATTTTTATATGTCTGATGATGGCCGTTGCGCCGAAACCGGTAACATGTATCAACAAACTGTGGTCAACAAACTTTGAGCTACTTGTTTCCTTTGAAATTTCTTTGGACCACTTTGAGATATAGTGACATATTATATTGACAACACAAACATTGTTTTCAATGCATTATGTCGATATCTAGTAAGAAGTGGCGAAAAAAAGACACTATTCTTGACTTCTATCAGAATAAGGATTGATCCTATGCAAAATATGATTTTGGATAGGATCATTCTATTTTTGATTTCTTCAAAACTCCGCTGAGTTTATTAGGTACATTTTTCGTTTTTCCACCGCTTTGCAATTATAATCTGAAGGGTGATGAATCTGAAAGTATGACCATTTCCGAGAGTCTGAGGTCATCCCGTTAGCAGGAACATTTTTTATGTGTTTTCTGAGGGCAAAAATATTATCTCAGATCAGTTCGGAAATCATCAAAATCCATATAATAAATACACCTTTTCTTTACTCTTATCGAAGTTAACTTCACATTTTAATGAGGATTTTGTTGCTTGTTAATTGAACGATAAAAATTGCCTCCACCTGTAGGATGAGAAATTTTTTTGTGTTAAATTTCCTAAAGCATCAAAATTCGAATCATAAATTTCAAGTTGACATCGACTCAAAAAAAAATGCTGGCGTGTAATTTGGTGAAACAATTCCATGAATGCAAATCACACTATTGTGGATGGTTTTTCCAATTTCTCTGAAATATTCTAAATTGCGACATTTCCACTGACTGGATACTTTTCTGACAGCATAAGATTGATACAAATTGACATAATGGCCATCAACAATGGCTTATGGGAATGGGCGTGTACACCTTAGTAGAACTTTTAACTCAAACCATGTTTATAATGATCCTTTTATACATGAATAATGATTGACGACATAATTCGATCGAAAAATTAACTGGAATGTTTTATTTTTGGATATAAATAATAGTACCTTCTGAAAACGGACCCTCTTATGACGTAGAAACCTCATCTCGCCATAGTTAAAAAAAAATACCAAACGCCCGACGGAGACTGAGGCAACTGATATAATAATTCTTTCAACTGTGATCTGGCGCTAATTCACTCTGTCAGAAATCATGTATCATTCATCTCTGTCTGGAATAGTCTTGTTTCAGTATTAGAGTTTTGACGTCACATCATCGCCTCGTTTTCAGAGGTCCGAAAAATCGGGGATTTCAATATTTTTTTTATAAAACGTAGGGAGATCACAGCAAGAAACGGTATGCGATGGTGAGCTAGTTTGGGTGAGTTCTATCGAATTATGAAATAAAAATTTCTTGTGATATAAGCCCATTTTTATACATGAATTTTTTTATCCCTATAGGGAGAATAGGGAGAGGAGATGGTGTTGGAATTTTTTGAACTCCTGGAGGGAATAAGTTCTCAATACCATAAAAGTAAAAATGTCTTAAACGGTGGAAAATCGAAAAAAATGCCCCATCCAAAGTTATGGAAAAAATTAACATTTTGCTTGTCTCACTTCAAACAATGTGAAGAAGTTGGTCACCACTGAAACTAGACAGACAAAACATTTTGGCAGTTCAATTAGACAATTTTGAGCGAATGAAAATCCCAGTATATCTAGACTAGTCTTAATCACTGCTTCCTGTGATAACAATCTGGTCACACATTGCACGGTCTGTGTCTGTAGCTGTGTAACCGTGCCTTAAACTGTGCAACAGACCTGAACCTAGATAACCTAGACGAAAACCCTTAGCGTGTTGTGACCCTTAAAACCCAGTAATATGTATTGAGTAGTGACGACTTTCTTTGGTGGTAGAGAGGTAGCAGTGGCCTGTTGAATGTGTATGCAGTTAGTAGCTGTTCGTAAAAAAATAATCGTGATACAGACATATCTACTATACAGTGTGTCCCACTTACCATGCTCACCATGGGTATCTTTTTAACGGTGAGAGATACGAGGTTTTTGTTTAATACGCAAAAAACAGATTTTGATCATTTTCATGTCTCCTCCATAACTGCTTTATTTATGAAAATATTCAAATAGGAATTTCACATTCTCATGGCAGTTTTTCAAAGTGATTTCGAAAAAAATATGAAATTTATACCAACTCTTCTAGAATTTGAGATATCAGCACCAACTTTAGTTTTTCAAATGTAGGTCATAGCTCACTATGACTTGGTTACAAATAACTTTTTTTTCTCTTACAGATGATATGTCGCAGTGATAGTTTTGTGTTGATAACAACGGAGTTATCGTCATTTATTCAAAAACAAAAAAATATTTGGAAGCCGCCATCTTGAATTTATAAATTTTAATAATAAAATCATGATCTCCGACCTCAAAATCCCCCACTTAACAATTTTGAATGGAATCGGACCAAATCATGTCCGCCATCTTGAAGCAGCCACTTTTTTTTTCAATTTCAACAAAAATTCCATAATGTATATATGTATAAGTGACAATACATTATGGAATTTTTGTTGAAAAAAAAAATGGCTGCTCCAAGATGGCGGACAAGATTTGGTCCGATTCCATTCAAAATTGGTAAGTGGGGGATTTCGAGGTCGGAGATCATGATTTTATTGTTAAAATTTATAAATTCAATATGGCGGCTTCCAAATATTTTTTTGTTTTTGTATAAATGACGATAACTCCGTTGTTATCAACACAAAACTATTACTGCGACATATCATCTGTGAGAAAAAAAAAAGTTATTTGTAACTAAGTCATAGTGAGCTATGACCTACATTTGAAAAACTAAAGTTGGTGCTGATATCTCAAATTCTAGAAGAGTTGGTATAAATTTCATATTTTTTTCGAAATCACTTCGAAAAACTGCCATGAGAATGTGAAATTTATATTTGAATATTTTCATAAATAAAGAGGTTATGGAGGAGACATGAAAATGATCAAAATCTGTTTTTTGCGTATAAAACAACAACGAATAGATTTTACCAAAATTATTTTTTACAATATAGTCGGCCTAGACAAATTCCACATTTGGTGTCATTTAACCGACCTCGTATCTTTCACCGTCAAAAAGATACCCATGGTGAGCATGGTGAGTGGGACACACTGTATACGCGAACCAGTAGAAGTTATCGTTATTGATGACATTTTGTCAATTCATACCACCAGGGCTTCCTGAACAAATTCAATCAATTTCTTTTAAAACCTCATATCGGTCCAATTGTTAGCAGAAATGAGAAAGTACTATTCCGGGCCACCAGGCCTCATCAGTCGCTTTCGGTTCGCTGACAATTTATCCTTAACGAAGATATCGGATTTCACGTAGTGATCTAGTCGCCATCTTGCATGGCGCGAATTTGTTAAATCTTCCTTTGACCCTAAGCTGCTAGATATCGAAAACACGACTAGATCATCAAGTATAGAGATTGACTAGGTTAACTTTGAGACAGCACGTGTTTGGCGTCGAAATCGAAATCACGTGGTATCCCAAAGTTGATAAGGTGATCGGTTTCTAAAGTCCGATGCACTGTTGTGTGTTATATAGAGTTTGATTTCATAAGAAATACTTCGGCGAGAAGTAATTATAAAGGTTTGCAGGAAAATTAGAAAAGCTCATGTCTCTTTGGGTTAGGTATGGCCGAGGATTGCTCACATTGTATAAGTAGGAAATCGAAAATGCTCAGTGCGGCATTGAACTTTTGGGGCAATTGAAAAGTTTCAGCAAATTGACGGCAATTGAAATTGCTCAAAAACTTTAATGCAATTCAAAAGTTATTGAATGTATTACATGGCAGTTTGGTTAATCAGATCGAGTTTCATATAATTCTAAAATTATTTGTATATGAATTCTAGTGGTTTTTGACAAAATAATTGAGTCTCATTGACCAAGAAACAAGATTGTCTATCTGACAGAGTTGCCTTGTTGTCTTCCTAATCCTACTAGTAGGAGGTAATATATCAATAATTATTCTAATAACGAGATAGCTGTGTGTAGATTTTTGTAGTTACCAGGCCTAAGATATTAGATATACATATCCTATAATATAATAATAATATAGACTATTGACGATATTTAAATACCTGTTGTAACAAGACAATTTCTAATGGATCAATTGTAGGGAGGTCAAAATTTTGTATATAGGTATACCTAAATATTTTATGCAAGGAACTTATTTCTGAGGAAATACCTAGTTATTGTTGATTAATTGAACATTGAACTGCATTCCAGGAAACACTGTAACTAATGTGATGTACAAATTATCTTTATTTAATTATTTATGAAAAATAAAAAAATTGATAATCGATGAAAGTTTGCTTCTGATCCAGATATTTAGTCCACCAAAAGAAAATATGAGGTAAGTGCAAGATGATGACAAAATATGCTCATTGAAAAACCTACAACTGATACTAATTCCTACCTTTTCTCCCTAACGTCCGCCCTAGGAAGTAGGAACATATAGTATAGGGATTCCCTTTTGTTCTTTCCAAAAAATGAAAAAATATTGGAACCCACGAGAAACAATTTTGGTGTACTTATTCTCTCAATTCATAGTTGTCAAAGTATGAAATATTTCAATGAAGAGCTGTGTATATTCTATAAACATAATTTTATTTTTAATACTTACCACATAGTTTTTCTTGTAGAAGTCAAGGGTCAACAACTAGAACAATAAATTGACTATTAATGATTCATGAAATAATAATAATTAATATAAGTTAAGTACAGGAAATAGGTCTTACCTTTGACTTTCTGGCCCCAGGAGTGAACTGAAATATTGAAAAAGTTAAATTGAGTAGGTAGATGTAAAGTAAGAAAATGTGAAATACATACTATTGAAGCTATCCATTTCTCAGACATGTTTTGAAATAATAGGATACGAAAAAACTGAAAATTTTATGACAATTTTTCAAATATATTTCAAATGTTGGTAAAGTTCAGTGTCATGGTGCCTGACACTTTTTGACAGTGACATGTCAAGGCACTTGAGATATTTCAGTTGGGCATTACAAAATTTTCAACAGTAATTACACAAGTGGTGGTAATTTTTTGATAATTTTAACTAGATGCACGAATCTTTGTTGCTATAGAAATTTCACGAGTGGACGAAGTCCACGAGTGGGATTTCTCAATAGCAACAAAGACGAGTGCTAAATCTAGTTAAAATTATTTAAAAAAATAACCAACACGAATGTAATTCGGCGTGATTATTTTTTTTACTATTTCGCAAAATGCCCCAGAATATGTTTATTAAACAATTATTTATTGAACAATCATTTATCATACAATTATATATCAAACAATTATATATCAAACAATTATATATCAAACAATTATATATCAAATAATTATATATCAAACAATCAAGAATGTTTACAATTTACGTTTGTAATGGTGCAATTATTGTATGTTATTGTACAATTTCCTTGAGATGAAGAGGTCGAAACAGTGTTTCCTCTCAAGTTGTTTATCATGCTTGCGTGATGCTCTTTGTCAAGTTGAAGATAGGGTTTGATGGAGCTTGCAGATGAATGTCCAGTTATCTTCAACAACTGCTGCTCACTTACTCCACTTTTAGCGAGTTGTGTCACAGCAGAAGAACGATGTGAATGGTTTGTAACCTTGATTTTGCTAGGATCCAAGCCAATCTTTCGGGCCGCTTGTTTTGTCCATTTTGCTATTTCATTTTGTCCTACCGGAAGATTTTTGTACCACCCCTTAGACAAAGGTTGCTGCCAATTTGGATTAGGTGTTAAAAATAAACGATCAATTTGAATATTTGCACTTCTTTTCGACATTAACTTCCGAAAGAGACGTACTGGACATTTTTCAGTCTCATTTTCATTTGGCGTTAAAAATTTGCTATCAGATAACCTGTGCGATCCTCCTTGTGCTGTTTTAGAAATTATTGGATTATATTCTATCCTTCCAGTTTGATTTCCATAATGATCCATTTCTTCTCTAAAATACTGTACTAATGCTTTTGTCGCTTCTCCGCCTCTCCAAGCCAATTCGTAGCTAGCAGTATGATAAAACTTCCTTTGTAAGCCATTTGGAGTATTTTCGTCCCATGCTGCTATCATTTTTTCTATTTCTTCTTTCTTGAGAGCAACAGAAGATGCTTTTCTTTTTTCAGGAATATGTTGAAGTTCTCGACGTTTGCAATTCCGCGCATCTCGCGCGGTCTTAAATTCAATATCAGTGAACGGATCAATGTTTCTATTATACTCCCTGAAATATTTTTCCTGGATAAGTTTTGCGGTGACATTCCACAAAGTTTTGACAACAGATTCTTTGTAGTTTTCTCCATTTTTTTTTCGCATGTTATATGCCCAGTCCTCCATAATTGATGCGATTTGTTTCATCTCGGTTGTTGCAGTCAACTCATAATTACGTTCAAGGCAGAACTCCAAAAACTGTTTCCATATCGTATTCTTGCTTTTTGTGGTGTTGATTGGTGTTGCTTGTTCGACAGCTAAATGTATTGAATCAGCCGAGCTTTGACCAAATCTCGTGCTCATGTCGGTTTCTGTTAATGACTAATAATAATTGTAAAGTTTTTCCGAACCTATACCAACTCGTTTAAACGTTAGAGAAAATCACAAAATACGAAGTCTGACTGATACTTAACAATGGCGTCGGTTCTGAATTCGAAATGTTTACATTGAGACAAATAGCTGCGTTACCTTGACAACCAAGTCAAGTCAATGCTAATTCTCTAAAGGTGCCCCATAGACTGCGTTGTTGGTAGGCCGTTTTGTTCGTCGAACAAGTCTGTTCGAACAAAAAAGACACAAAACTAAAGTGTGTGGCCAGCGAAAACGAACATTTTACAGCCACACACTTCGGTTGTGCGCAATTTTTGTTCGAACAGACTTGTTAGTCGAACAAAACAGCCTATCAACATCGCAGTCTATGGGTCCCTTTTTGTATCCATTTGAAGGAAGATCCAAACGTGAATAAGTCATCGCGGTAATTTGATACTAACAAATTATCAGTATGATTCCGAATGATTGGCTAGAATCACGCATTGATATTGGTTGAAACAAGGAAAACGTCACATTTTGACATGTAAAAAAAATAATCCTCTAAATTCCCTAAATAGTAGGGGAGCCCAAGCGGGGATTTTGGGATTAACTCGAGCGCGGAAGAATAACATAACGGTGGTAATCTTGCACCATACGTGGGATCTTTATATGGTGTCGAACGTCTAGGGCAGCCGATCAGATTAGTTAAAAGAGTCGATCGTTGGAAAAACTCGATTAAGGAAAGGTAAAATACACAAGATTAATGTTCCAAAAATCAAAAACATCAAAAAATCAACTATTTATTTTTCTTTAGAAAATTAATTGAAAGGGTATTCAAGAGATAGCTGAAGAGTGTTATGCCAGAAAATAAATGACGATCACTTTTGCAGATCAGTGTGTATTTATATTATATTAGTGTTGGAGTACATCGAAAATTCCATTCCCCAAGAAAAAATATATCTTGAATAATTATCCAGTGTTTTATTCACCTATATGTACCTACCATAGAAATATAGATTCTAGATTTTAAAATGAATATTTGAATTTTCATTGGGCGGCGGTTTTCTAGTGAAAAAATCATCATTTTCTGGAAGCCATTATACAGAGTTACAGGTAATTCGATACATTCAATTGAAGATGTGATAATAGGGGATATGTGGTAAGGATCCTTACCGAGTGATTTAAACCATAATAAGCATCATGCAAAAGTTAATAGTAGTAGTAGATATCAAAGTTTTTCTGTTTTTCTCGAAAAGGTAGACCTTAATGGTTTAAAAGTTAGTTTCCCAAAAATCTGCTCTACATTTTTTCAACCCCTCAACTAGAATACATAATCAACACTATTTTCTTATGTTTGGAATGAAAAAATTCCAGAAATAATTTAGATCATAGATAAATTGTAAGTCGTATTTTTGTTTGTGAATGAATGTAAATATCTCAAAAAGAATTTACTTTTGCATAATGCATATTAGGGTTATATTACCCAGAAGTGTACCTTGGGGGGGGGATATATATTTTTTTCAAAACATATTTTTATTCAAGATTATTGGTAACGACAATAATTTTGAACATTACAAAATTAAATCTAAGCGCCTTGGTTTGAGAGCAATTTCTTCAATAATTTCTTCAACAGATACAACTACTTCTCTATGTATGTATTGATAGCATGGCAAGTCCATTAAGCATCACTTGGGCGGTAGTGACGGTAGTGTTCCTCAAATAGGTTTTGATGCGTTTCAAAGTAGAGAAGGTTCTTTCTGATGTCGCAGTGGACACTGGCAATGTACAGAATATTTTTAGAAGTAAGTTAAGTTCCAGTCGCTGATGTAGAAGCCACCCTATCATCATCATCATCATCGTTGAATTTTCTTTTGAAAAATCTAGATAAATCACTTTGTTTCATCATTATCTAATTATACACTAAAGGAAGGTAAACATTGAACACTCAAACAACAACTGACTGAATAATATCGGGGAATCACAGCCCAAAACCGAAAATCCCAGCGAAAGAACACTCGACCTACACTATTCGCAGAAATTTTGACGTATTTCTGTGGCATATATTCATAATTGACCAATTTGGCTACACATATCAGTATCTATTTATTATTCGAATAATGAAACTGAAAGAATAAGAATATTTCTGACCATTTATGGCCAAGTGGAATGTAATGATACCACCTGCTTGCATGTTTTTGGAAAAAATATAAATTTTTACTTATCGCCGTCGTTTAATTAGGTACTCTTTTTGAACTGTCGATCTTTATGGAGTCTAAAACTAGTAGAAAAACGCTTAAAGCCGTTCGGCCGGCTTCGAACATTCGACACCAGAGGCCGCCCACTTTGAGATGAGAAATAATTACGTAGGTATTATGGCCAGAGTCAAAACAGTTGAAACAGTTTTATATCATTGAATGATATATTTGTGGAGTGGTCTTGGTCAGTCGACTGAATTTATTGATCACACCTGGTATATCTATAACGCAACCAATTCACGTCGTCGAGACGCGTCTGCTGCGCATTTCGACGTCCTTTCAGATGCGCCGCGACGCTGTCACATTCTCAATCGACTTTTGACCTAAACAAACGAAACCCTAAACTGAAACGACGTGAAAACCTCAATAAAAGCCCGTTTATTCAGAAAATGGATGGAAGTTCACCTTCCCCGATTACCTCTGAAGGTTTTCCTGAGGAAACCGACCCGATTGTCATGAAAGAAAAGGCTTTCATCGCAGAAATCGCATCGGGGAAATACAACAACAATAACAACAATTTCAAGAATGGCTACATGCCAATGGAAGATATCAAACCAGGGATGAGAGGAAGAAAAACCATTGCATTTTGGACACTTCTGATACTACTGTTCATTCTTGTTATTGGAAACTTGATACTCACCGTAACCATTATTGGAGTTCTGAGACTAGGAAAAGGTAATAACCACATTTTCTGGATGATTTTGAATCAATTTAAAATATCTAACTTACAATAACAAATAGTCATCAGTTATATCGGAGTAATATAACTGATTATTGTAAACAATTAGTTCATTCTAGTAATTGTGCAATTAATTATACGTACTCCTCATTTGTTTTGAATATGCAAATTTTTCGAGGTGGTATAGAGGGTGATTCATGAGAAATCGAGTGAGAAATATATTATAGCAATAGTTGATAGAGGTAATAATTACGAGCCCAGTAGATGTAGGTGAATTGGAAGATTTTTTGGCGACCCAAAACGAAAGAGTATAATGTGAAATTGCCTTATTATAAGTTTGCACATCTAGATAGAAAATCAGAAATTAAATCACAATCAATATTGCAGTTTGAATAAATGTCACTCACGTGGCATCATGGGATCTAGAAAACGATGCAGAATTCGAAAATGCATTGATTGATATACAGGGTGTTCCATTAGAAAATCGTTTTTACCACTTCTGATAAGTAGTGCTACATGAAAAATGCTTTTTAGCCAAATATGGTGGATAGACGTAATCAAGCTCATCAGTAGATGTAGGTTAATTGAAAGAGTTTTGGCGATTCAGAACGAAGAGTATTATGTGAAATTGTTTTATAATTCCGCACATTCAGATAGAAAATCAGAAATTAAATCAAAATCGATGTTGAAGTTTGAAATGACACTTAGGCATGTGTTATCGTTGGATTTGGAAAATGATGCAGAATTAAAAAATGCAATGATATAAACTACTCAACACTAATTTCGTCGCACACCAAAATTTCGCCCCTGTTATAATGTGAATAACGTTTTTCAATTTAGAACAATTTGAATTTGGTTCACACTGTTTGATAGCGCAGTCCTTCAGCTATAATCTCTTACTTCACTGAAACAAAAGGGTATCCACATAAAATCTCTACATGGTGTTTTCCGACACTGTGCAAAATTTCGGAATATTCAAAAGGCTCTCAAATGGTGAAAAAAATTTCTTTCTCAACTTCGACAACAGAGGCATGAAGATGATCTCATTACCTCGAGATATTTCGCGAATCAACTTCCTATCTCTCTTATGTACCGAGTGATCTCATAAAATCAACTTTTAGGTTTTGCAGCCATAACTTTTTTCCACGTCAACCGATTTTGGAAATCTTAGGCTCATTTTGAAGATAAAACTTCAGATGAAGACATCTGAATATCAGAATTGACTCAAGATGGCTATCAAAGATCTAGAGTTTTCTTGAAAGTGACCCAAATCTGGAACGCCCTCCGAATCTCGGTTGGGAGGAGAATTGAATGAAAATCAACTTGTTCTCGGAAAAACAATTCATTCTGGATGCGTCCATATTTTCTTCGCTCTCAGTAGTCAAGAATGTGCGTGAGAAAACACAATTGAAACATGTTCTCGCAAAACACCATGTAGAGATTTTATGTGAATACCCTTATGTTTCAATGAAGTACGAGATTATAGCTGAAGGACTGGGCTATCGAACAGTGTGAACCAAATTGAAATTATTCTAAACTGAAAAGTTATCCACTTTATAACAGGGGCAACATTTTGGTGTGCGACGAAATTAGTGTTGAGTAGTTTATATTACAGTGTTCCATTATAAAATCGAAAGATTTTACCACTTCCGGTGGAAGCGGCGTACAGAGTGTCACCTCATATTTTGACCCCTATGCCTACAGCTCCAACTATACGAGGTGGAAAAAATCAAATATGAAAATTGGTTCATTTTATTTTCTACTTCTGTTTAGTTTAACTAATCATAAAAGCGTGTTTTCTTAGTCTTTCAAACTACTATTTATTTTCTATTTCCTTTCAGATCGGTAATCTGTCTCTTTAGTTTTCTGAACTACTGTTTATTTTCTACTTTATTTTAGTTTGGCTATCTATGAAAGCGTATTTCATCAGGTTTTCGAAACACTATTCATTACAAAGCTCGTTCGACATATTGAATCCGCCATCTTGAATTTTCAAATCTCCGAACCCGAAAACCCCTAGATACCAATTTTGAATATAAACGGATTATAATTAAGGAACCTCGTCCGCCATCTTGGATCCGCCATCTTGGATTTTCCAATTTTGACAAAAGAATCATAATCTCCGACCGCAAAAACCTGCAGATACCAATTTTTGGAATTGGATCATAATTATAAAACTCGTCCGCTATACAGTGTCATTCATAAAGTCGGCATCATATGTGAAAAACTTTTATTCATGTCTTATTTTGGAATTCGAGTTGGTCGTTGAGTTTTGCTTCAAAAAAGATGAAAAAAGGCCTACTCAATCGGGGTCACGTGACTTTCGCAACATGTCAAAAGTGACATTTTTTCAAATTGATCGCTGAAAGTAGGCTTATTTGTTCGAATATCGAGAAAGTTTACTTGAAAAAGTTGTTTCTATTTCAATTTTACAAATGCTTCTCAAATTTGATCCTCCAATTGCAACTTTTAGATTTTCATTTTTTTTTAATTTTTCAAAATTTCTGAAATATTTGAAGAATTGTTAATTTCACGAACTACTTCATACCAGTAGCTTTTTCATGCTTCTTACTTTCAATTACTTATTATCACTGATTATGGAAAGAAATTTGATTTTCTTCAGAAAATGATAATACCCGCTTTCAAATTCTGTTATGTTTGATGCAAAGTTGATATATCGTCAAGCATTTAGAAACGAAATTCATTTAAACTGATCTTTTCGTTACTGAAAAAATAAATTCAAATGAATTTCGTTTCTAAATGCTTGACTCAAACATAACAGCATTTTGATGTTATGTTTGCATCAAACATAACTTAATTTTGCAGCGGAGATTATCATTTTCTGAAGAAAATCATATTTTTGTCGATAATTAGTGATAATTAGTAATTGAAAGTTAGTAGCATGATGGAGCTACTGGTATGAAGTAGTTTTATCGAATTAACAATTTTTTTAATATTACAGAAATTTCGAATTTTTTTTAAAAATATCGAAATCTAAAAAATGTAATAGAAAGATAATATCCGAGACAGATATGTAAAATTGAAATAGAAACAACTTTTTCAAGTAAACTTTTTCGATATTCGAACAAATAAGCCTACTTTCAGCGATTAATTTGAAGAAATGTCAATTTTGACATGTAGCGAAAGTCACGTGACCCCAATTGAGTAGGCCATTTTTCATCTTTTTTGAAGCAAAACTTGACGTACAACTCGAATTTCAAAATAAGTCATTGATAAAAGTGTTTCCCATATGATGCTGACTTTATGAATGACACTGTAGATTGGATACGAAATCTAGAATTTCTTGATTTTTTCTCTCATAGGAACCTACTCCTGACAATAACACATCAAAAATATTTTGTCAAATCGGTCAAGCCGTTTACGATTCCATAACGGTCATAAAGACACACTTTAATTTTTATATTTAAAGAAGATGTATTATTCATATGGATATTTCGATGAAACCTTGTATAAACCCTATTAATTTTCCTACACCAGGCATGCAAAGCATGGAATTGGTGCCCGAAGAAGAAACCATCAAATTCTTCGGCGACGCCAACCTAGACCACATCTACAAGAGAGACGGCAAAGTGGAGGGCTTCAAAGACCAACCCCTAGAAATAACCGCCGACGACAGCCCCTTGTATCTCAGCATAGTCCGAGACAGCAGAGCCGTCCGCAAAGTCAAAATCGACCCCAGCGAAATAGTTTTCCGCGGCCTCAATACCTTCGAAGTCCTAAACGAACAAAAAGAGTCCGTTTTCACTATCACCGACCCGGTATACCATTCTCTGAAGAACGCCCATAACCTCAAAACGAACAACATTGAGACGACGGGCATTCGCAGTCCTTTGGACCACGATTTGCAGATAGAGGGAGACACTGTGAGCCTCAAAGGGGCTGAAGGTACTGAAATAAACGCCAAGGACCTTCTTTGGAATGTGGACCAAGACATTTTTCTGAAAAGCATCAACGGCTCGATAGTTTTGATTAGCCAAGATGGGGTTTTCATTGATATCGCTAGGATTCCTATAGCTAAGCTGAACCATAATTATGTCACTTCGCAGTTCAAAGTTTGTGTTTGCATGCCAGAAGGTAAATTATTCAGAATTCCTGTTGCTAATACTAGAGAAAGGGTCTACTGTGACCATGTGGATCTATCACCACAGTACAATCCTTGTATATAATTTTTGGAAATTGTGTAACTAATGAAAAAATTACTTATCTGTGTTTGGAACGTGAAATCTAGAAGTCCTAATTGGACAAAATCATGACTGAGTTGAATAAGGTAGGCATGTTGATTTAAATTTTGCATAACAGGTGGCTTTTGAGTCATTTGTTTCTATCTCTAATGAAAAAATTACTTATCTGTGTTTGGAACGTGAAATCTAGAAGTCCTAATTGGACAAAATCATGACTGAGTTGAATAAGGTAGGCATGTTGATTTAAATTTTGCATAACCGGTGGCTTTTGAGTCATTTGTTTCTATCTCTGTTATTGCTAGGCTATATAGAGCGAGATAGACACAAATAGGACTTATTTGTCCCTGTCAAACCAACATTTAAATTGAAGATACTGTATATTTGAAACTATATACATATAGTCAGATGTTTAGATCAATCATATTAGAACATGTAGAAATGATATGTATAACTTCAAGATTACTTGATATAATGTATTTAGATGACAATAAAATTTTATCAAACGTTGATAAAGTTTCCCCTTTATTTTTCCATGCCCTGCAATTTCTTACCAAATTCAATAACAAAGAAATATTATGTTTCTTAATTGCTTCATTTACCTCTAGTATTTCATTCAAATTTTTCAAATTCATTTCCCATGTCTATAATTTTCAAATACCCTCTTAGATAAAAATGGACACCTTTGAAAAAAAAATTGTAAAAAGCACATGGAATGCATCAATATTGAATCTTTCAACAACTTCCCGATGCTCATTCATTAGTTCCAATACCATTGGAAGCTAGAAAGAAAAAAGAAAAACTCAATTCACTTCCCAAGTTTTTCAAATTTTCTGATGAACACTGTATATGTATAGTGACAAAATTATAAAGATACCAATTTTTCTGTTTGGACACCGTTTTCTACCACACCATACTTTCATGAAAAAATTGTAGTATAATTTTTTATTGTTATCATCCATTCAAAAAGAGTACCTACCTGTCAACCAAGAAATGTTGATTCATGATGAAACTTTTGTCATTTCTCTTAAATGGCATTATTTTCAGACTTTTTGACTGTCAAATATGTAGTTAAATAGAACCCACCTTCATAAATTATTCTATTTTTGTTAGATGAAAAACTGGTGGAATTCTCATTATTGAACATTAAAGTACAAATATCTTTTTGGCCCTTTGTTTTTCTCAAAGTAACTATGACAAATGATAAAGTTTGACAGTAGTTGCCGTCCCTTCCAAGTGATATAATATCACGATAATCACGTCAAATTGTCATCAGAAAACTTTGAAGTTTCCAAAATGTGTCACTAGAGCCACACACGGTCATGTAGTCTGTCTATGCGTCGTCAATAGTGAATGTCAAATCATAAAACTATCAAATTATCTTCCCCGGAGAATTCTCGTGAGCCTTATGCCATCCCAAACTGCTTCTGCGCCATATTTGCCATACCCTTAAAACCCAAAATGTGCTTATAACCTCCAAATATGAAATATTATGAGGTCCATTTCCTTTGTCAAATATTATCCCTTTTTATTTCAATAAAAACGCACGGCACTGTCCAAAATGGGTCTCTGAAAAACTGATCATATAGATGGTACAGGTAGAAACAACCACAATTGAGAAAAAAACATCAGTGATATATATTTTTACAGTGAATGCTGTGGAATGCTACCAATAATAGAATTCCCAAGTGATGTTATTTAATAACCTCAATTCAAGATAGCCACGTCAAATTGTCGTCAAAGAACGTGAAGTTTCATAGACAGCTTCCACCTACCTTTTAAGAGAAGACAAACTAAATAAAATACCAAAATGGAAAAATGAGCAACAAGCGAGTATTCACGGTATTTCATCTATTTCATCATCCTTTCTTCTCCACAAAAATTACCAATCAAATGTAGACACTTAATACCTAAAACTATCAAATTATAATAAAAAAGTCAATTGAGAAAACAGTTGCTGCAACACACAAACACATACAAATCTAAGCTAACCCTTTGAACCTAAGTCTCCTGTGTCTCCATACTCTCATCCACCTCAGCCTCCATATCGTCATCATCTTCCTCCCCCTCCTTCTTCTCCGGAGGATTCTCGTAAGCCTTATCCAAAGGCGACACCACGATCCCATCCCAAACGGTCAGCTCCTGCGCAATATTCGCCGTACCTTCCAATCCCAAAATGTGCTTATAACCCCCATGAGCAAGTACCCTCACCACCGACTGAGCAGTCATGCAGCAAATATCCTGCTGCTCCAAGGTCATGGCCGTGTGGATGCGCAGACTCACCCCCTCGCAAGGATCCGTGATGCCCGCGGAGCCCGGAAGAAACAGCCCTGCAGCTAAAAGCTGGAACACCCGGCGGAAAGCCACGTTCAAAGGTAAGGCTTGTCTACTGGGGTTGTGGAGAATGGCGAAATGAGCCAGAAGATCAAGCATCCAAGGGGTTAGAGGCTCAAAACCCTCATTCCTGCTGCGAACATCCCTCAGCAAACGAATGAGAACCTTGATAGAAGAATGATGAGCATTCTCCTCGAACCACCTGCTGTGACGAATGGCAGCCAAGTGACTCAGCATTATTTTTTGATCCAGGTGGATCTCAGGGTCGAGTTTGCGGATGTTGTGGTGAAGGGTTGTTACCATCACCCTTACACAAGCAAACGAGTTGCTGACTTCTAAGCCACGTTCGTTAGTGGTGTGTTGGAGTTGCTCGCCCTTGGCGACGATTTCGTTTTTCATGAGAGTCCTGAGGTCGTCTCGGACCTTGTTGCCTAAGGCTTCGACTGCTTCTCTGGTGGGGAGGGTTTTGAGGATGACTACGATGTCGGCTACGTTGTGGCCTGCTAGCATAGTGCCTTTTTTGAAGGAGCCTACCTGGCGTACCTCATCCAGTTGCTGAAAATACAGAAGTGATTGAAAGAGTTGGATGAGGCTGAAAGCAAGGTAAGCAACTGCTTATGGGGGTCTACAATTCTTTAAAAACTAGATGATTTCTGCTTTTTGAAGGGAAATTGTCTGTTGGAAAACAATAGCAAACAATTTTGCACTGGGCATTCACTGAATATTTCTATTGAAAAAATATCAGGATTATACAGATATTCAATTCTTTCAATTTTCATTTTATACAGTTCCAACATGTTCCAGTCGTTATGACCAGCTGAAGAATACTAATAGCGAATTCCAATGGCATTTTATAAATTATCTTTGTTTCTAAAATTCATTGTTTTTGAAGGGCCAGTAACTCATCCGTGAGAAATAATCATGAACTGAAAAGTAGTTTAGTTCAAAAAAACTAAAGAAACGCCCTTTTATAGGTAGCCAAACTGAAAAGTAGTAGAAAATAAAATAATGTGTTAATAAATACACAACATAGAAAATATTAGCATCTCGGTAACCAGTACATTCTATGTTGTGTATTCATCAACACACTTTTATTATTTCATTTTCTACTTCTTTTTAGTTTGGCATGGTTTGGCTATAAAAAGGTGTTTCTTTAGTTTTTTGAACTACCTACTATTGATTTTCTATTTTTTAGTTCGGATAACTACAAAAGCGTGTTTTTTAGTGTTCTTGTGTTTTTTGACGAAAGAATCATTATCTCTGATCCCGAAAACACGCAGATACAGATTTTGAATAGATTCGGATCATAATAACAAAACTCGTCCGCCATATTGGATACGCCATCTTAAATTTCCGAATTTTGACGAAAGAATCATTATCTCCGACCCCGAAAACCCCCAGATACCAATTTTGAATAAAATCGGATCATAATTACAAAACTCGTCAGCCATTTCGGAACCGCCATTTTGATTTTTTGCCAAACAAACATTTCATGAAGCATTGCCACCCACCAGAGCTATGTACACCTGCCAAATTTGAAATCAATCGGTCCCTTTAAAGTGGGTCAAAATTAATTTCAAAGGAGTTGGTTACATACATACATAAATACATACATAGAGGTGAAGCTAATAAAAGGGTGTTGATAATAATAATTTGAGAAATAACATTTTGGAGCTTCTATAGTCTCTGGTATTTGATGATTTCTGCATAATATTGGATTTATTAATGTTATTCAAAAATCGTGAGAAACGGCGAAAAAATTGACCAACTATGCACTTGAAATAAGGAACATTGAGTAGTCATTTTGAATAAAATGATATTTAAAACATTTAAATCAACGAAATTGAGAAAAATTGGTACTCAAATATCAAAATGACGGGTCCAGATGAAATATGAACGGAATGAAGTTAGAAATAATTGTGAATTTTCAATAGCAGAGTTACAGTATATTTTGCAACAAAGAACGCGGGCCATCAGACATGATGTACACCTTACAGGAAGTAGCTGTTATTGAGAAGACTTTAACAAAAAAATCACATCATTTGCAGTTTGACAAAATTACCTATGTCTCACCTGATCTATTCATGCAGTTTCATTGTGAAAATTCCATATCATTTTCTACTTCTGAATCCGTTTTGAAAACGTTATTAATGTTTTTTATCATAATTTGAATATTATTTTTCCTATTATTAGTAATTGGAAAGATTGTAAGCATGACACAGTACCAATGTGCTTCCATTTGAAGTATTTCTCCTGGGTTTATTGAAAAAGTAAAAAAATCAGTTTTTTTTTATTTCCTTTTCCTTTATACAGATTTTTTCCTTAAATATGGGAAAAATTAACTTTAAAAACACTTATTTTCACCATGTTCCTCTATTTGCCAAAAAAATATTTGTTGTCTAGATTCAGTTAGAAAGAAAATTTTCGGCAACGTGCCGCAGCTGCAGCTTTTCTGTCGGAACAAGACCATTTGTTTTTACACTTACAAAATGTTTGCAAACACTCAGTTTCAAATAAGCCATGTTCCTTTTCTTGCATTTCCTGATGAGTAAATCATGATGAACATTGAAATAATCCGAAAAAATCAGGTGATATAAATCATGATTTAACCCACAAGGGACCGCGCTGGGTAGAAAATACCCCAGGTGATATCAAATTACGATTTTATTGCTTAATCTGCACGTCCCTGAAAAATCACGCCAGCTCCGTGGCTAAATAATATGATCGATTAACAAGTCTTTGTGGTCGACCGACTTTGAGTTATTGTTTTTCTCCTTTTGAAGTCTTTGCATGTGTTTCGTCATATATCCATACCCCACGCGGGAGAGAATTGAAATCTTCTATATCTGAATTCGTGTCTGTACAAATGGAAATTCAACCTCAAAACGAGCAGCCTGCAATGGTAGTCAAATTTTCATATTATCCAGCAAAAAAAAAGAAGCAATTATAAAAAGGGACGTGCGTATATTATTTAAGCGTTCATTGTAATTCATTATTCAATTCAAGTATACCAATCAAATTGAGTTCCTTCTTTATTATTGCTGTTTGTTTGTTACATTATTGTTATAAATAATGCAATTCCACATCTTACTGAGGTTTTTTTCGTCTCAAAATCCTTAAATTCAATCAAAACCAATGGGGTAGATTACTACCCCACGTGGTCCACGTTTAAGTTTCTATCGGCGCGGTCCCTCAGGGGTTAAATCATTTAATTGAAATCGTCGCAACTCTGGCTTGAAGCATAGTAAGCAACTACTCATGAGGCCTACAATGTTATAAAAACTAAATGATTTCATTTGAAATCAAATGTAAAATTCTGCTTTTTGAAGGTCGAATAGGGAACAATTATTGTGCAGTAGGTATTTACTGAATATGATACTTATTCATAATACAAACATTAGGACAATGCACAAATCCTATTTCTTCAGTTTTCATTTTGTCTGCCAGCATGTTTCAATCATTGTGACCAACTAAAGCACACTGAAACATTATTGTTTTAAAAATTTATAAGGTTCTATAAGGGCAGTAACTTGTGAGAAAAAGTGATATCACTTTCTCAACATACTGAAAAGTTGGAAATAAGTGAAACTTTTTAATAGCAATGATAATTTTAGTAAGATTTTAAACAAAGAATGTGGGAATGAAGTAGCTGTCATTGAGAACTCTCACAATATGATCTGCAGTGCAATAAAATTACCCTCTCAGCTGGCTGATGCATGCATCTATTATCTATTTTATGGTATGTGTCCCAGTTTTTTGTTTTGAATTGGTCATGAATTCTCCTTGCTATTAAAAATTTTCAATTATTTTTAACTTTCAACATTTAAAGAAAAAGTACTAACAGGTACATGAAACTTGAATATTTGTTTAGTATGTTACTAATGTGGTAACAGTGGATTTAGGAAGATATGTATTTCCCCAAAAAATCATTTAATTCACATTTTTTTTAGCAATGAACAGGTACATGAAAAACTTGACATGGATCTACTTTCATCTTAATAAAAAATGAAAAAAAATTAAGTAGAAAAAAATATGCATGCCAAAAAATAGCATGCATTTATATAAGTCACCTCAATTTTGAATTACTCATCTTCAATACTGAATAAAAAAGATGTGTAAGTACTATGATATTGTATGTTGAAGATCAAATTGTAGCAAATATCATAGTATTCCCATTTTCCAATATATTTCTTTCAAAATATTCATATTATAGCCCTCCTTCACTTTTGATCATGTACCAGTTACTTGCAGTGCCAGATTGCAGGGAAATTTGGCCTCACCACAAGGGAGGGGTGGGGTAATGATGTGTTCAGTTAAAAAAAATTAGCACCAGGTGAAAAAATAATTTGTTTCAGAATAGGTAGTAGTATGCAGCTGCATAATACATATTATATTAAACCATTTTTTGTGCTGTAATTCACAAAAAAATTAATCAATAGATAATTCTTTGAAAAAAAAAATTGGTTCTGGTAAAAATCAATAGCTACCAACCTGATACCAACATTAATGTCTGCATGGAAACATCAACATTTTAATAACTTAATCTACATCTACAGTGACATTTAGTGATTCACTGTATATTGGACCATAGATGATTTCATCAATACATTTATTTGAATTCATTAAATATGTATTTTTCAACTGACATTTTTGTCAGCATCCAAAAAGTGATCCTGTGATTGCAATAGACAATTTCTCAGTTTATTTTGAGCGAACTCTGATTTTCAAAAAGCCCCTGGTGCAGGACAATGTTAATATTTATAGGCAATAGACAAATAATTTTCATATAAGTACTAGTTTGCATAACAATTTCATCATAGCAGTGAACCAATGATAACAATTTGTACATATTCTGAAGCTTCATCATCTATAAAAGGCAAAACATTAGATGAAGAATTTATAACATTAGATCTTTAGAATTATAAAATACTTAATACTAATACAAAGAAAGATTAAAATGAATGAAATTCACACTCTTAGGTCACATGCATCAGGTAATTATTTATTAATTATTAAATAGATGCCCATATTCTCTTTGCATAATTTTGGCTGATATTGGTCCAATTTAATCTCTAATTTAACCATCAATATGAGGCAATAATAAAAACAGGATCTTAATATAGGTGAAAAAAATCTATTTGAGAAAATTAGAAACAGGAAGGGGGGCCAAAAATGCATTGCCAAGGAGCCTCTACATAACCTCATCTAGCCTAAAAATAATTATTTCAAAGCCTACTTACTCAAGCATCTAAATTTCCTGGGACAACCACCATCTTATTCAAAATGATTTGAATTATTGTGACCAAATTAAAAAAACAGGATTTAATATTGAATAGATGTGAAAAAAACCTATTTGAGAAAATGAGAAACAGGAAGGGGGACCAAACTTGCATTGCCTATGAGCCTCTACATAACCTTACCTGGCCCTGAAAATAATAATTTGAAATCCTTCTAACAGAGGATTTTAAATTTCCAGGGGCAATCACCAAGTTATCCAAAACAGTTTGAATTTCAATGTCCAAAATTTGAAATGGATGCTGACAGGAATAAAAAAAAACAGCATCTAAAATCAAATTGGAGAAAAAAATCCTATCTGAAAAAATTAGAAACAGAAAGGAGAAGCAAACTTGCATTGCCTTGGAGCCTCTACATAACCTCAACTGGCCCTGATAATAATAATTTCGAATCTTACTCATACAAGCATTCAAATTTTCTGTGGCAACCACCTATTCTAAATGATTTGAATTTTCCTGACCAAATTCAAAATTAAAAAAAAAATAGGATCACATATTGAATAGATGTGAAGAAAATTTATTTGAGAAAATTAAAAACAGGAAGGGGGCCAAAATTGCATTGCTTAAGAGCATCTACATAACCTCATCTGGCCTGAAAATAATAATTTCTGATCCTACTTACACAAGCATCAAAATTTCCTGGGGCAACCACCAAGTTATCCAAAACGGTTTGAATTTTCGTGACCAAATTTAATATGGCTGTTTGCTCGGCAGGAGTAGGAGAAAGATCAGAGTTCCTTTTCAGCAAGGCCTGGGTGAAGGCAGAGTCGTCTACAGCGGGTTTTGTACGTGGAAAAGATAGTTCGCACAAAGCCAAATCGAACGGGTGTCTGGGTACAAACATCTTCACTTTGTATGGCGGCCTTCCACCAACGCCTCGGTTCATGCCGCCTCTACCTCTCATTCCACCTCTAGCCATCTTGATACTACGAAAAAATGTGAAATGATCATCTATCTACCGATAAAGCAATGAGAGTTCACATGAAGAAGAAAAATATAGTATAATTACCAGTAACAATCGAAAACCGGTGAAAGAAACGATCACAACCTGCAAAACTGCAATTTCCAATTTAATTTAATGGACACGAAATCGAAATTTCACTTCACAAACACGAACACCAGAATATCAAATGTCAACGTCAGAAGTCAGCCTACTTGTCAAATGTCGATCACCATTATTAAGCCGTTCGTAGAGCAAATTCGTTTTGCCCAAGCATTAACATATCAGCGCCACGGAGTATGACTGCAAAAAGGTGTTGGCTTCATTCTGATTTTTGTATTTTCATAAAATGATAAAATGAAATTCCTTGAAGGACATACAATCATTTAAACGCACAAAACTAATATGAGTTCTATGTTTAAATGTTATCAGGTCATAACCAGAACACAATGAAGCCGACACTCATGTTACGGTCCTGGCCCGTGGCCCTACATCACACTACATGCCGCAGAAAGGGAAAATTGTATGCTAGTGAATAGAATGAAATGGGCTGACGCCACGCTAACAGCGGAACACGATACACTCGCCTTCAAAAAACATGTCAGCATGTCATACATGGATGATGTCAGCTCTTTCAATCAACAAGTGTCTAGCTAGACCAGTGAATCTATCAAACCTTAAGGTTATCAGGAGGTTATTCGTGTTTATAAGACTTATAAGGTAATATGAGGAAGAAAAATATATCTGCTGCATGAAAAATGAAAGTACTTCCAAGCTGATTTGTTCTATATGAACTATCTTTCTGAGAAGTATATTTTTGAAAATTCGAGTGAAAAAAAAGATCCTAAAGTCTTCGAACTATTCCCAAACCTTATTGTAAGGTCAGATTCACGTGATACAATATGGACACATGCGCATTCGCTTGTAGAAAAACTTAAAAAACACAAGACCACAAGACCGTCGGGGCCTCGAGAGGAAGGAAAAACATCCTTGGAAGCCCAAATCACTACACAAATGATCACAGTGGGCCGAAGCCATGCTATTATTATAGTGGACCAGAAGAGAAGTCCCTGACCAAACTCAGCGGGTGACATCACTTGACCTCGATGTTTGAAGATTCACTGGTCTAGCGTCTAGGTCATAGACAAACCAAATTTCTCTATGGTCATGGTCTAGCTAGACGCTTGTTAGGACATTGAACATAGACTCATTGTAGAGAAGAGCATGATCATCTGTTGAACCAGAAATAGATTTCTTAACTCACGAAACTCCATATTTTCAGCTAATACCAAATTGATTCATGACAAATCGTTATAGCGTAACAATCTCCGTGAAATAGTAATAGATCTACAAAACTAATGACAAGAACAATACTGCATTTAGCTGAATGGTAAGCAAAGTCGTGCCCAGGATTTTTCTTCGGGGGGTGGGTCCAAGAAAAACAAATGAAATGCTAATACTGCCGATGACAGACCCTGAAGGTAATGAAACACAACTTCACTTTTATGTGAAACATTGAAACACAACCTCACCTTATTTGTTTACGAAGGACTCGAAAGATTGGAATAATTTTTCACAATATTTAGGCATACGAATAGTTTTTCTTTTTGGGCTATTTATTAATTCAAGTATGCCATTTCACTGTGCTGTTGTAAGCCATAAAAGCCATTGTCAGCTTCCTGACTCATAGAAAAGAAAAAAAAATCCTTTTTACTTCTATACTGTTTTATTACAAATAATGTATCTTCATCGCATAATATGAGTATACCAAAACCTACCATTCGGAACTGTAGGTTGAATAAAGAACTAATTAAGGATCTTCATACGTTATTCGCGTTAAATCTTCATCTTGCACATTCCTCGTAGGAGAATAAACTCGGCCCCTAGACCTTACCATCATAACCGACTTCTTGAGTGAGTAATTTCCCAACCACTGCTCCCATATAATTCCTCTAAAATAATTGCTTTCATCAGGATCCCTGAAGTATTGTCCGTTCAAGTTTGATTCGAAACACCTGAAAATTGGAGAAATATATATAGGTACAGTACTCCAACTACAGCTGTCTTCTTCGTTCCAGATCCTGTTGGTCTCATGAACCAATTAGTATAACATGCAATATAACTCATGGAATCAAACTAAAACCTTGATCAGAGGCCCAAAAACGTGGGGCAAGAAAATTTACCTGTGAAACCACCATCCTCCACCATATGTGACAGCACATGGACAACATTCTGGGGCTTTGTCGTTTTTCCTGTCATACGTGCTGAAGTACGATCCATTATGTCCTGAGAAAGAGTCCGTAGCATTCCCTCTATATTTTCCAATACTAAGCTTATAGTTTTCGCTCTCAGACCCCACTACAAAATTGCTATATTCAGCCATAGCAAAGTTCTTTTCGAAATCCTCGAGCTCTATCTTCAACACTAGGTTGTTTTCATTAGAAAACATGTGCAAAAAATCATTGCCCATCCAGAAATCAGTGTGCATGTTCCCGAATCCATTTTTGTACTCCTTCCAGGATACATTGAAGTTGTGTATTGGCATGTAGTTATCACGTCTTTGGATCACAGTCCAAATCCCATCTGATCTGATTTCGCAGTAGCGCTTGTTGAAATACTTTTCACTCTCCCGCCCTGGGTTCTGCTTTTCAAAGATGTAGACTCCGCTAGAATTCTCATCTCCGTCCAGGTCTTCACAAGATGATTTGCCCAACATGGGTCTCCACGTGGGTTGAAGATTTTCTGAAAGGGTTGTAGGTTTCGTGACAGTTGGGACATGTTCTGTTGTTGGTATAACAGGTAGTGCTGTAGATGAAATCTCTGTGGATGGTGCGGTGTTTGAATCACAAGACATTCTGTCATACCTTTGTATAGCACTCTCGAAGTGCACTCTTTGCTCACTAAAGTAATTGCTCAACGTACTGTATAAATCAGCAGTGCTATTTTCCATCACCTTGAGCAGCTTCGAGTTCGATTTCTTTTCTTTCTCATTATAAACATCTTCCTTATCTAAAATTATCAATGTGGCGTTTTCTATCCTTATGGTTCTGTTCAGGATTTCTTCCAGTGTTGGATTCATTTGTTTACAAGTCTGTGTTGATTTCTTCGTGGGTTTCTTCTTCCCTTTCGAGTTTGCTTGTGTATCATAGTTTATATTTTCTCCACTACCTTCGAATTCTATGAATTCGCCGTCTTCTTCTACATGCTCGATAGAATCATCAGAAGAAGAGTTGTCTTTGGTAATGGTATCAAACATTACATCTACTTTGGAGGCTATATCATTTAGTAAATCTTCTACAACTTTGGGAGTGTTACATTTGACATGCAGTTTTTGTTTGTCGTTACTGTTGGTACTTGCAGTACTAGTTTTGTGTACAGTATTTTGATTGGCAATCAATAGTCTGTCTAGTTTTCTTTCAACGCTTTTGATAGAACTGAGCACACCTCTTGAAGTGAATTCACTCAGTAATGTATCGTGGGATATTCTGAAGGATTTCGATTGGAGGAGTGTGTCTAAACTGTTGGTGGTGTCTTGCACTTTTTCTAAATTTTTTGCCATATTGTCAAGTTTGTACTCCAATGCCAAGAGGTTGTTAATTTTTCCATCCAGAGATAAGATCGTTTCTTGCCCCCTGCAATTAGGAAGGAGGTTAAAAACATGTTCTGGAGAATATAAATACATCAGTTCATTGTATATTTTTCGACTAAAGTAGTCAGAAATCGACAAAGCGATACGCAGTTAGGTGTACATTTTGAGCGCCCTGTATGAGCAGTTGGGAAGTTAAATTGAAACATTGTGATTGAAACACAACACAAAATCAGGCAGTCTTCGTTCACCTGTCTACCTATTCAGTATTTGTCAATTAAAAAATGTCAACAGATTCCTGAATCTTGCATAAAATGAACAACCTGTACTTCTTCATATGCACAGTTGGTATCTTCCACCTTGGTCTCGCTCAACAGATCCGAAGAAGACAAACCGACATAGAAAATTCAGGCAACACGTCGTCTTGTAAAGACCTGGGCATCAATACCAAATTCTTCGTGGGGCTACAGAAACCCCTGCGGAGGCACCATTGCGGGGCCACTCTTCTAAACAGCCATTGGGTTCTCAGCACAGCCCAATGTCGAACGAAAGGCCTCTACGCAGTCGCAGGAATAAACGATGTCCAAGACTATTACGTCATGTCGAAAATAGACAGAATATTCCCCCATCCCCATTGGAACAAAACAACTAACGCGGACGACATAGCGCTGTTCGAGCTCGTTGACACCATTAAAGCTAACAATCCCTTCGTTGAGTATGTGAAGCTTCCAGAGAAACAATACCCTACTTATCAGATGGACTATGAGGTGTGCAAGTCAGCTTACATCTTAGGAATCCCGTACAGAAAGGATGGGACCTTCCGGGACCAAATACGGTGCCAGCTTGACCTCCAAGTCATGTCTTGGCAATTCTGTAGTTCCGAGTACATGGGCGCTGTCGCCGTGAACATCCTGTGTACTGGTAGTGGGGCAGAGGTATGTCGAGGAGATCTAGGTGGACCCTTGATGTGCGGCAATATTCAGTATGGAGTCATCAGCAGTCAAGAGTGTGATGATGAAATGACTCCCATTTATACGAGAATAGATCCTTTGTTACCTTTCATAAGAGCAGGCATGCGTAGAAGAGAAAAAATAGCACGGAGCGCATCGCAGAAGATGTATTCAAGTGGAGCTCTTGTTGTAGTGTCACTATTTTATTATTCAATGATGACGTAGGTCTTATATATTATCCTACTTTGGCGTATTACCAGTAGATAAGTTGAAGAGGACACATTTCAAACAGATTTGGCTCAGAACCCTCATAGTTTATCTACTTATACCTATTATCTTAAAATCGTTGTGTCAACCTATATGAATTGTAATTATATATACATATTTTCATCATGATTGCACTGAGAAAAAACTTTTCGACTTAAAATTCCTGAAAAAATCGCACCTTGAAGTTTTGCCATATAATTAAATAACACCCTGTATAATGATAATCCAGCTTTTATCCATCCGTATTAATTAGTCGTAACGCACGATATCATGATCTCAGCACAAGAATTCAAATATCCAGAATACAGTGTTTTTTACTAGCTGCTACTTGTTTAAAATGAAAAATGAATCCACGAATTGAGTAAATGAGTCAATGAGTGAATGAGTACTTGGAGTTCAAGTTACACTGGATTTTTTTTTATGTTCTGGTTCCCACAAAAAGGGATATCCTTATTCAGAGAACATCGTGAGAACCAAGGGAAATAAGGTAGGAATTGGTGTTCTTCTTAAATTTCTGGAGGTTATATGCCTCGGGAAACACCTCCCTTGGTAATGAGTTCCAGAGCCTCGCTGTTCGTTGGATGAACGAGTCTTTGGAGAGAGATGTTCTACAGGTCTCCAAAGTGACCACGAAGGGGTGCGAAGCCTCAACTCGACGGGTTAATCTCGCGGGGACTGCCAAGGGAGGTACAATTGTTGATATTTCAGCAGAGCATCGTCCATGAAAATATCTATAAAATAGAACAAGATTGCCAAATTTTCCACGGTGTTCCAGAGAAGTGAGTATCGCGCATTGTATCTAAACTACCTATATGAGATTTTTATATTCCAACATGATGGTTCTCAATCGAGCAAACATCCGAGATATCATTATATTCTCAATGTTTAACAATAATTAAAGCCTTTCAAGTCAGTTCAACATTGTTCTTTATATTGAGAGTGAAATAGTTTGGTCATCTCGACTATTTCTCGATCACCAAAGTATCTTTTTGCTCACTAGATACAAAAATAACTAGTTTCAAATAGACAGCAATCATATAGTAATGAATGTGAATGTGGCTCTTACTTGCTCAAAATATCCATTTTTCTGTCAAGTGAAGCCAGCTGCTCATTCCATGCGGTCACGTGTAATTGAAAGGTGTCCCATACATGGGCTCTTTCTTGCAAATTATGGATATTACTGTCTATACTGGCCAAAATTGAGGCTGTGGAAGATATCCTTGGTTCCAATGAGGTAACGAAAAGTGTGTTCCATTTTTCCCATTGATCTTGAAAACAAACACAAAGTGAGATTGATAAAAAACTTCAAGTATTTCATTTACGTAATTGCCTAATGAGGTTGTTTCCTTTTTTCATCAATATCAGGATGATACAAACTACTCACAACCGAGCGTCACCAACAAAAGTAGATATTTTATTCATCAAACATACCATAGAATCGGTGTTTTTTTCAATCTGATGCCAATTCGATTAATATCCGTTTAATACTATTGGATTTGAATCTTGGTAATTTGTTAAAATGAAGTATCAACTACACTTTCCTTGAGAATAAGTTGTTCATGTTTCGATGGGAAGAATCAAAATGATGAGAAAACAGAAAAAATGTATTTGGAAGGGTAATTTGGAATGATGCTGCGAAAATATAAACGACTACTTCATGCATCAATAGGGCTGGATTAAATTCAACAAAAAATGGAATAGGCATTTGAAACTGTTTTACATAGGACTTCAAGCTCCCACAAGATTTGGAGTCCTTTAAACAATAACTGCTTCAGGAGATATCGTGGCCAAAATCCGAACGATTTGGAACATCTGACCGTATTTAACTATTTCCAAAGAGAAATCTTCAATTAAAGACTTAATTACTGCTGCTTCCCCTTCCTCTTGTCATACTTTCACGAACAATGATCTACGACTATTCCTACAATGTTATCATCTCAACCACAAGGGTTCATGTAAATTCATTGTTGTTGGAAAGAAATTGACGGAAAAGAGTAGTTGAGAAAAAACACAGTACTGATTTTTTTTGATAATTTGAAATGTGAGTTTTCATCGAAATTCTAGGAGGATTTTATTAGTGGTGACTTTTAAATAAATTTGTATTGAGTAAGTAGCTCCTGTTTTCCATTTCATTATGTGAAGCGGGGTTTGTTGATAATCACTGGTAATCAAAATATTCTTGATATGCCACTTCATTTTTCGAATGTTGAACATGAACAAAACTAAAATGCTGGGGTCTAGCAATCGAATGATTACAGCGATTAGGGTTCTCAAAATCGAGATTTTTCAACTTTAGGATTTTTTTTGTATCGAAACTATACATTATCGGTCAAAACGGTTTCCTTGTGTCTGTCTTAACTTTTTATTTACTATCTACTGACATTTAATTGGCACAAATACAGAGGGTGGTTCAAGATTCAGAATTCTGATCACCCTGTATTTGTTCCAATTAGATGTCACTAGATAGTAAATCAAAAGTTAAGAAAAGATCATGAAAGCCGGTGATAGATCGTTTCGACACAAAAAAAATCCTGAGGTTGAAAAATGTCGATTTTGAACACCCTATATCTCTGTATCATTCCCGCTAGACCCCAAGTGTGATGAATTGATGAAATCAGCTCTTCAGGAAGAATCTGAATGTGTGATTGAAAACAGGGTGTTCCATTTGAAAATCGAAAATTGATGCTCGTAACGTTTCAAGGTTTCAGCTTTGGAATATAATAATTGCAGAAAAATGTGTCCGCCAACGATTTCGGAGATAAAGGGGGTGACAAGTTATAACTGGGACACACTGTATATACATCAACTCGTCTTCATTTCCATATTCACCCTCTGGCTATGTGAGTTTACTCATGAATCACCCTGTATACAGATACTATTATTGATTTGTGTAATTACTTATGTTCAATGTCAGGTGGGTACGAATAAATAGATATTTTAGTCAATAAAGGTTTGTCGCTTTATTATGATAAAGGGTTTTTCCCTATAGTATTCCATAACAGTGATTGTATGGAAAGATAAATAATTGGAAAATAATTAACCGTTCTAATGCTAGAAAACCCGGCACCTTAATTCGAAATATGTTTGAGAATGTCTATTGATTTGCTTAAAAGAATGTTATAGGAATGATAAATCTAATTATCCTCTATACATATATTAACTATCCATATAATTTTGAATATTGTAAAAAAATAATAGGTAATTTCAAAGTAGGTATAGGCATAAAATAATTAAATGGTTAACTATTTCACTGAGTCGTTGGAATTTTCAATTTAACTCGACTCAAATTCGGATTCTGATATACAAGAAACTAAATTATATACTGTCTGTAGGTTAATCGAGAAGGTGGTACATTCATTTTGCCTGATTTTTGGGGATTTTTTCTCCTCGTTTCTATAAAATACAAATATGCGTATTATTTCAATATATTTGTAGTGGGGCAAATCAACTGATGTCACGGCGTTTAACAAATTTTCAAACTATAAGCAGAACACAACTTCCAAAGAAAAATATTTCGCATTTTCATGTTGAAAACGGGAGCAGATTCGTTCCAGAAACGTCCAAAGATAAGTACAAATTCGATATTTTTTCAAAATATCTATATTTCTTTCCTTCGAACATTTTTTCAAACAAAGTGTCACTGACAAACTACTGTATTTTTCTTTTAGGCTCATCTGATTTGTCCCACTACAAATATATTGAAATAATACGCATATTTTCATTTTACAGAAACGAGGAGAGAAAACAAAAAAAAATCAAGTAAAATAAACTATATTATACAGGGTGTTTCACAGGTAAAGGGAAATATTTCAATGGTAGATAGGGGTCACCAAGGTGGTTCTGAAAATACCATATTTTTTGATAGGTCTTAGAGTTTTCATAACGGAGATACAGGGCGATTTATCGATTTCGAATAATTATTCATTCGTCTATAAGTATTGAACTACCCAGTAAATTTTTCTAAAAATTGGTATGGAGCTTCAACTTGGGACGTTGAATGTATTCACCTATCGGGCGAAGTGAAAATCCAGGTTCGGCTTCAGGACAAAATTTACATTTATTCGAAATAGCAAAATAACACACTGTATGTAATAATTGACAAAGTTCATCAAAGGAATCGTGAAGAGGAGAAAAAACTGAACTGGATTTGATGCTTTTTGTTTTCATGCCATCAATTCTCATTGTAACAATCATAAACAGGAAGCTAAAAGTATGTCAATTTCAAGAGTATTAAAATTATGAAACCACTTTCAATTATGATTATTTGATATATTCTTGTTAAATGATCGTTCCAAAGAACTTACTTAGTCTCACAGTCTTTATAACAGAAATACAGGGTGAATTATCACTCGTCCATAAGTATTAAACTACCCATCGCAGTAATATTTTCTCAAATTTGGTATTGAGCTTACTTGGGACGATGAATTCATTGACCTATCAGGCAGAATGGAAATACAGGTTCAGCTTCAGGAAAAGTCTCAAAGTCGTTATAACAGAGATACAGGGTGAATTATCGAATTATAATTCCGCCTCATAGGTTAATGAATCCATCGTCCCAAGTAAGCTACATACCATATTTGAGAAAATGTTACTGGGTAGTTTTATACTTATGGACGAGTGAATGATTATTCAAAACCGATAATTCACCCTGTATCTCCGTTATAAAAACTGTGAGACTTAGTGAGTTCTTTAGAGCGATTTTTTGACTAAAATATATCGAATAATCATAATTGACACTGGTTTCATAATTTCAATACTCTTCAAATTGACATACTTTCAGCTTTCTGTTTAGGATTGTTACGATGAGAATTGGTGGCGGGAAAACAAAAAGCATCAAATCCAGTTCAGTTTCTCCTCCTCTTTACGATTCTTTTGATGAACTCTGTCAATTATTACATACAGTGTGTTATTTCAATATTTCGAATAAATGTGAATTTTTCCTGAAGCCCAACCTGGATTTTCTCTTCGCCCGATAGGTGAATGAATTCAACGTCCCAAATTTAAGCTCCATACCAAATTTTAGAAAAATATACTGGGTAGTTCAATACTTATAGACGAATGAATAATTATTCGAAATCGATAAATCGCCCTGTATCCCCGTTATGAAAACTCTAAGACCTATCAAATATGGTATTTTCAGAACCACCTTGGTGACCCCTATCTTTCATTGAAATATTTCCCTTTACCTGTGAAACACCCGTATTGTATAATTATTAGAAGCGATAGCACAATGAAAAATGTTGGATAAAACCCATTTGGGAAAACCATAGCTTTTCCATTTGTAATGATTGTTGAGATAATGGTACCTTTTTCAAATGAAAACAATTTTCAAACACTATAATGATAGGAAAAACCATGCAATACTCGTCATTCCCTTCGAAATAACACAATGATTAAAATACCCAATCAAACCAAATTTTCACCTGACAAAACCTTGATGGTATTTCTCACAGTAGAAAACTCGACAAGTAAACGATCACTTATTTCTTCTGTCTGGACATGAGGAACTCCATAGATAACCTGAACACACAACACCAACAGTCCAAAAATAATTAGGTCTACTTTCATCTTTTCTCGATTCGTGCCCTCAGTGGCAATGTACCTGGATATACTGAGAGGATTTCCTTCAGATCACATTTCCAGTTGATCTTGAATGAATCACGAACTCAAGTTCCGTATTCGTAACGTACAATAATAGTATGGAGATTGCTATGTTCAAGTAGCAAGGTCGCATGTGTTTGAAGAATGAAGACGTTAGAACAAAAAAAGGAAGTTCAAAATTCCAGATGGTTTGGCGTGTTCGGATCCGTTTGTGGTTAGTGACACCAGTGATAAAACAATAATGTGAAAGCTTCTAGAGGAAATGACATACAGCGTGATTCAATAACTCGAAAACCTATAGTGAATATCCATTCATCCCACTCAACGAATTAAGAGTGGAGCCGCACAAAATAAAGATTTCAACTATTCAATATATCCATAATTCTTTCCTAGAGGACTAGAGAGGATGCTATTTTGGTAGTAGTATTATAGTAGTTGTGTGTTGTAGGCTTTGATACTAACTCTCCATACTCCACCTCAGGAGCAGCACTGTTAATTGGAACATTTTCGACTGTGTCGATCATAAGATTCTCTATGATGAATTATTTCGTTATGGCATACGAATTACGAAGTATACCCTTAACATGGATAACAGACTATCTTGTACCTCATGCCTGTAGTTTCAGTTATATTATAGAGAGATGAAAATTATGTATATGATGAAAAATGGCTGAAAGAATAACAGGACTTCAGGTTACTGATGAGGATTTGATATCCGAAATGAGTTGATTCGAGTAACCTTTTTTTTCATGCTCTCTTCTTGGATATTCCACAGATATAATTCAATGTTCGACGTGGCAAATAGCAAGGAGAGTAGTTGTTTTCTGTTGGATATTCAGAATGATAGCATGTGCATATCTTTATATAAAGGAGAATGCAAATTCTCTACTTCAGAAGATTTTGTTTTCAAATTGTTATCGTGTGTATTCAATAAATGTAATTCAATGTTCGTAGTGGCATATAGCCAGGAAAGTAGTTGTTTTCTGTTGAATAAAACAAGGAAGAATTGATATTTCCATCACATAGAGAATGCGAATTATCAATGTATTTCTTAATATATATATCCATTTTTTTATGTTCATAATTATATCTAAGAATTTTCCTTTTCAATCGACTATTTTTTGTCAATAAGTGAACATTCGAGCATTGTCGACCACATAATTAGTTATAATAATTGTTATTTGGAATTGTGTTGCAGTTGAAAAGTTATCTAGCTTCTTCATATATTTGTAAATTATTTGAAGCATCCTCTAAGCATATTGCGTAGGAAATGGCAGAAATCCAAATTCAGATGTGGATTGAAACTTTATTATTCTATATTCAGTAAACATCGCCTTTTCTCAAAAGTGAATTATTTTTCGTTGGGCCATACAATGCTCTCAATCCATGGGACGTAATAAGCCACCCTGCTGTACACCCCCGGGGTCGAAGATAGGCCACAAGCTTTGCCGAAAGACGTAACTCCAATCAATGTGTGCACTTTCACTGTGAAACTCCTTTCGGGGTTCGCAACTTGCAGTGGTCCTCCCGAATCACCCTGAAACAATAGAAATTCACGTAACTAGCTTGGTAACTAGTTAGCAATACTTGTAGTTCCTTGATGACTATTACATGTGGTGTACCGCAAGGGTCAGTTTTGGGGCCAATTTTATTTTTAATTTACATTAACTCAATATCTACTTCAAAATTGAAAGGAAAAGTAAAATTATTTGCAGATGATACAACTATACTTCAAAAGATATTGACATAATACAAATGTAACAAAATGTTTAGGTCTTTATATTGGTGAACAACTATCGTGGACTCTACATATAGATCATTTGAGGAAAAAATTGAATCCTATTGCTGGTATTATATATAAAATTCGAAATTTCATTCCTGTTAGATACCTAAAGAGTATATTTATTTCTGTCTTTTTTATTTAAATTTACAATATCTAATATCTATTTGGGGAAGTACAAATATTACTTAATCGAGATTATCTTTGTCAGTTTTTGAAAATTATACATTCTAAGGCCTGCAGAACACCAGAAATCGCATCAGAATAATCGTCGTCTGGTGTTCAACACCTGCCTTTGATCTATACCAAAAAATCTACATTTCTCAAAAACTGACGATTACCTCGATAAAGTATATATGTATATATACTTGAATTCAGGAGAGAAAGCTCTACTGTTTAGGGAAATGAAATACAGGGTGTTCCATTCGAAAAATACCAGTAAATTTCCTTTTAGCATTTTCCAGTTCTAGATTCTGAATGCCTATTGAAATACTTCATCATTGAATATTTGAACGTTTCTATAAGACCAATATTAATTGAGATAGCTATTGAGTAATATATAAACAATACCCTGTATACGGGCGATATTTCAAGAGAATTATATTTTCACTCACTTGACAAGTATCCTTTCCGACGACTCCTCCAGCACAAATTTGTCTATCGTCCAGAATTCCACTTGGCAACATTCTTTTGGGGATGCTCACATACGAATTTCTGCACTGTGTGTTATCCACCCTGTCTAGATCTACTTTCAACAAATAGCTGCTGCTCTCCCCTATGAAATCACTTTTACCCCAGCCACTGGCAGTCATTTTCGACACTGAAAATAAAAACAGAAAACAATTGAATGAACAGTTATTGCATAATGATTGAACAGCACGAATGAACGAGAGTCTCATGAATGAATGCACGAAGATCGGAACGCGAATGGACAGCATTTGGATGATTAATAGATTAATGAATAAACTACACCTTTAACAAAGCATGAAAAAATCAACTCAATTGCATGATTCAAACACTAATAAGAGACAGATACGACAACAGTATAGCCAATGAACATCTGATTAACGACTGAAAGATTGAAACAGAGATTATCCTAAAAAACAAATGAATAAACCACAGACCAGTGAATGAACCACAGACGACTTAATGAACATTGGACAATAACAAAGTCGAAGGCACGAATGAATAAACCGATGTTACCTGACCATAAAACAGGAGTTCTTCGAATGAATAACACATTCATGAATAAACTACAGCCGGATCATCATTGGACGAAGCAAGAAAGAACAAACTTGATTGCTAAAATGCATGATTCATACACGAATAGAGGACATGGCATTTACTCTCTCATATATTTCCCTGTTATAAACATGTATGCTACTTGGGAATAATAAAGATTATTATTATTATCATTATTAACACTTCATACAGTATCAGAATCAGGAATGAACATCTTTTGCATGATCAAAAACATGGAACAGAAGATATCCGAAATATCAGATGGATGAACCACATACGAGTGAATAAACATTGGACAAAAGCAAAGTTGAAGACTATAGAACAAGAGATCTTCGAATGAATAACAGGTTCATGAATAAACTACAAACCAATCATCGATGGACGAAGTATGTAAATTAAACTTATTTGTACGAATGCACGGTTTATACACGAATAAAGGACAGATACAGCAACATAATCGCGAATGAACATCTGACTCATGACTAGGAGGTTGAAACAGAAGACATCCGAAATAACAGATGAATGAGCCGCAGACGAGTGAAAGAAGCACATACGAATAATGAACATTATTGGACTAAAACAAAATCCAAGGCACTAATGAAGACTGACCATAGAGCAGAAGATCTTCGAATGAATAACAAGTTCATGAATGAACTACAGACGAATCACGTGTGAACCAAGCATAGAAGAATGAACTTAATTGTTCGAATGCACGATTCATTCACGAATAAGGGATTGATACAGCAATTTGAAACAGAACATGTCCGAAATAACAGATGAATGAACCACAGACTAATGAATGAATATAGGGAAAAACAAAATTAAAGGCACGAATTAATAGAATGATGTTAACTGACCGAATTATTTATGGATTTACAGGGAAGGCTCGAAAATGTTAGATGGAAATAGAAAATAAACGAATAAGGAATAAACTATGGATGTACGAATGAACATCAGCTGAATGTTAGATTTACATACCTGTGGGAGAGTTTTTTGTTGCCAGGCAGGCAGGACTGACAAATTGCGATAATGACACTTCTCTGTCTAGTTCTATCAACGCTATGTCGTTATACCTGGAAGGTGGTTGGTATTCTGGATGGGGAATACTTCTTTTGATGGTGAAGTTCTGCGGTTCTGCATCGTCAGTGTTGGTTGATAGGTCTAGATCACCTAGACGGACCCATTTCGCAGCACCACTGGAATTTCAAGAATAATCAAGAATAATCATACATTTCGAATCTTCTACTTATGTTGTTAGTTGTACAATATTTGATTCACTAGTCATAGAAAAACTGTTTTGAGTTTTGGCTTGTGATATAGAGTCTATAAATTTGTAGTTAATTGAAGTTGAATCATCCGTTTAAGTATTCCACTTACAAGTCACTTGATTCCAAGCAATGGCCAGCTGTCAAAACAAAATTCAAACTTATTAGGGAGCCACCACAGCCCCACTGAATATCTTTTTCGTCTCCATAACCTATGATTGCCTGAAATATAGGAAATTGTTATTTAAAAGTGATAGAGATGAATGTTTTTACTTTACAAGAAAAAAAAATGAGATTCACAAATTAAGAATTTATATGGTTAATTTCACTGATCTAATTATCTATGAAACTAATTTTTCTTCAAAAAAATTGAGAGTTAATAGAGATCGCTTAGCTGATTGATAGTTATTCAAATAGTTGAAGACTCACCATATGTGGAAATTCTTTGGCTAGAGATTGAACTCCTCCGGTTACCAAGATGTGATAGTCTGGTTTTGGATAAAACAGTTCGCATTCTAAAAATAAATAATTATTATTATCATCAAAGAAAACCCGAATTATTGCACCACATCATTAAATACTTTATTGAATATTTATTTCTAGCCAAAAAATATATACCTACCTATATTATAATAGCTTCACATAGGTTTTCCAGAAAACATCGTTTAGGAACAAAAATCTACTGAAAGTACTCGTTTGTGCGCAGAAAAAAGTGACTTAAAATTTAAACACGGCTCCTCTTTTGAGGGGGCCATTTTTGTTGTGACAGAAGGATTTACGATAGTCCGCAAAATTAATAACGATGGCACCAAATAGCACACTATCTGGTGTTAAAATTTTTTTATAGGTACAAAAATAATTTTTCAAAACAAATATTGAATTCCTCGTTTGTGGAATAGCGGTGGCTTTCAATAATATTATTCCCAATTATGAGAAAAATTGGTACCTATACCTCTACAACTGAGACTGGGGTAGTGATATAAGAGATACAAATATATCCTGTTAAAATGAGAGTAATATTCAGACGAAATTGAATGAAATCCCACTTATCAATTTTTGAAGGATATGCTGTTTTCGAGTGTCGACAGATTTGGGAAATTATCAGAATTGCTACTCACTTTTTTCACTCAAGTATTTTTCAGATGCGGTTGGTAATCCTTGCACTAAATTCACCAGTGGAGGCTCATTTGAGGGATTTTGATATTGATCCTGAAGACAACAGACTATTGGTTCACTGCCTGCGAATCCGCAAGTATCAGGGTATTGCCTCTTTCTGATCAAATCTTGGGCGTAGGTGCATCTACTGACTAGCTGGCAAGAGCCCAGAAGTCCCTTTGTCGAGCATTCTAAAAAAATCATGAAAAAAGGATCAAAATCGAGTAAATAAAAAACGAGCTATCTATCGCCTATTAATTTTTCTGATAGCTATCTGAAACACCCTCTATAGAACCTGATTACAGAATGCAGAATATATTTTGTTGAAAAAATCGCTTATAACGATTTTATTAATTTTCAAGCATCCGCAAGATTTTATGAAAAAACACAAGAGTAAAGTGCTCCCCAGGGGGGCTGGGGAAAAAATTCAAAAACTTTTCATCGTGTATTTTCATGAGATAAATCGATTTACGGTGAAATTGAGATGATTTGACTCTCAAAAATACCCAGTCCGCAAGATTTTATGAAAAAACACAAGAGTAAAGTGCTCCCCAGGGGGGTCATAGAAAACAAAATAAAACTTCTCATCGTGTAAATCGGTGAGCTGAATCCAGATATGCAATAAAAACATCGAAAAGTTTGGAAAAAACAACGTTACCTTCATTGAGAGACAGTACACCACCAAGCCACAAAAATAACACAAACCAACCAAGATACATATTTAGAAACATGTTCATCTATCATCAAAGTAGGTATATAAAAGTTTTCCCGGCTCCCTCTATGTTTTAAGTATAAGTAGGTATAGTCATTAAACAAGTTATACCGAGTATCTCTAATGACTGGCTTTGCCATTTTTGTTTATGGTTTATTTGCCATCAGTTCAATCCTCTGCAAAACCGGAATGATTTTCAGAAAATAAATGAAAAATAATTGAAATTTATAGGCACCATTGGCGGAGCATCGTGACTATATTAAAAATCAAATACGTCAAAAAACTGCCCAACTCATGATACTGAAATCCTGTTATAAACGAATTTATCTTCGTTGGTTCTGCAATTGACATTGCAAGTGAATAAAATGAATTTCTTCCATATTGAGAAAGTGTTTGATATCATCCTAGATATTTAACAGCGAAACGACGCTGTGTTATTGTTGAAATGTCTGATTGCCCTTACCATAATCGTTAATTAATGTAAATAGATTGGTCGTCATTAATAGTCGATTTCTTGAACATCAGTCAAACTTGTTACTATACGACGAAGTAGGCGGAAAATGCATCTTGGGTATAGTAATAGAAGTTGGGATATGAAAGTTACAGAAAAATATGTCCCTCGTCAAATTATAATCAACCTATCCGAGCGATTTCCAATTTCTTCAATGACTCAGGAGATAAGTGGGGCGATAAGTTTCATCTGGGACACACTGTATATAAGGATAAGTTGAGTTTTAGTTCAATCAACATTTGACACAACTATACAAGGTCTAATCTATCGATCTGTGCATCAATTATACTCTATTCACATTGGATACCTAATTCATACTGGCATATGATTCACGTTTCATAACAGAAAATTATTGGTTCTGAGTACCTATTTCAACCTATTTGTTTAACTAGAGTTAGATTGACAAAAGTATAATTGTAAACAATACTATCTGCAGTTCTTTCTCTGTGTGCATTTCATACATTTTGATAACGAAACCTCTTGTTATTTCAATTTCTGATAAAATAGAAATTATCAATCAAACATTATTTACTCAACCACGTCGTGTTACTCATCAAAATAGGATATCCTTCACAAATGAATTATATTCATATGTATATACAATGATACGACCATATATCATTGATAAAATTATACTTAATCAATTCTATAGGCTTTCATACTATTATACCTACATATAGATATTATTTCTAAATCACAAAATTATTGGACAAAAAAAAAAGTTACCTTTTCCTACTATTTGGAGAGTAGCTACTAGATATGTATACCAAATATGAACCTTTATCAGATTAAAGCAAAAAAATCCACCATATAATTATAATTTTGGAGCCATGATTGAATGTTTTTCACAGCGCTCTCCGGAAATACTCAATTACGGAAGCAAAGAACTCGTGAAAACTTTTTGCGGGTATATAAAATGTAGAAAACTTTATCAGATTTCAAAAAATGTTTTTTTTTGTAGTATCAGTGGCTTTCGCGTTATGAGCGAAAAACAAAAAGTCAAAATACATACAAGTCCTTCCGAGATCCAACCTAGACACAAAGTAATGGGCTTATATCACAAAAAAAAATTTATTTCATAATTCGATAGAACTCACCCAAACTAGCTCACCACCGCAAACCGTTTCTTGCTGTGAGCTCCCTACGTTTTATAAAAAATTATTGAAATCCCTGATTTTTCGGACCTCTGAAAACGAGGCGATGATGTGACGTCAAAACCCTAATACTGAAACAAGACTATTCCAGACAGAGATGAATGATACATGATTTCTGACAGAGTGAATCAGCGCGAGATCACAATTGAAAGAATTAATATATCAGTTGCCTCAGTCTCCGTCGGGCGTTTGGTATTTTCTTTTGAATATGGCGAGATGAGGTTTCTACGTCATAAGAGGGTCCGTTTTCAGAAGGTACTATTATTTATGCCCAAAAATAAAATATTCCCAGTTAATTTTTCGATCGAATTATGTCGTCAATCATTATTTATGTATAAAAGGATCATTATAAACATGGTTTGAGTTAAAAGTTCGAGTATATAAGGTGTACACGCCCATTGCCAACTACAATTTCAATAAATTATTGATGAACCATTATTCTCACTTTTTCAACAAGTTGACCCCTCTTTCCGGCTATATGTGCGCCAATGGCAATGTCCATGATCTGTGGGGATTCCTGAATTGATAATGAATGGGGGGCTCATGTAATTCGGCGCAAGTATTTCTTCCAAGGCCTAGTCTCCTTTGGTGTTTCTGCAAAGTTGGTTAGTCTTTGCATCTCTGCAGCAAGCCAGGTATCAAACTTGTTTATGATTATCATATTTTTTATTTATATTACACCCACCGGGCTGAAAACGACGAGAGATTTCGCGCGAAATTCATGACGATGTATTATTTATTCAAATTTGAAATAAATGTCCATGAAAGAATTGTATAATGTTTCGGATCTCATTGTTGTCTGAAACAACTGAATTTGGACCAAATTTCAGTAGAAATCTTGAATTTTGTTATAAGATCAGTGATTTATAATTTTTGTTCTATTGAAACCAATATCTATTATCATAGCGATTCGAACATTAACACCAATGTTAGAAAAAACAGCTGATGTATCAACCCTGAAGTTGATGCAGTCAAAGGGTATTTTTTCAAACATTAGTTTTTTCCAACTATAGTCCAGTAAATAGATTACCCTCTCACTATTACTTCAATTCCTTATGTGATACAATTTTTTTTTTAGGATCATGATTTTCAGTGAATATACGATTTGTATATTTGTGGTCTTTTTTCGAATAACAGCCAGTGCTGGTATTCCTGATGTAGTTACAAAATCGAGTGAAGCATCAGACATCAGTTCCAATACATCTATTCCATTAGGAATTGATCTACAACCCATAGATGACGAAAACTTAGGTGACGTGTTTATAATTACTTTTGATTTATAGTTAGTGTACGTTAAACTCGTTTAATTTATTTGAAAAACTCATATGATGTTCGTGAATTCGGTGCTTGAATAATCTACCTGTCTGACAAATATAATACGTGTATCAGCCAAATGGAATAAAGTCCATAATAAACGAATACGTGTTTGAACAAACGTTTAGACACGTGATATTTCTATCAAAAATTCTCTATACAGGGCGCTGTTACATGACACGCACTGTATAGAACATTTTTGTGGGAAAAGACGAACTCCTTGAAATATCAATCAATTTCCATTCGACTAATACACACTGATTTTTCAAATTCAAAAGTTTAGTCTTTTCGTTCTAGACTTCTAGAGCTTCCAAGTCATCTTTATGTTAGAATGAAGCAAATTTTTCTGTTGATGATCCAAAATAGGTTCTTTTATTGTTCCTGATGGTGGGATAAGCCACTTGAATTGATTTTCCACTAAGTTTATCTTATTTAACTATGTATTTCCATCAAGTAACGGCAATACAAAATAATGAATAAGTATACCTACAACTTCATTTTGGCCTTCAATGAAATCCAAACTTAAGATGATTTTTTCTAGGGGTAGGTAGGCTGAACCTAGATTTGGATCCCAATATCGGAATAGAAAATGAAACCTCTGACTGTAAGCACCAATGTGTATGGTACTACCAATGCAGCAATGGCAGTATCAATACCAATGGAGCAGGAATCATCAATATAAGGTAATAAGTCCAGATCAATTTCATTACCCAAATAAAATCTTGGATATCATTCCATCACTAGCAATACCAGTCAGACAAGCTTAACAAGTTCAGTCAGCACAAATCTCAAGATATGTCAAACAAGTCTCTACCAAAATTCGATTGTCCATAGAATTCATTGCCTAGGAAAATGATCCTTCTAACCTTCGAAAGTTGAAAAAAATCTTCCTACCTTCTTTCTCTATCCTTCCTTTGAATACAAAATAATTTAAATTATTATACAAGGTCATTCATCGAGAAAAGTCCCACCCCTATGTTTACCTTATTTTTCATCGAACAGAAAAACCGATATGCTTAAATTGAATAACGGTAATGATGCTTTTCCACAACCCATATCAAAAGTTTCACAACACCAAATATGTGACGTCAGTGTTACTTCAATATGACGTCACGGTTTACTTGTGAAGATCGACAAGGTTAGTCGAATCTCTTCTACCAACCTTGAGTAATACTAATATATTTTATAAGAAATTCATAAACAAAAATGTATCATACATAGATGGGAACTAGGAACGTAGCTACTTCAAATTTAAGAAAATTGGAACAATTTGCTACGTACATTATAACATTGATTCAAAAATGTCTTTTTATCAATAATATGATGAGATCTCTCAATGAGAAATACTTCGTATGAATCCATAATTATATCTTTATCAAGTATAATTATTTTTTCTCATCAATTATAACCTCAGATTATTACAACAACAAGAGCCCAATCCAGTGCCCAATCAAAATCCTTAACTGCTCCATGAACTACCCCAGTCAGCTGGCTTGTGTGGTTATAACGTCATAGTTTGGAATACACTTCGTACTACACGTACCGTACACACAGCTGAGAAACCTGTACTTGAATAATAATAATTGTTACCGACTAAAACTGCTACATAAGACAACAATTTTTTTTTTCAGAGAAAAAGACCTACCGTGTGGCGACATCTTCCACGTGTGCTGCAAGCTGGAGGACGTATCCACCTCTCCCATAACCCCAGCTCCCCCACCAGTCTCTCGCCCCAAAGGCTGCGGCTACAGGCGCTCCAACGGCATAGGAATCCGCATAACAGGCGACGAGGCAGGCGAATCCCAGTTTGGAGAGTTCCCTTGGATGGTCGCCATCTTCAAAAACGTCGGCCCCAACGACGTCAGCCCCTTTCCCAAGTGCGGGGGCGCCCTGATCCACCCCCAAGCGGTCATCACTGCAGCGCACTGCGTCACCAACAAGGCTCACCAGTTCTTAGTGCGAGCCGGCGAATGGAACCTCAATGTAGCCAGCGAGCCCTTCCTCCATCAAGATGTGCCAGTCCGGTCGGTGAAGATCCACCATGAGTTCTACTCAGGAGCCCTGTTCAACGACATAGCCTTCTTGTACCTGGACAAACCAGTGGAGCTAGCAGCGAACGTGGAGGTTATCTGCTTACCCCCACAAAACTTCTCGCATCGAGCAGCCAGCGGTAGATGCTTCTCCACCGGCTGGGGCAAAAACAGAGAAGGACGAGATGGGCAGTATCAGTCGATCATGAAGAAAATCGATCTACCTTTTGTGCCTAGAGACACCTGCCAAGCGCAGCTGCGGAAGACCCGCTTGGGCAACTTCTTCAACCTCCACAGGAGCTTCATGTGCGCTGGGGGAGAGAAAGACAAAGATGCTTGCACGGGCGATGGAGGTAGTCCCTTGGTGTGTCCGTTGGAGGGGCCTGTTGAGAGGTACTATCAAGCTGGGATTGTGGCTTGGGGTATCGGATGTGGGGATGCTGACGTGCCTGGGGTTTACGTGGATGTGGGACAGTTCAGGGAATGGATTGATGAGCAGATGAGGTTTAATGGGCTTGAAACGGGAGGGTATGTCACAGACTGAGGTTGAAGTGTTGGACATTTGCTGACTGTATTGAGACCATTTATTTATTTTTGAGTGGTTGTACTGATAGAGATTATAATTACTTTTATAATAAAAGACTATTTATTGAGCTCTATTTTTTTATCCCCAATCACGTTTATCTGGAATTCCTCATCAATTTGTTTTGTTCTTTATATAGAAACTATGGCAAAGAGCCAGGAAAGTATTTGTTTTTCTCTCGTTATCCACCATTTTCGTTCATTTTATGAACTAATGTGGTAATGACTGAGTTTCTCTGTCTTTATTGTGTCTTTGTGACCATTGCATTTCACTTTGAGTATTCGGCTTTTCCCTAGTTGACTTTATGTTCCAGTTGTGATGGTTCTTTATCTAATATTACAGTTCTCTTGATATTTCTGAGAGAGATCCAAGATGATATGATCGAACCTCGGATCGAACCCCAAATAAGTTATTTCTGATGACATGAATTGACAGGGGATATAATAGTCTACTCCTATTTCAAATATTTGACTGAGTTACTATGGTAACGTCGATTCCATCAATGATATTCCAGCAAACGAGGTATTCACAATGAAAAATCAAATATGCCAGTCGTGCATAAAATGTTGTATGTATTGCGGGAGTAATTTGCTTTTATGGACCTAGACGTGTTACTAGCCCAAAGGCTTACTTTACGCCTTCGATACATAAATAACTATTTCGAGTGGTTGAGCTGATAGAGATCATATTTCTTATAATAAATGTATATTTATTGAGTTCTTGTTTTTTCCTCATCTGATAATCTGGAACACATTGCCAAAGGAGGTGTTCCCCGAGGCATATAACCTCCAGAAATTCAAGAAGAACACCAATTCCTACTTTATTTCCCTTGGTTCTCACGATGTTCTCTGAATAGCTCTCTTACGTAGATGAGGTGGTCTCAAACTGGAGTCAATTTAGGTTGAGGTTTTGTGGGCATTGACTGACTAAATTGAAATCAAGTTGGAGCATTTTTGTTTTGAATCTAGAAGCTTATTCATTATACATTAGATATATAAAGTAGGTATTTTACTCATTTATTATTTGCCGATAATAATGGTAAATTTATTCATTCGATTTTGTATTTATTTATTCATTTATGAGTTGGTTGCAGTAGGTATGCTTATCTGATATTTCCACATTTCGTTCACACTAACTTGACGTTTGAACAATATAGATTAGAGTTGAAAGTTATCAGGTATGAAATGATCAATAAAAATTGAATCATATAAACTTATCTCAGACGTTGCAAAAATCCTCAGTATAGTATTGATATATGTTATACGAATATTAGTTAGAATGAAGTGGAATCATTCATCATAGATTGAAGAGTCCCCATCCATCTGAAGAAGAAAATACAATATGCTCGTCAAATTTTCACTTCTGTTATTAGGATGTATTTTCATTTGTACTTCCAGTGGAGAGGTAAGAAAATGGACATAATATCAACATTCATGTACAGGGTGATTATTTATATTTCACTCAATAACTATCTCAGTTAATATTGGTCTTACAGAAACATTCAAAAGGGCAAAAGTAAAGTATTTTTATGGGGATTCAGAATCTAGTACTAGAAAATGCAAATAAAAATCGTAAATCTAAAATGTTTACATAAATTGGTATTTTTCAAATGGAACACCCGGTATTTTATTATCCCAATAGGTAGAGCTCTTTCTCTTAATTTCAAATATGAATACTTTACTAAGGTTGTCTTCATCAGTTTTCGAAAAATATAGGTTTTGAGGTAGCAATAAAGTATATATATTTGAAATCCGAAAAAATAGCTCTATTGTTTAGAAAAAATTAAATTCAGGGTGTTCCATTCGAAAAATATCTCACTTTTGCCCATTTGAACGTTCCTCTAAGACCAATATTAACTGAGATAGCTATCGAGTGAAATTTGAACAATCACCCTGTACATGTCAATCTAAATTTTCTCAGAATGTTGATGATTTGATCGTTGAATTGGTGGAGCCCAAAGGCAAAATTCGAGGCCATGTATTAGCAAGTGCAACAGGACGAAAATACTATGCCTTCCAAGAAATTCCCTATGGAGAGCCACCAGTTGGAGAAAATAGATTCAGAGTGAGTATCTGGACAAATTCATTCAGTCTTCACTTCTGAACAAGTGAATGGTTTCACATGATTTGCATTTCATAATAGCCTCCAAAGTCCCACAATGGTTGGGATGGAATACTGGATTGTACTAACAACAGAAAGATTTGTTATCAGTTTGAATTTCCTATGACTCCTATCGGAATTGACCACCAGAAATCGATGGAAAATACGAAAGACACCGAGGTGGAAGAATCTGAAGACTGCCTGTATCTAAACGTCTACACTCCAGCGGTAAGTTGAGCGGTCAGTTCAATCAAGTATATCTCAGGATAAAATCAAAGAAAAACAGAGGAAGTATATCGAACAAGGAATTGAAAAAAAAATTAGGTATACTGAGCTTCAATTCATCAGTTCATATTCCATGATTAATGTGTACAATAGATGTCGTTTTATTCTCAATTGGTTCGCAAGATTCTAGCAAGGTAGCATTCCAAGTTTCTTGTAGAATCGGAGCCCCTTTTATAGAATACCAGATTCAAAAGTCTGTCAATTTTTCTCTGTAGAAACCTGGATCGACTGACACTCTATCAGTGTACCTTTTCATTCATGGTGGCGCATTTGCAACTGGAGATGGAACATTTGCTAGTTTAGGACCAAAATATCTCATAGATGGAGACATAGTCATAGTAACTATGAACTACCGACTAGGACCTTTTGGTAAGTAAGACCACTAATTACTAAATATTCAGAACAAAACGGCACTAAATTACTCATAAAAAATAAAGAATACAAATTTACCCTGATATCCCTAAAACACATTGAGAATATCCAATACCCAATTATAAAAAAGGAAAATTCCAGTTTTGTAGTGTTTCTTTCCTTATTTCCTACTCAGATGGCGTTGTTTTCATATTGTCTATGGAAGACGTCTCTGGGGGAATGTATTGCCGACTTGATTTTTGTTAGGCTAGGCTACGCTTAGTCGGCGGTCTAAGGACTGCTGGCTGAAGACTGCCTTGCACTGATGAGAGTCAAAGAGCTCGAAACCGGTCTGTAGGTGTCTAGCGTGGCCTGGATAAATCGAAATCAATAGGCCTTCAGGAAAGAATCGCTTGTATCAGTCTTCGTTTATACGAGTCGATGCATAGATTTCGAAAAGATGTAATTCAATGTTCTGCGTGGCATTAGCTAGGAAAGTAGTTGTTTTTCTCCCGGAATCTACCATTGTTGTTCATTTTAAGAACATTTTGTGGATATGACTATGAGCTTTTTGTATTTATTTATAAAAAAAGGATGTTAATAAATCCGGATAATTTCGTGAAAAATTAACACCACGCAGAATAGAGCACTCCTAAAATTTTAGGCTTTCTTTCGACCGGTACCGACGAAATATCTGGAAATATGGGCCTAAAAGATCAACATCTCGCTTTGGAATGGACTTACAAAAATATTCATCTTTTTGGTGGAAATCCTCAAGACATTGTTCTGGGAGGGGAGAGTGCTGGAGCTTATGCTGCTGGATACCATTTACTCAGTCCAAAATCTAAGGGTAGGATCTTTGATCATCCTGATACATTGTTATGTATGTCATTAAATCAAGTAAGTTACATGTTCTGGTATGCAGGACTAGTAAGCGGATTCATTCAACAGAGCGGTTCTAATATTGGGGTTGCTGCATTCTTGTCACATCCAAGACAGTATGCATTTGAACTGGGGAGAGCTTTGGGATCCATGGATTCAGAAAGCACTGATCAACTTGTTATTGCTTTGAAGAACGCATCAGCTGAACAGATTGTGAAGGCATCTGTTTCGGTAAGCCAAGTTTATTTATAGTTATTCAGTCATGAAAAATCCTGTATATACCTCGCAAATTATAGGTAACTTCCTACCCTAGATGATATTCCACTTTCAGGTTCACCACCCTGAACCTTTAGGTTTCATCGCCAGTATAATCTGGGAACCAGTCATAGAAGACGAATATGCCTATCAAGCCATGGTTACTTCTCCTATGCACCAAGAAATGATGCTGGGGAACTTCAACCAAGTGCCTTGTCTTCTTGGTTTCAATTCCGAAGAATCACTTGGATTCATGTCGCCTGGTGAATATTACAAAGCGATCAATGACTTCAAATCGGTTTGATCGTATTTCATATTGCAGATGAATCTGTATTGAAAAGGGTCGCTGCTTTTTATGATAAGAACCCCAGTATGCTGATCGAGTCGGTTCTGAATGTCGAGAATAAAACATTGGCAGGAGAAAAACTCAGAAGAGTTTATACTGCTTCAACCTTCGAGGAAGACTTAGGAGCATTCATAAAAGTAAGTATAGTGTATATTTCTTCTCTTTCTTCAAGACAAATGTCTCATCAGGTGGTTGATTACTTTTCTTTTCATCACGTTTGGGACTGAGAAGAGTTGGATAGGTAAGAATGTATCTTCTCCTGTTTCAGTTCACAAGTGATGTAAGCTTCATACGTGCTACCATTCGTCAAGCAGAGCTCACATCCAAACATGTTCCAGTGTATTTGTATCAGTTGTCAGCAGCCAACAACATCAACCATAAATATCCAGGTAACTATGTATGTATAGTTTGGGCATTGTAGGTAGGGGAGGTATCTTATTGTCTGTTCACTAATTCAATAATCTGTCAAACCTATTCCTCGCCTACTAGCGACAATGGTTGCTATGATAGCGAAATCAGCCTATTATGATTTCTTCTTCATCTTACCATGACCGTTATACCACCGAACATCAACTAAAGATAGTTGATGTTCGGTGGTTATACGAAGTATACGAGCTATTTCTAAAATATTAGTACGATCACTGCACTGTGACTTCGTCAATTTTGGTAAAATTACTTCTCATAATTCATAATTAATCAGTAGGTATATTGTGTAGATATATTCAAACTGGTTTCATCAATCGTAGACTTATTAAAATGAAAGCCCTCTGTTGGTAAGGACACTAAAAAATGATTCATTTTGTGAACTTTGGTATAGAGATGAATATTTTGTGGCAAATCTTGAACACATTGATTGACATAGATATTCTCCTATACAGGTGTTTCACATTTTCTCGACATGAGGTACCTTTGGGATATGCCTCCTTTCGCACCAGATACGTCACCAATCGATGAGGTAGTCAGAGAAATTGTGCTTAGGTTGTGGTGGAACTTTATCAAGTACAAGTAGGGATGTCTATTTGTATTACGTCTAAGGGATATTGATGAAGTATTCTTTTCAGAAATCCTACACCTGAACGAGATCCAGTTCTACAGAATATTGAATGGCCAACAGTTGGAATAGAAAACATAAGATATCTGAATTTGAACAAAAGTATGAGTATAGAGACGAATCCAAGGAATTATAATAATTTGAGGGATGTTTTGCTCGAGTATATGAGACCTCCATTTTATGTTTTCTAAAAGAGTCTTACTAAAAAATGTATTCTTTTTCAATAAATGATGAAACACTATTTTTGTTGAATCTCAGGTATCAGAACCTGTGTTCGGTATCCCCAAAACCTCAATACGCGGCTGGCTGGCAAGGTGGATGCAAGAAAGACATCAGGCATACTGGAACAATGTCCCAGGACAAAGACACAGTAAACTGATGGTTGGAACACTGTCCGAAACAGTGACTAACGACATTCTGAGCCTAAACAGAAGTCAGATCAAAGAAGTGACGGGACTAATAACCGGTCACTGCCCCTTGAGGAAACATATGCATCAAATGGGCATCTATACAGACGAACTCATATGCAGACTATGCAATGAGGAGGAGGAAACTGCCACCCATGTAATATTGGAGTGCGAAGCACTAGCGCGTTGGAGATACAACCTTCTGGGAGCAGTAAACTCTCAAGAGGCATTTTCAAAGAATGATTTGGTGAAGAGGCTGCTAAACCTCATCAAGGTAGCGAACCTGTTCACCTAAGTCAACAGCATGATCAGGAATACAATAGGCCCAAAGGCTGCAGTGTTTTGGGCTTCGATACCTGACTGATCATTCTGCTATTAATCAATCAATCAATCAATCAATCAGATGCTTATTCGATATTTTGTTACTATCTAAAGAGTGTTGTTGCTGATCCCATTGAATTGTTTTAAAGTTTCCAACTAATTTCATGAGGTACCTAACCTATGTATATTCAAGACATATTGAATTTTGATGCAGAAATCTTCATGATCACCCTATATATCCCAACGAAATCATGTTTATACGGTATGTGCTAATTTTGGAGGATAACAATTCACTTGAATATACAGGATGTGAATGAATATCAATCGGTCATATTATTATCTATCACCAAATTTTCTAATCACCCTGTATGAAATGGGTGAATCGTATCATTATCTAATAAAAATAAGGAAATAGCATGTCAAAATAATTTTCCCGATATTTCATTGAACATCGAATTTTCAGACTGAAATGTTTTAATTACTGACCATGTTGATATTGACGTAATCTGAACTCGCTGTCTGAACCATCTGAATAATATTAAGTGATACGAAAGTACGTCAATTATTATATTATATGAGCGAAAAAAGATTAGAGCAAAGTAGAACAGTGTAGTGAAGATAAAAAACAGTAAAAACAGTTTTTTAAATCTTCATGTATTTTTTTTTTGTTCTGAATCAATTAGTAGTGGAGACTTATTATAGGCACAGGTACGACGCGTCTGAACTAATGATTGTACAGAGTGAGAGGAGATGTTGTTTTCATTTCTTGATGTGTGTTTCTTATCAGTGAATGTTTGATGTTGTTTACTTCATGATGGTTGTAGTTAATAGCAGTTCTAGAGTAGTCATTAACACATAGATTTCACCACGGGGTACGAAGTAATTCACATGTTCAATAAATATTCATTCAATATCTTCTTCTCTGATTATACGTTAGTACTATATATATACTAGTTACCTACTAATGATATGCGAATGCACATTAAATGGTGAATTTATAACTCATTTTGTTGATAAACTTGTATACAAATACTGATTTGACGGGTCCATTAATCATTAGTCTTGTTCAGCATTAGCTCTTGACGAGGTCGAATAAAATTATATGAAGAAGTCAACGTGACTCGGGATAAACTGAAGACAATAATCATGATTGCCATGAACATCGTTATTCTCGTTAGCTGTATAATTATTGGAGAGTATATGGCTGAGGTGAGAAGCTTTCAATTTTTTTTGCCTAGGTACCTACTTAATTGATCAAGTACCATGTTAACATTATTCTATCGAAACGTTTCATTGTTCATAATATGTTTTGTATTATGATTAGGTATTTCCATACATTGTAGATAATCACAAGACTTTTAGAAAACTGTTGTCTTCAATAAGGCAACAACATATTAGGCTTGTATCTATATGTAGCCTATAGCAAAATGTTTTTTAGGCAACTGATGATTTGATTGTTGAATTAATACAACCTCGGGGTAAAATTCGGGGACATACTTTGGTAAGCGCTAAAAGTAATGAATACTATGCTTTTCAAGAGATTCCTTATGCCGCACCACCTGTTGGAGAAAACAGATTCAAAGTAAGTGATGAATTGTCGAATAGATCTATGATCTCATCGAGAGATTATTATTTCATTCAGAAGTGGTTCAAATCCTTCTAGAAGCTTTAGGTTCCAAATTTTGGAAACGAAGTTGCTCCCTAATTCATGAGCAACTTGATGAGAAAACATGATTTGTTTATTGTTTAGCCACCAAAATCCCATCAGGGTTGGGAGGGAATACTCGACACAACAAAAAATACGAAGAAATGCTATCAGTTCCAGACCTTCATCCCTAGTGAATTGAAGAATGGAGGAAGTGATGACATAGCTATGTCAGAAGATTGCCTTTTTTTGAATGTCTACACACCAGTGGTAAGTTACCAAAATCATATATAAGAGCTATGAAACCGTATGTACAAATAAAGTCATAAAACCTTTTTGTGAGAGATGTATTTCCAACATCGCACTGATACGAATGATTTTTGAAAGCTTCAAGCTCATCAAGATCAGAGTTTGTACAAGTATACCTACTTCTCTTATACATTTTAATTTTCATTTCAACATTATATTATCAAATAGTCAGGAAAGTGTTTGATTTATCAGATATAGAATGCGAATCCGATGTATTATATTATGTAGGTATTTATCAATTTCTTTCAAACTCATAATATATCTGAGACTATTCCATATCAATAAGGTTGAGATACTTTGACTCAATGACCGTATTTTTTATCAGGAATTCCAAATCACAGGAAATGATTTTGTAGATGAGCGTATAAATCTGAATTCCAGAAACCTGGATCCGAAAAAGCACTACCGGTTTATTTTTTCATCCATGGTGGAGCTAATGCAGTCGGAGATGGAACCTATGCTAGTTTAGGACCAAAATATCTCATAGATGGAGAAATAGTCATAGTAACCATGAACTATCGTTTAGGGCCATTTGGTGAGAATCAGTTTCCTTCTATTTCATTCCGAAAGTGTACTCACTGGGCTTTGTTAATGCATTTTGTAGGATACCTTTCGATTCATCACAAAGATAACTCTGGAAATATGGCACTAAAAGACCAACACATGGCCTTGCAATGGACCCACCGAAATATCCATCTGTTTGGAGGTAATCCCAAGGACATAGTACTTGGAGGTCAAAGTTCCGGAGCGTTCTCTGCAGGCTTCCATCTGCTTAGTCCAAAAACTGAAGGTAAAAGATAAATATAACAATCGCGTAATATCGGTTTGTTTTCATACATTCATCCAATAGGACTTATAACTGCTGTAATTCAACAAAGTGGGTCTCCACTCAGTGCAGCTGCTTATATGGCCAGTGCAAAACGTTTTGCCTTGACCTTGGGAAGAGCCCTTGACCCATCTATTACCGCACATAACAATAGTCATCTGATAGAAACCTTGAAGAAGGCCTCACCAAAAGATATTCAAACAGCATCCCTCAAGGTAAGTCATGCGATGCAAAAGTTATAATATTTGGGGACGATATAATGGATTTTCAGGTTTCGAGTCCATATCCTCTAGGTTTCATGCAGAGCCCTTCGACTTGGGGACCAGTAGTCGAGAATCACAATTCTGACGAAGCCTTCATCACCACTCCGATGCACCAAGCGTTTATGCGGGGTCATTTCCATCAAGTTCCAGCTCTTATAGGCTTCAACTCACAAGAGGCAATATTTTTTTTACCACGTAAGTGAGTCACCCTATACAAATCGTATTTATGGTACGATTCGATCGTTTGTCATTACAGACGATGACTCAGTGTTGGAGGAAGCAGCAGCTCGTTTTGATTCGGATCCTAGTATGCTAGTCGAAGAAACATTGAGGGTTGAAAATAGGACTCTGGTAGGCATTGAACTACGAGCAGCATACACCTCCAAAACGTTTAAGAATGATTTTTCTGCTCTCGTCGAGGTGAGTTCGGTACAGAACAAAGATTTCCAATATCATGAATTTATAATGTCGTTCTAGTTCACAAGTGATGTTGTGTTCATGCATCCTTCAATTCGCCAAGCAGAGCTTTCTTCAAAGCATGTACCCGTCTACTTGTATCAGTTATCAGCAGGAAAAAACGTTAATGACAGATTTCCAGGTGACTAACTCGAGTTTGGATATCCGAGGAAAAAGTAGCTATAGCTATTCTGTTTGATTGCAGGAATTGCACATGGTGCTGATCTGAAGTACTTCTGGAAAATGCAATCTTCCTTTGACCATTCACCTGTTGATGAGTCTATAAGAGAAGTCTTGCTGAGGTTATGGTGGAATTTCATCAAATATAAGTAATATTCATCAGTTTTCAGCTCACAATACAGCAGGTACTAAGAACATCTGTTTACAGAAATCCGACACCCAGGAGAGATGTTGTTTTGAAAAATATTGAATGGCCTCCTGTTGAACCTGAAAATATACGATATCTCAACATAAGTGAAGATATGAACATAGGGACGAATCCAAGCAATTATAGTGTTATCAAAGGAGTATTGGAAAAGTATATTAGACCACCTTATTATATATTCTGACATCATTATCAGAAATAAAGTTTCATTATAACATTTGCGTTCTGAATTTCTCTAGGTATAGTACTCTCGTAAATCTATCACAATGAGGGCTAACGTTCTGAGTGTCACCAGTTGGTGACACTTAAACGTGAGGTCAATGTCAAAGTCAAAAGTCTCAAAACCTCAAGTCATGGAAAGACTTGAGCAGAGTTACGCTTTTTCACTCTCAATGTGGAACTTTACGACCTATTCTTAGATTGCGGAGAAGAAGTATATATTCATTAGTTCTACCAACTCTGACCTCACGTTTCAGTAGCGCGATCTGGTGGACAATATATAATATTAGACCTCATCGAATCGTCTATAACTGTCACATGTTAGAGATCTATTGGTTTATCTCGTTGGTCAATTGGCCATACTGTATCTTCTATCCAAGTCAAATAGTTGAATATCCTCGTATATATGCCTGGACTTTTGGATATTCCGCATGCTTTGCCGAAAGAGGTCACTCCTGTTATAGTATAAACTTGATTGTCTCCGAGTACCTGAAGTGGACCTCCTGAGTCACCCTAAAAATAATAAATGGTCTATCACTTGATTGGTTACTGAGTTTTTATAAGCAATAGATACCTGACAAGTGTCTTGTAGTGGTCCTCCTCCAGCACATATTTGCATCTCATCATCAATTCCATGGTCTAGGAACTCCTTGGGGGTATTTCTGAAGAACTTTCGACATTCGTCATTTGGTACCAGATCCAAATTGATTTTCAGCAGATGACTACTAATATCTCCTGCAAATACATTAAAAATAGCCGTAATATTATAGGTACATCATGTGAATTCTCAAGAACTCGCTTTGACTTTGGCTGAGTGGTCACCATGAGATGGGTGGAACAGACATCCTCACCAGAAAAGGATCAAATCTGTGGTTATTGGACCACAAGACCAGTATTGACACCTTTGATGGCGTTTCTGTCTAAACTATCGTGAATCATAACCAAGCATATTCTAGAATGGAGTAGGAATGACCGACAAATTCTCACGGGAATACTACTTATGAGTCACTGTAGTCTGAGATGGTACCTAGGAAAGAACCAACAAACGGCGAATCAATTCTGCTCTGTGGACGACGACACAGAAAGAAAGACAAAGGTTCATCACGTTTGGTTTCACTAATTCAGAGCCTTGCGATTCCAGAAGAATGCTGAAGAAACTGATGTATTGAACTGTACCCTGTAACTGTGCTTTAGTGGCATTTGTCCCACTCACATGGAACCCAGCCAAACCCAATCTAACCAATCCCAATCTCACCTGCAAAAGATGTCTTTCCCCAGCCTGTAGCAATCATTTGTTCCTCCTCATGGAACCTCACAGTATCCAGACACGCTGGAGCAACGAATTCTGTCTTGATTGCTTGTCGATCCAGTTCAATCAGAGCTATGTCATGATACCTGGAAGGTGCTAGGTAGTCTGGATGTGGTATCCCGCGTTTGACACTGAATTGTTGAAACTCTGCTCGATCGGTCTCTGTGGAGATGTCTAGGTCACCGACTCTAACATACCTAGCCGGACCACTAAAATCATAACTTTTTTTCATGTTCTGGTTCCCACGGAAAGGGATATCCTGTAATGTTCAGAGATCATCGTGAGAACCAAGGGAAATAAGGCAAGAATTGGTATTCTTCTTATATTTCTGGAGGTTATATGCATCGGGGAACACCTCCCTTGGCAATATGTTGCAGAGCCTCGCTGTTTGTTGGATGAACGAGTCATTGGGAAGAGATGCTCTGCATGTCTCTGAAGTGACCACGAAGGTGCGAAGCCTCAACTAGACGGGTTAATCTCGCGGGGACTGCCAGTGCCAAGGGAGGAACAATTGTTGATATTTCAGAAGAGAAGAGAAGGTTATGGTATGGCACTGCAATGGATATGTGTCAAAAGAGGGTATTGCACCAAAGAGCTCCTCATGGAAACACACTGTAGGAGCTGTGAATTGAAAATTCCAGTATTTCATAGACCTCGCTTTACAGAAGTCAATGAGATGTTCTAGAATCTTCCAGAATGTACTTCAATCTTCCGGAATATTCATGAATATTCTTGAATTTCCCAGAAGATTCTGTACTGTTCGAATGGACTTGGGCAACTAGCTACAATAACAAAAATTATAAGGAAAATGTCATAAATTCATTTTCGCGATAATTGTGTTCGGTCATTATGTAATATCAGATGTCATGGTTGAAAATGAATTGATGTTTTCTAATGTTCCTGAAACTTTAGTAATGTACCTTAGTTATCAACAAGTGAAATCAACTTCTACAGTGAAAATATAGTGTGTCATATTCAACTAAACTCATCGGAAATATGTTTTTCCAAGTTTTATTTTGATTTAAAACTATGAAGATATTGGATTTCAGATAACTTTGTTATTCAATGTTTCTCACACTCCAGTAATAAAAACGAGTTATACCTAAATGTCATATTTTCTTTGACATCTACGCAGAATAGGTTGGTGGTCGTAGGGTTCATCTTCTCATCACATTAAAAGCAATTTCCGATAATTCTGCTGCTAGGAAGATTATGAGTGATAATTGTGATACTTACTTCACCAAGGAGTACAAACAGTGTGCTGCCGTGAGTACAAATTCGAAACTTATCAAAGATGCACCACATTGCCATTGGATATCATCCTCACTTCCAAATCCAATTATCGCCTGTAAATATAGGTAGATGATTGGTTGGGCTTCATTGGTGTCGAGAGAGAAAAAACAAATGAAGAGTACAGGGGAAGAACGACAATAGAGTGTCAATTCGCACAGATTTCAAGAAAATTGTAAATAACTCGTTGGAAACTAAAATAAGTCACAAACAACATTCTTCATTAAATATAACATGTTTTTTATCCAGAAATATAAACAAAATCAACATTCATTGAGAACTAATGATGGAACAAAAAAATAATAATATTCAGGCATGGACACTTCACTACCTACGTTTCCCCTGTATCAGGCACAAACTAAAATGAAAGATAGATCTCATTATTTTGATCAAAAGAGTTTTTATAAACATTATTCTGATCTCGATTACTTTTCAAGATATCGCTTTGAAATTTGGTGTGGTCAATACTTTCAAAATGTCAGAAGATAGTAAATCAAAAGTTGAGATAGGGACATAGAAGCAGTTTTGACCAATAATGGATAGTTTTGACGCAAAAAAATCCTAAAGTTGAAAAATCTCGATTTTGAACACCCTATATCTCTGTAATCAATCCCGCTAGACCCCAAGTGTGATGTATTGATGAAATCAGCTCTTCAGGAGGATTCTGAAAATACAATGAAATACAGGGTGTTCCATTTGAAAAAATCAAGTAGTACTCTGTAGATCGTTTGTTCCGAGCACCCTGTATTTTCTGAAGCAACTGAAATTTTTTTTCTGGAAAATCATTTTAGATTAGTTTCAAAATCATTAAATCGGTTAAAAAATAAGTGAGGTAGAGGGGGGGACATTTATGGTGAATCACTCTGTACAAGATATTCTTAAGAAATATTCATCTTGAATTAGGAATATTCGAGGTAGGTACTCACCATATGCCTAAACTCCTTCAATGAAGATTGCTTGCCTCCTGGGATTAATATACCATAAACTTGTGGGTGAAATTCATCGCATTCTAAAAAATTTGTCTTTTTTGTCTATATATTATCTTCAGACATTCGAATTGTCCAAAAATAAATGATATCATACAGGGTGATTCATTGAAAATGAGAAATCTCTGATCTACAGATAGTAAACAGTAAAATATTGAGATTTAGCCTAACATACCTGATGAGAATGTTGCTGGTTTAGGAGATACAGGGTGTTCTGGGGGGAAATTTCATTTCAAAATTTCTCTATAACTTTTTCATAAATTTCAATAGTATGAACATGAAATCTTGTAGTTTTGGATTTTCTGTCATGAGGAATACGAATTTGCAACTTGTTTTGTGATTACTCACAGAGGGCGCTAATGGCACTGTTACGTCATATCTTCCATGTCCATTCAAGTGAAAAATCTGAAAGCCCGGTCAATTTTACATAGAAAATGTACAATGTTTTGAATTGTCTAGCTCTATTGGTTTTTATGTTATTCGCTCTTGAAGAGATTTATGTTTCAGTTTATAACATTTTAATAATTTTGAATTATAAAACTAGCGAAGTGATAGTGGAAAAGAGACTGTAATCAATCATTCCAATTACTAACGAAGCTAACAACAAACAGAAATGTTCGACCAAAGTGAAAAAAAAATTGAAATGAAATTGTCCCTTGAACACTTTGTATCTGCATCATTTCCATAGAGCATGATGTTGGGTTAAATCTTCATATTTTGGTGATGAATCTGTAGTTCAGAGATTCCCCAGTCTAAATTCAATAAATAAAATTATTATGTGAAATTGAACGGGCTTTCAGATTTTCCATTTATTTTGATCATCATCGAATGGACAAAGAGGATATGATGTAATTTACCAAATTAACAAAGTGCCAGAGCATTAGCACCCTCTATGAGCAATCACAAAATAAGTTGCAAATTCTTATTCCTTATATCCGAAAACATGAAACTACAAGATTTCATGTTCATACTCTTAAAACTTACAAACTTATAGAGACATTTTAAAATGAAATCCCCCCCCCAGAACATCACGTATCTCCAAATAGCAATATTCTTATCAGTATGTTAGGCTAGATCTCAATATTTTAGTGTTTACTATCTGTAGTTCAGAGATTTCCCATTCTTAATGAATCACCCTGTATATAGCTTCATAAAATGTAGCACTATTCATCATAAAATTATTAGTGTTTTTACTTTTGAGACTCAATTCTCCAATTTTCCTAATTGGCTGCGGTGATTTGACATCTCGACAACAAACTATAGGAACAGTGCCATTAAATCCGCAAATTTTTGGTTTCTCATGGGATCGTAAGAGACTTTGAGCATATAAGCAGGCGTTGAAGTTCTGGCATGTTCCATTTTCTCCCGAAGTCAAAATACACTCTTCTCCCACTAAAAAATGATAACGATCAAGACACTACACTTTCTGATGAGATTATGACCTTCGATATAACCAGTATGTGAATTTTGAGAATGGAATAAATTCTTCATCTGCAGACAGTATTTTGTATGAATATGATTTTGATTAAATGCAAAAAATATAGTGTGATGACGACAGTATAATTGATTTTTCACATTTATAAATCGTCGAAACGTTATAAGCGACTTATTTCAATGAATTCGTATATGAATAATACCTGTGACTATAAAAAAAAATCATCAGATTGTCTAATTTGAAAGAGGTACCAAGTATTTTTTCTCAAATACAGATACCGTATCTTTGAATAAATTTTTTAGGAAGTGATGATGAATCTATTTCCTTTTCATAGTTCACACTGATGTAGATATAACAAGTCAGTTATAAAAATATATGAATTATATAGATAGTCCAATGTTCACTGCATGATCACTGGACCAATATTATTATTCGTTATCATTTCATATTTACCCTCAAATTTCTGATCATCAGTTTTAAAAATTACATCACAGGATATCGAGTAAACAAACAACAATATCTGCTAAGTTTGTTTCATTCCTCTTATATTAGACACCTTATTAATATTATTGTGGAACTATCAAGTATCATGCACAGATTCTTCGATATGACTGGTTTGAATTTCAGCAAATCCTTCACGAATCTACATGCAGAATCTCGCGGTATTTCCCAATGAAACCTGTTTTTGTTTTACGAATTAGGTAATTGATCAAGCTCGATTCTACCGAATCAGTATCATTTCTACGAAAAAGAGATAGCATCATTGTTTTACGAACTACAATCCAGTATGTATAGATATTTTAAAAGTCTTCATGAGTGCTTGAAAATTTAAGAAACATAATGTATAATTGGGAAAATAAAGAGCAAAGGAACAATTTTTAGTATTTTATTTATTCGTTGGGATATAAGTTATTTGGACTTCAATACATAATCAGAATGGTTGTAGGAGGAGTACAACATATTATGTTCTCAACAAAAATAGAGTTGACAACGTGATGAGTATTGAAGAATATTATTATGACTTTTATGCGAATAATCAGTACATGAATGAAAGTAATATGTCCACAACACAATAGTGGATGACAACATCATTGTCTCCATACTATGCTTTCAATCCATGGTATGTAGTAAGATACCCTCGTATACACTCCAGGACTCTCAGGTCTCCCACATCCGATGCCGAAAGAAGTTATTCCTATCAAGTACATCCTCCCATCTTGTTGCAACTGGAGAGGTCCTCCAGAATCACCCTGGAATAAGAAAACATTGTTTTTTCTCAATTCCTTTGAAATTAGCTTAGTTCCTTTTTGTTTGGAAAATAATTGTTTTCATATTGATCTCAGTATCACAAATGTACTAATTTCGAAAGTCATTCATATTTTTGGAATTTAATAGTTTATTCAAGTTATATTGGAAAATAATGAATGAATACATCGTTAAAGCACCTCATCTTTGTCATATAGATGAATTACCTTTTGTTTCTACAATGAGTGTTCATTCATTGAATTTGATTTTCTGATGCTTTCGTCTGACTCTATTTAGACTGTAATTTTCTTGTAAACTGTTCAAGAAATCATGCATGAACCGGAAGAATTTGATTTTCTCCAATGAATGTATCTCTGTATTTTTTCACGATACCAATAACATTAAGATATTGAGTTCAGTAACCTAACCTTATCTTGATTTTCATAAGTTCATCCTGTATATCATAGAAACGAAGGGTTCTCCTGCAAGAAAATGTCAGTAGAAACATTTTCGTCTGCAAGAAATAAGCGCTCGTAATTTTCTGCCAGATACTTTTGGAACACCTTGTATGCTTATACAAATATACAATATGTCTGAATTCAAAGAAGAACGTTTGAATTCAAAATCAAGGCCCGAATTAGAAAAAAAATCCGGATTCCGAGGAAAAAACTTGAATTCATAGAAAATAAGATGCATCCAGAGAAAAAAAGTCCGAATCCAAAGAGAAAAGTCTTCTGAAATCAAGGAATTTTGAAATCAGATGAAAAAGTCTGAATGAATTATGAAAAAATATAATAAATAACATACTGGGGCTTCAAATTTTCTCTCATCAACTCTGATTTTTCACAGTGAGCATTACACTGTAAATCTTCCTGGATAAATAAATAAAAAAGTAAAGAAACAAGCTTCCATAGATAGCGAAACTACATAAAAGGTGGATATCTATCCACCTTGCATACATACATACAGGTGAAGCTAATAATAGCGTGGTTATAATGAAAAAACAGTCAAAACCTCATCCCCCCTGTACCTGACACGTATCCTTTGCCCCTTGCAAGGATCCCGCACACAGCTGCGATTCCTCCCTGATACCGTCCGGCAGCTCTTCCAGCGATATCCCATTGTAGCCCCTCTGACACACGTCTCGTGGCACGTAGTCCAGCTCGACCTTCTGCAGCTCCTTGCTGACCCCGCCAGACTCCTGTTTGCCCCACCCTGTAGCCACCAGCTTCGAGTAGGTGAGGTCTCTGGACGCCGTGAGGCATATGGGGGCGATGAACTCGTTGAATTCGACGGCGCGGTCCAGCCTCAGCAAGGCTATGTCGTTGTATTGCTTGCCAGTTATGTAGTCTGGATGAGGGATGCGAGCGATCACGTCATGGTCCTCTGATTCCAGGGTTTCCGTTTGGAGGGTAGTGGTGCCCAGTCTGACGTACTGGATGTCGCCTCTGGAAGAAACTAGGTTGAATTATCTGACTGGTGTCGGAAGTCACGTCTGTAGGACGTTCAGATCATGGCAAATGATCACAGTTAAAATTACGTCAGAGTTTGACGTCTGGCAAATGACATATGGTTGTCCCAGATCTAGTTACAGATGTGCTGACTTGGCTTGCATTGCCGTGACTGATTCTCACACAATTGTGACATTCTACAGATATTCTGGTTTTCTTTTAGAGGATGGTGGTGCCCAGTCTGACGATCTGGATGTCGCCTCTGGAAGAAACTAGGTTGAATTATCAGACTGGTGTCGGAAATCACTTCTGTAGGACGTTCAGATCACGGCAAATGATCACAGTTAAAATTACGTCAGTGTTTGACGTCTGTCAAATGACATATGGTTGTCCCAGATCTAGTTACAGATGTGCTGACTTAGCTTGCATTGCCGTGACTGGTTAAAATAACGTCAGAGTTTGACGTCTGGCAAATGACCTATGGGTGTCCCAGATCTAGTTCCAGATGTGCTGACTGAGCTTGCATTGCCGTGACTGACTTTTTTTATGTTCTGGTTCCCACGAAAAGGGATATCCTGTAATGTTCAGAGAACATCGTGAGAACCAAGGGAAATAAGGTTGGAATTGGTGTTCTTCTGCCTTGGCAATGTGTTACAGAGCCTCGCTGTTCGTTGGATGAACGAGTCTTTGGAAAGAGATGCTCTGCAGGTCTCCAGAGTGACCACGAAGGGGTGTGAAGCCTCAACTCGACGGGTTAATCTCGCGGGGACTGCCAAAAGGAGGAACAATTGTTGATATTTCAGGAGAGCATCGCCCATGAATATATCTATAAAATAGAGCCAGATCGCCAACTTTTCTACGGTGTTCCAGAGAAGTTAGTGAGTTTGTGAGCGAGGCATCACCCACGAGACGAAGTTCCCTTTTTTTGGAACAGAATCCTACAGTTTCAGGGGTACATTTATTTTCTTGATATTTTATATATAACTTTCGAATCGGTCAGGACAATTCGGTCGAAAAGATACGTTAATTTTTCATTCTACATATACTTACAGCGTATTGAAATATTTTCAATTATAGTGATGTAGTGACACCCTGATTTATTTTTCATTTGTATCTTCTGGTTTAAAGTACTATTTTATTGAATAACTTTGTCGATTATTATTATCGCAGCATCGTCCAGGAAAATATCTATACAATAGAGCCAGATCGCCAACGTTTCTACGGTGTTCCAGAGAAGTGAGTGAGTTGTGGCGTCGAAAATTACTTCTGTAAGATGTCTAGATGACGGCAAATAGTCACAGTGAAAAGACTTCTGTTTGACGTCTGGAAAATGACCTATAAATGTCCCAGTTCTCATCACACATGTGCTAACAGAGCTTGCTATAGCAATCACTGCCGTGACCAGTACCAACACAATTGTTATTATTATTACCCTAGTGAGACTAAAAACATCTGTTTGGCACATTTTCAATCTATCATTGCTATCTATGAGTTGTTATGAACTGTATGATGAAGGAGAATAAATTATTGCTTACAAAGTTTCAGCTGATAAGCAGTGTGCAGCTGTAATGACGTATTCGTCGCTTATGAGACTTCCTCCACATAACCATTGCGGTTCTGTTTTTCTTCCGTATCCCAAGGCCACCTGTTGAAAAAACACTTCATAACAGACATCAAATCACAATAAGTATGCATTGAGTGACAATTCAACCAAAACACTGAACACTTCTAAGTCAATCAAACAGTGAAACGAGTAAATGGTATCAGTAAGATAGTAAATAATCTCACCATGTGTGGAAATTCCTTTTGTGCAGTATATGTCCCTCCAATAATATGGACATGAACTTGTACCTTCCTAGTTCTTCTTGTTCCGATGGCGTAGTACTGATTACATCCTAAAAATACACCATACTTCATAATCAAGATACAACCTTTCAAAGTATGATTATCTGAAATCAATCTACTCACTTTCCTCATAAATTCTATTGGTAACAGGAGCTCTAGTTATCGTAGGCATTGTAGCAATAGTCATCGGCGTAGTAGTCATAGGTCTATTCGTTGATAGTGGTAACAGTGGGGTAGTGAAAGATGGCCATCCAAAATCAATATTCTGATTCGACAAATCTATATTGATTGTAGTTCCTGAAACCGTTTCGCTAGTACTCTCAACATAGTCATTCCTTACAATGGCTGTGTTATTTCCTTCAAATATATCCACTTCGATAGTGTCATCTGACGTAGAAGGTGATAAACTGGTAACATTAACTGATATAGCTGGTATCGAGGTAATATTTACGTATATTCTGATCTCAGCAGGAAATACAAATCCAACAATTGGGCCAATAACACTGGTGTTGAGAATTGTCATCAAAGGGCTTATACTATTTGATGTTTCTGCAGTAGCAGCTGACGTTACAGGTTCCAAAGTACCAGTAGAAGACAAAGAAGTGGTTTGAGGTGCATCTGTTTCAGTTTCATTGATACCAGGAATATTCGTAGAATTAATAGTTGCAGTACTACTAGCTATAGTCGTAGAACCTGACGTTACAGTGCTAGGAGAAGAGCTAGTAGAAGCCAAAGTGGTAGTTTGAGGTGTATCTAGGTTTACAGAAACAGAGCTTGTGCTAGCGGCTGTTGAAGCAGTTGAGGTACTAGAAGTTCCTGTACCGCCAGTTGTTATTACTCCAATAGTTGAAGTTGAATTATCCTCTCTAAGTGTGCTCACTGATAAATCTACTGATTCTACAGTGGAAGTAGCTTGTTCTACCACCAGTACAGAACTGACTAAATCTACTTGTGCACTGTTCGCGGTGACAATATTGGTTTGGCTTACTGTACCAGGTGCCATTGGAGCACTGACGATAGGAGGAGCCGATGTGTACTTTATCATCAGTGATTCGTCTAATACTGCAACAATATTAGCACTAACTATTTGGGGAGTTCCAGGTGTTTGTACAATTGACGGTAGTGTTGGTGGCATCTGGATAGGTTGGTTTGTTAGCATGTAGTTGTTATTTATGTTCAATTGCTGGGGTGGATTGCTTGGATTACCATCAGCGAAGGATATAATTCCAGAACCTGAAAACTAGATGGAATCAGCTCAAAACATACCAATCTCAGATTGGATGGTCCATTGAATAATGTACTAATGACAGGAGTGGCCCCGAGATAGGACCTTGAGGTAACCTAATATCAATTGGGTATTAATACTTACGACTATGTTGAAACGAGCCAACTTGTAGACCATAATATGTGATACATAACCAAAAACAACTCAACAGACTACTCATGTCTAGATATATGAAACAACAACGAATATATTTCTCGATATGATTGGGTTTAGACACACTACTTGGAGATGAATGAAACGGAAGTTTGTGATTTTGACAAATAAACATATTTTTTATAATTCGCTTGAAATATAATACATTTAATCATCCTTTGGTTCGATTGTAAAGCATCCGTCCTTGTGTTTATGAATGCAGTCTCATATGATTCGGGAATATTACCTCAATTAGGGTTTTTCCTATGTTTGTACTGGGTGAATTTTCGAAACATTGCAATATAGTTTTGAATGTAGGTAATCAGAAAGGTCGTTGTAGTTTTCAGTTGTTTTCAGTTATAACAATAAAAACACATTTGATAAAAACACCTTGTTTGTATATTTCAATAATTCAAGTATCTATACATAGCTTCAGCTTATTGCAATTTGAACTCGCCATTAAGCTATGGCTGGTGAGTCCTCATTTTGAACGATGAATAAAATGATTGTGTAAGTGACACCAGCTCTTCAAGTTTGACTAGCGCAGCCAAACAGTATCTTCAATCCATTTCGTGTATGCTGACACTCTAGTGTAGACTCCTGGGACATTTTTTGCCAAACCACAGGCTTTGCCGAAAGACGTCACACCTATTATGTCGTACATGCATTTGATCTCGGCAGTTTCTTTGTGGTATATTTGTAGAGGTCCTCCTGAATCACCCTACGAAAAAAATTGCAAATCAGAAAAGATTATGGAAAAATCAAGGCTAGTAGGTATAATATTGTCTGCTCACTGATAACATTATCAATATGAATGTAAAAACTTCACAAAGGATAAGATTTCCACAAAATTCTCAAACACACGTCATGATTTTTTCACACATTTCTCACGATTATGTCGAAACTATGGCAACATTGTAATGGAATTTTGTTTTTTTATCTGACTCTCATAGATGACGCTAGTTACACATTTCGTACCTAGTAGTTTTAAGCATAACTTTTTTCAGGTTAAATTTTTCAATCCCAATTTGATGAGATCTTGAACATCATTTCACACCAAAAAGGAACTCTTGCTGGAACTCGATACTGTTTTCCTTTGTCGAAATATTCCGATTTGAAGATGTGTGTATTATAAAAAATCATTTTACCTATTTATTGCAAACCGTGAAAAAACAATACATTACTAATGCTTAATTTATTGATTCAACGATGATTCACAAGAATAACATTGAGACGAATTTTACTAAAAACATGGATTACACAGTTTCTTTGTATCAAGCAAAAAGTGTATGCTACAGAGGTAAATTCACGCCTGGAGTTGCAAGTCAGAATTGAACATCACTTAAATGACCTTACAGCTGATCCTCAACCGATTAGAAAAATAATGCTTTCATAAAAAAAAAATCGAATCGTGTATTCGTGGAAACGGAGAACATTTTGAATACTTACTCGTGATTCAATATTTCATGTTTCTAGTCAAATATTTCTCAATTTTCTACTTGTGATTCTTTGTCCAATCAATAACCACAGCACAAGAATGATGTTATCGTTTTTGAATCTGAATTGACAAGTAATTGATCTCAATAAAATTCATTTTATTACTCCATTATTTTCAAATCGAAATATTCCGAAAACGGAGCACAGTATCGAGTTTTACCAAGAGTACCTTTTTGGTGTGAAATTGAATGATGTTTGAGTTCACATGAAATTTGGGTCGGAGAATTTATCTTCAAAAAAGTTATGTTCAAAACTAATCGGTTCGAACCGTGTAACTACCGCCCTCTATGAGATTCAGATATAAAAACGAATTCATGCGATGTGTCAGGTTCCAAAAAACATCCATACGGAATTTCATCACAATGTTGCCAGTAGTTTCGACGTAATCGTGAAAAATGTGTAAAAAAATCATTGTATCTCGAAAACATTCATTTTCGAAAATTAGGCACAATATCAACATTAAAATACAGTGTACCGGATTAACTTGAAAGGGTTGATAGCAAAAATATATTGATACCTACTAAGAAAACAAATTCAACAGTGGTGAACTATTGAGGTCTAAATTTATCGTTAAGTAAAATGTCAGAATCTTCGAGTTTTTGGATTTCTAATGATTCAAAGTGATTGAGTTTCATTCCTTTATTCTCTATCTATTGAACACACACGGTAAGAATTCGAAAACAAAATCATATAAAGATATGCACATAATAATATCATTCTGAATAGTTTTAATATTCTCCTGAAGATGATAACATGAAAAAAATACGTACCTGACACGTATCCCTGAACTCCTTAGTGGACCCCGCACAAACCATCACGTCCTCCATGATACCATTGGGTAGAGCGGTCCCTACCTCCAGTATGTCCCTCCTGTAGGTGCTGTTGCACTTGGGGGTGCTGAACAGCTCCAGCACGACCTTGAGCAGGTCCCTGCTGTCGTCCCCGGCATAGTTCACCCTGCAATAAGAAGCATAAACTCATTTCCACAAATATTGAAAAAATTAACAATGGTGGATAACGAAAGACAACTACCGTAAACCGAAGTAACTTTGTGACGTGGGTTTTACTTTGGTATTTTCCCCTAGTCTAAGATCCGACCGCAAGTTCAATACGTTCATCTGTTATTTGATGGAAATCAAATTTTAACATACAGCGTGTCTCACTTCAATACTTCAAACGTCCCGCCCTCTATATCTCAGTTATTAGTCATGCGATTTCAACCAAATTGGGTGTGGTATGAATAACCATCAATATGATCAGTTTTACAGAGATGCACATTATTTTGGACAATGCCGTGCGTTTTCATTGATCTGAAAAGGGGTCGATTTTTCATAAAATCATATTAGGCATTTTTTACAGGTAATCTAACCTCATATTATTGTTCCTCATTCTTTCGAACCTTCATAAACAAAAAATCGCCCTAATTCCGAATTAACAGCATTGGCTTCATTTTTTTCATTTTCAGTCCCGAATAAATAGTGACTTCAAATCAACTACGAATTTTGGAACGTTCAATGGCTCCGATAGGTGGAAAATCATGATTTGGAAGGAAAAACGAGTTATACTTTTTTATTTTGACTCACCGTTTCCGAGTAAATAATTATTACGTTCGCAAAAATGCTGTTTAGATGTGCCTGTTTTTCTGAAACCCTTCATAGACATCTTGTGAAAATCCACATATGTGGGTTTGAAACCATGAAGAACAATATTATGAGGTCAGTTTTCCTGTGAAAAAATGCCTTATATGATTTAATAAAAAACTGACCACTATTCATTTCAATAAAAATGCACGGCACTGTCTAAACTGATGTTTGTCTTTGAAGAACTGGTCATATTGATGATCATTCATACCGATACAAATTTGGTAAAAATCGCATGACTGATTGCTGAGATATAGAGGGAGGGCCGTTTGAATTGAGACACGCTGTATATTCATGAATGGGAGAATGAATTTATACCAGGTTGCCTATCGAAATGTGGCCGCAAGTATTTTTAATTGAAATAATAAAAATCGATTTTCTGCAAAAAATTTCATTCATTTGTTTTTTGAATAAAATACACTCACAGCTATGTATCTAAACATAGATTAACGACTGAGAACTTAAAAAGTGATGGTTGCCACTTTATCGAAACTCCTTCATCCATAGAACGGCTAGGCTCTGGAATTAATTGCCTGAGGAAGTATTCCCAACAACATACAATCTCCAGAAGTTCAAAAAAAATTCCAATACGGTCCTCCTGTCCCTATCCTCCCTAGGAACGCACGATGTTCTTTGAACATTATAGGGATTTCCTTTCGTGCGCTCCAAGCGATAAAAAAAAATAAATAAATAAAAAAAAAAAAAGATGATGGTCAGAATTTGCAGGCGGCTCTTGGACTATAACCTAATCTAACCTGCCCCAGCCGGAAGCTATGGCGTTGCTCACGGGGAAGTCCTTTTGCGTGTAGATGCAGGCGGGGCGGACGTAAGTGTTCATGTCGAAGTCGGAGACAACTTCGATCAGGCCTATGTCGTTGTACTTGTAGATGGTGTACTCGGGATGGGTGTATAGGTTTTTGACTTTCCTCGTTTGGGATTCGCGCAGGTCCGTGAGGTTGGTGATGCCGGCTCTTATCAACTTTGGAGTGCCTCTGTAACAAGGAATGTCATCTAAGCAAGCTTATTATGTTGTGGCATCGCCTTTCATCTTATGCAATTGTTATATTATGGTCATAATTCAATGAACACGAGCACAAATGACATGGACAAGGGTTACACTTGCTCACAACTCGGCTGCCAGCCGAATACTATATGAACCAGTCTTCACACACGTCTGTCATAGGCTCTGATCTAAGCACATTCCACTGAGCAGTAGCACATCTAGTTGATAGATGCTAACAGCAATAATTGATAATAAATTGGGAGGATATACATATAGATAAAGAATTGAAGAGTGGGAATTAGAAAGGGCCTAGGTGCCATTTTGTTCGAAATTCAGTTTTTTACATACAAGCGTATGTGGACCTGAGTACAATATATATAATCATTATACAGTGCTTTTCTTTAATGTCCCCCTTGTTTATTTTTTGAACAAGATAACTAAAAAAATTAATGCATGAATGCTATATTTTGGAGTTGAATTCACGAATGAAAATTTCAAGATGGCAACTATTCGAAATACATCAAACTGAAAGGAAACCAAAGAAAAAAAAGTAAAGGCAGTGGTTCATTCAAAAGTGGAAAGAGTTGTGTCTGTACTCACAATCAATTATGACAGTTAGAGCTTTTCCTAATTTTCATTTATTTTTAGTAAGAAGATTAGTATGCTAATTCTTGTTCAGAAGTAAGTTTTCCATTCAGGTTGAATGCATAATACTCAATGAACATTTCCCCAACAAAGTCCTTTGAAGTTCATTTAGTTTTTGAAATATCTCAAACCTTGTTTTTTGGCAGACCATACAATGTAGAGGTAATTCTTAATCCTTGAGGTTCGTAAGTATTTATGTTTTTCATTTGAAGAAGCTACCGTGTTAAGGACAAATGTATTGCTTAAAATTATAGGTAGGGATTATAGTGAAAACACTACATATCAAAGTGATACTTACAATTCTGCATCATCCATACAGTGTCCTGCTGTCAAAACAAAGTTTTTACTGATAAGGGTACCACCACACGACCAAGATGTTTCAGGACCAGTGATATACCCAATTTGTGCCTACAAATAATAATGAAATGATAACAAAATGGTTGCGAAGAAACTAATATTTATGACATTCTTGTGAAAGTTATCCGTGATATTTTTGTCAATCACGAAACATTCACTATAACCGATATAACTCAGAAATGACGAAAATAAATAGGTTCGAGATCTCTGGTTCGAGTAAATAACAAAAAAGTTTATAAATAACATAAACTATTAAGCTCGCGTAATTTAAAAGTCAATGCTATCGATTTATATTTTCGACGCGTGGCGACGTTCAGCTCTCAGTAGGCTTTGAATCATTCAAATTTCGAAAAAAGTCTACTCGATCTCATCCATCGGCTACCTTATACAGACATTCAATATTTCTATTCGTTCTCGAGATATTGGCGTTCGGAGTTTTAAGTGAAAAACCCTGTATATTGTGAGGATAATTTTCAAAAACGCCCTGTATATCCCTACCATGTGTGGGAATTCCCTCGGTGATGCTTTTCTCCCTCCAACAATGAGTGCTTCCTTCTCGAAAGGGCATATCAGTTCCTCCACGTTCCCTTCAGAAAATAGCGCAAGTCCTGGATCTTTACTAACCTCATAGGCGTACTTGGCATAAGATTCGCACACTAGAAAAACATTAATCTATCATCATTTTATGAATGTATGAAGGCTAAAGGCTGTCAAGCCTGAATATATTATACAGGGTAAGTCTCGACTAACCAGCCATAGCCTAATGGCGGATAGAGGAAATCAAGGTGAGTGATATACACTCAGTTCCAACTTGATATTTGACCTATCTTCTTAAAAAAAAAATAGTAGGCCGATTTTTTTTTTATTTGTTGGTAGGTAATGCATTTGTCTTAAAAAAAATAAAGAGGTGAACATTTTTTCAAAGCCTCCTTGATGGTGGTGGAATAAGTCGAACCATGATTTATTCTTAATTTTTGACTCACCCTGTGTGTTAATTGAGTAATGGCATAGAAAGTGCTTGCACCCTATACGAAAGAGGTTTCTTTTGCGAGCATTTTGTTTTTTTATTCATTGATTTATCTCTAAAATTTTCCGAATTACAGCTTTTTTGCTGATACCTTACGCTTATCCCACAAATAAAATTTATTGAAGGATGAGAGTACTTAAAATTGATCGCGTTGTACTCTGGTAGGATCACATTGTCTTCAAAAAAACAAATGCCGTTGCCATAGCAACTAATGTGTTGTATGCCTCCATATTTGACCATTTGTCGTTGTTTCATTAATTAAGTGTCTTGTTTTATTGACTAAAATTACATAAAATGAATTGAACGCCCTTCCAAATGATGTGCCACTTGACCCCCCTCACCTATTCATATTCTGAAGGTAACATCTACCCCTCCTAGGGGGTTGAACCATAAGGGTCAAAAATATTCCAACTCTGGCTAAGTTAGTTGAAAAATTAGTTAAAAAAAGAATGTTCTCATTTTTGCTTCATAATCGCACTCTAAGCACCTACCAGTTCGGTTTTCAAACAGCTAAAAATACAAATGATGCTATGTTTGCTTTATTAGAGGATATATATATCAACATAAACGATGGTGACGCTGTTGCAGCAGTTTTTTGCGACCTTTCAAAAGCATTCGACTGTGTTGATCATGAAATTTTGCTTCAAAAATTAGAAATTTATGGCTTTAGAGATATTACACTAAGATGGTTCCAATCATACCTATCAGAGCGTACTCAAATAGTCTCGCTTAACAAAAAAAAGTCCAGGTCTCAGTTAGTGAAGTGTGGGGTCCCTCAAGGATCTGTGCTTGGACCAATCTTATTTTTAATATATATAAATGACCTAGCAAATATCACTATTAGAGGAAGGTTTACTATGTTCGCAGATGACACCACAATACTGTGGCATGTCAACAATAATGACGAACTGAGTAACTATGTCGCTGAAGATATATTGGAAGTAAAAAATTGGTGTGATGCGAATAAATTATCATTCAATATTTCCAAAACATGTATTTTGACGTTCAAGTGCACTCTTAATGATAAACTTCTGGAAAACTCAAGAATTTGTACTCAATCCTCGGCAAAGTTTTTAGGGCTCTATGTGGATGACAGTCTCTCATTCAACACCCACATTACAAATTTATGCAAAAAACTATCTCCTGGTTGTTTTGCAGTAAGAGTCATCTCATCTGAATTGAATATATCGGCAGCAAGATCAGTTTATTTTGCCCTGATTGACTCAATTTTGAGATATGGAGTTTGTTTTTGGGGGAATAGTTCTCAATTTCTAACTCTGTGTTCATTTTACAAAAGAGGGCGGTTAGATACCTTAGTAAAGCTAAATTCAGATAACCATGTCAACCCTTATTTGTGGCTCAGAAAATACTGACATTGACTTGCATCTTCATTCTAGAGAGTGTATGTATGATCCACAAAAAATATACCACGAACATTCATTCGATGTCAACACAAGAAATGTTGACTGTACGGTTTCCCTACTAATTCCTAGAAGTACATTAATAAAAAAAGTCTTTTATTTATAATGCCAAAAAAATGTTTAATCACCTGCCTTCACATATTCGTTCATTGCTGACACATATTGAGTTTAGAAAGGCAGTAAAAGAGCTACTACTGAATAAAGCCTATTATACCTTGCAAGAATTTTATGAAGACTCATTTAATTAAGTTTGTCAGTTTGTATAATTCGTTTTTAATTGTTCAATATCTTTTTTTATAGTGTGACTTTTACTAGTATATGTTCGACTTAAATGTTTTGTTCCTTATATATGTGCATATTTTACATGATTTTATGTAGTTTTAATATTAGTTATAGCTTATGATACACATGCTTTGTCAACAAAAACTTTAGGTTTTTAGTACAATAAAGACTTTCTTCTTCTTCTTCTTCTTCTATTCATTCAAAGTGTCCCCCTCGAGAATAAAATCGACCTGTCTTTTCATTTTTCCATATTATCGACTTGGAGGGAGATATTAAGGGTGGGAAGTTTTCAAATTTACACCCTGTATTATGATACTCACTTCGAGTTGCTACATCTCCGACTTTTCCATTAGAAGCAATCGGTTTGCGTTTTTGAGTGGTTCTAGGGGTCGTAGGTCTAGAAATAGGGGTCGTAGCTCTAGTAGTGGTCGGTCTTGTAGGGGTCATGCGACTAGGGGTAGGAGTTTGCGGTCTAGAGATCGTATTGACGGGTGCTGCGCCAGAGCAGCAAACTATGGATTGGGTCCCTAGAAACCCGCATATGTCTTTGGGGTAACGACCCCTCCTGATCTCGTCCAAGGCCGCGGGACATTCTGTGAGGAATTTGCAGGTACCAGAGCTGCCTGTCGATGTCCTGCATGGGTCACCTTGAAAACAAGATATCAAAAGTTTATAGTATGTTGATTATTCTCAACACAAGAATATCTTCGATTTTGTAAATAAACTTCGCAAACGATAAGATTTCCACAAAATCAATCTCAAACACTCGACATGTTTCGCTAACACAGTAGCTTCATCAGGTGAAATACTGCGATACAATGAACTATACACTAACCTTGGTATGCCTAAAATATATATCCTACTTTTCCAACGATAAGAATAAGAATGACCTTCGGGCAGGTTCAATAGACCCTCATTTTCGGAAAATAGGCACAATATCTACATTAAAATACGGTGTACCGGTACCGGATTAACTTGAAAGGGTTGATAGCAAATAGTCAAATACTAGTCTAGTTGATCGTTAAGTAAAATGTTAGAATTTTTGAGTAAATTCATACATTTTTCAAAATTTAGAGAAGTCTCATCGCTACCCATGTTTTTTTCTGAAAAATCCCACATCAATACCCGAGTGAAGATGTTTAGAACGGTTCAATGCATTTCTGATGCTGAGAGTTTGCAGCTCGATCTAAATAAGTTTTCCAGATGGTGCCATATCAATTTATTGAAACTGAATTTGAATAAATGTCAAAAGATAAAATTTTCACGAAGCCATGATGCTATTGATCATATTTACAGAGTTAATGATACTAATCTATCAGTAACCAATACAATCAAAGACTAAGGAGTAATATTCGACTCGAAAATGACCTTCAAACATCACATAATAGAACATCATCTCGTGCTCGTAAAATGCTAGGCTTCTCCCTCCGTTCTGCTAAAGAACTATCTGTCAATGCAGTTAAAATTATTTATTGTGCACAGGTGAATATAATTCTTTGATCTGGTCACCATTTTACAAAGTTGATTCTGATCTTCTAGAGGGTTGTCAAAATAAATTGAAGTTGTGCATATCACATGGGATTCAATAGGGATGAATATACCTATCCACAAATAGTAGATATTTTGAACATGAATACGTTGATACATAGAAGAATGGAAATTGATATTTTATTCCTCCATAAAATTATCAATGGTTACATTGATTCTCCTGAAATTGTTGCTCTGACTATGCTTTCCGCAAATACAAGAAGAAACAGAAATAGTGACATTTTCAAGATACCATTCTGTAGGACGAATTATGGCCAAAATTAATCAATGAAGAGAATTATGAAAACAGCAAACACAAACAATCACCAAATTGAACTTTTCAATTCATCTTTATTTTCTCTCAGGAGAGCGATAAAAAACTGTTAATCACTTTTTTCATAATCTTCATCTTTCTATTCGTTATTTTAGCCTTCTACATTTTTTTTTGTTAGTCTTCTTCATAGATATGATAATGTGTACGTGCTCTGTATTTTTATACTTTCTTTTTGTAAATTGTATAATTGGCTTGTCCGTTAATAAATAAATAAATAAATAAATAAATACTAATCAACGGTGCCATGGATGTCAAATTGATTAAATAATGCTACCGATCGAATGACTCTCAGGTAATCATATAGTGATTCACCAAAATATCATGAAATTTTGTTCAGCTAACGAGCCTTCTACGAACTTTGTTTATGGTTTTTTTTTGAAAATATGGATTTGATATTTTTAAGAACAATACCATATTTCGAAGGACAAAAGAATGATCATTCCAATTCACACATAATGATATTATATTATTTCTGACTGTGAGTAAATAATATTATAATACATAATTATCTGTGTTTTTCTATTGTTATGAGGCGCAAACCCATGCACATTGTACATCCACCCAAGTTACGGCTCTGTCTATCCAGTTTATTTATTTTTTCGGAATAGCTGAAATCAAAATCAATAATATAATACCTGCTTCTTGTTGTCCTGAAATCTGGACACAAAAAATAACAAGAAAAGTTAGCACAACACACTGTATGCACTCAAACATGTTTCAAAAATTTTAAAATCACGATTGTTTACTGATCAACTTATATAAAGCGCTGACCTCTTGACCATGGGAATTCTGATTTCTTACTGGCAAAATGTTGCTTTGTTGTGTATTGTATAGATGTAGGTATCAATGATAATTTATACCATCAAAGTTAATAGCTTCAGAAAATCCAAGAATATGTTGATCTTGATCATGAATAATCCCGAGAGGTAGGCAACTTTGCTTACCAGATCATTCACTCCATAGGCGTAGCAAACAGAATTAGGTATCACTTCTAGTAGAAGTGCGTCAGTTATTTGAGAAAGTATGATTGGTCTACGCTCCCTTCAATGTTTTTATCATATGCGATAGTCACCCCCTCTCTAATCTCTACCCACCATTGTATCATTCATGTAACTGTAGCACCTCTAGGCACGAATAGATCCGATGAAAGCGCGTCAGCGACGTATCATAGATGTTCATGAAGCGGTTCTTACGTGAGGCTAATGATGAGTGTAGTTGAATTTTATCAGGTTCTGCTCTTGTTGCGTGGGTAATTTAGGTAATATGTCTAGAGCTGAGTGCTTTTCAAGGGAAGAAAAAGAAATTACTTCAGTTCCTGTGCTTATAATCTACTATTATCAGCACAATATTTCCTACAAGTAACTTTTGTAATATTTATATGATGAATTTATAACCAGGATTTTAAATTCTCATTGGCTAAACAGGGTATAAATAAATGTCTGTGTATAATAAGTACCTTCTTGCCGTAATTATAGTGAAGATTATTAATTATTTCTCCATCGTTTATTCATCAATTTATTCTTGAAAGACTGAGGTCATGAACATCTTGAGGCGGCGACAAGAGCTAAATAATTCAAAGTTTTCGTAATTCCATTCTGTTATTTTGATTAAACGGTATTCAGATGACAATTGGAGAGATAATGTTAACAGCCTTCGTCCGTTAAGATTGTTTAACGATCGGCGGCCGTTAACTGTTCCATAACAGCACGATGTTGCGATTTTTCTGTAGACACGTGGTTTGATCTTTCCTTGGAATCAAAATATAATCTTTCAGCGAGATTACGGAACGTCTTGAACGACACACGACCGATACTCAAATAACAAATTCGGTTGTTATAATCCTCGGTGGCGCCTCGGATTACAATATTCAACCTCATCCGTTAATTGCTACATATCGGCCTTGTATCCTAATTTCGTAAATCTATCAAAAACCTATAGTAAATATTGCAAGATAGAGTGTCCATATGTAGGGCATATTCGTACGAAATTTAAATGAAAGTTTCTAATAATTCAACTTTACCAATTATTAACGATTTTTGCAGAAGTATCAATCAATTTTGGAAATTTAGACCGACATCGGCCGAGTCACTGATACGATTGACAGATACATTATTCATGTTGGAGCTTCGATCCTATAGTATGATTAAACTTCTCTAGCTCATGGAAATTGTCAGACAATGTTACAACATTTCGTTTTCATAATTGCGATTGAAAAGGTCTTGAAAATCATCTGAAATCACTTTCGTGTCATCTATTTATATCACAGCTTCAGAATCGTGGACTAATTAAAGCACGTGTGATATTTAGTGAAAAGTTTATACACCCAGTATACATATTGAGTATTAATAATAAATTCATATAATTATGAATAGTGTAGAGACACTGGATCAGATTAAATTTGGAAGGTTTTTTAGCCAAGGTCATTCTGGGAATCTGGTAGATTTGGAAATTCCGTTCAGGAGTAGGTATCGGTGCCATACTTGTTAATTATGTTACTGACTCCATATCTATTTGTAATTCGCGTTTGTAGATAAGCAAGAGGTTATTCTCTCAAACTGTATATCAAATTTCAACTTTCACATAATTTTGATAATGAAGTGGCATCGATTGTTGAATTTCCATAACTAGAACTATAATTAAATAATGAACCATCATTACGTTATTGCTTAGATAGAGTTGTTCTAGAATATTTTTCAGTCCACATTGTTGCAATAAACGAAGAAGTCATGTTTCATTTCATTTTATTCATCAATTTCCTATTCATCTCACTATTCTGGTTCGGTGATAGTACGAAGGTATGAATCTGGTCAATCTGATGGTGATATCAAAGCTTATTCGTTATTTATCGGATAACAATTTAGGTTCCCCATGAGTTGATTGTGAATTTGGTAAAACCGAATGGTAAGATACGAGGTCACATTTTGAAAAGCAGTCAAGGAAAGGATTTCTATGCATTTCAAGATATACCGTTTGCAGCACCTCCAATAGGAAAAAGAAGATTCAAAGTAAGTAAATCCATCTATTTCACCTTTAAATAAACAGTGGTGTTTCGAAGGGGACTTTCCATGGATCAATTCAACATTATTTCGATAGTTGGTTTGATAATGATTATACATTTTACAAGAAAACACATTTTTTTGTTTATTATTTTAGTTCAATTAGTAGGTATTAATTGATTATTGATTAGTATTTATTGATAAAATATTTGAATGTAGTATAATTACTTTCAATATTCCAATTTGAGTGATGTTTTGTTGGTAGATTTGGTACTTTATTGTCCTATTTTGAAGATACGATTCGAAAGGTTCCTTATAATGCCTCAGAGTCCAATAATGATTAAACATTTTCCAAATATTTTATGTGGTCATCAAATGCATGCCTTCATCAAACCCTTTTGGAATTGCTTTTATCATTTTACTCATTTCTGTGATTTTTTCAGGCACCCCAATACCATGATGGATGGGATGGCATTTTGAACGTGACTGATAACAAAAAAATTTGCATTCAGTTTCACCCTTCTCGTAGTGAACCATTGGAAGGGGAAACGGAGGATTGTTTGGTCTTAAACGTTTATTCTCCAGCGGTAATTGCCAATAATAATAATTAATTTTCTTAACTTCAAAGTAGTAGAAAACATCAGTACACTGTCGCAAACCGGTTTTCTCCTCAGAGATGTGTACATTTTTTGAATAATTATTGAAATTCATGATATTTCATAACATGAGCAACTTATATAAGTACAGATTGTTTCCCCGATTGTTATACATAGGGCATGTAAATGGCAACATAGCAAGAGATATTGATTCTGCTATCTCCTCCGTAGCTAAATTACCATATGCCATTATTACTTGATACTCCTATATGGAACGATTCGATGAAAAATCAGTATACGATACGACTTATGTATGGTGTGTACCTTATTTTAGTACACTCCTACTGTGGAAGTGAATTTATTTCTATGTGGAATGAAACAAAATATATTCGTGATGATTTTCAATGACTAAAGCGATCAATCAAAAGAGATATATAACAAAAATTCGACTAACATTGGGTCAAAATATTGATAGAGGGAATCACACGTATGTCATACATATCACACTCGAATTGACACTCCTATTAAATTCACAGTGACTGCTATTACGGACCTTTCTGGTCATTTGTTACCTTGCCAGACATGAATGCAACATCCAATGAAAGTTTGTGTTTACTGAGATATACATTTTGAATTGTTTTTTGGTTGAATTGCATTTTTTTCCAGTTTCAATAATTATTATTCTTCCAAATGGATTAAATAACCATAACATATCATGAAATGACAACTCATGACTTCTTAACGTTCACAAAATAACGTGGTTGGGGAATTTTTATCATCTGAGTAGCAAGTAGGTTTCAATTCACATAATCGATCACAAATGACTTTGCGGATCAACAGAAATATTTTTCTTTTCGAGAAACCTGGATCAAAATCTTCCCTGCCAGTTTTGTTCTGGGTTCATGGAGGTGGTTACTTCGAAGGATCAGCTCGTATAGAGAATTACAACCCTAGTTATTTCATAGACGAAAACATCATAGTCGTAACCATCAACTATCGTCTTGGTCCACTAGGTATATATTTCTTCTCTTATTCTTTTCCCTCGATGACCGATCTCAAATTTTGGTTCTCCTCAATATGGTCCTGAGCAATTAATCTCTCAGAAATATCAATAGTTTCACGATTTATATTCTGTTATCTCCCATAACAATCTAAATGTAGCAAAATTTAATATTGGTCAACGAATAAGAAAATGCAAGCGTGTCGAATTGGGACACACTGTGTACTGTGGTCTGCCGATCGAGTCAGTGGTGGTTATGAGATGATATTTCTAGGTTTCCTATCGACTGGAGATGACGTCATCCCTGGTAACATGGGTCTGAAAGACCAACACCTTGCCTTGGCTTGGACCGCAGAAAACATCCACTTGTTTGGAGGAGATGCTGAAAAAATTGTTATTGCAGCTCATAGTGCCGGAGCTTACGCAATTGGTTTCCAGGTACTCAGTGAAAGGAATAGAGGTGAGCCATGAAAAATAGTTATTTATACAAAGAGGGGGTCGAAAACGACAGAAAAACAGCTATACTTTCCTGGCAATATGCCAGGAGGAATATTCAATAACATCCTCCCGATATCTATGCAACGATTCGTAAAGACGGATATACAGATGTAAGTGATTATTTCCTAAATTCTGAGCTGTGCTCAAATTGTCCAGGAACGCTTGACTATCTACAGACCGGTTTCGTGCTTTTAGCTCTCATCAGTGAAGGGGTGTCCCAGATTGCATTATCTATACACTGAGGTAGTCAATAATATCCTTTATTTACAAGGTGCCAGGAAAAAAAGAATTGTTGAATCAAGCAAAATGAAGTTGAATGAAGCAAATAAAAGTGTCATATATGCACGACAAAATATAGTTTAGAAATGAGTTAATCTATATCATGTTTCAGAGCGAATTTGAAGTTTGAATTAAGTAAATATGTCTTGCATGAACTCTGGATCTTATTCAATAAAGCACATTCATTAATTGTTTACAAAGAGATATTGAATTGGCTCAAACAATCTTTACGTTTCATTCGAAATAACAAGTTATTGATTCAAAGAAATATTTGGTTGATTCAATCGATTATTTGGTTGATTCAATGAAATATTTGGTTAATTCAAGGAAATATTTTTTGATTCAATGAAATATTTTGTTGATTCAAGAGTATTTCCATTCGACAAATTTTTTTGTTGAACCAAATTCAGTATTAATTCGAAAATTTTCTGAAATTGCACATCAATAGAATCAACTAAACTAGGAAACTATAGTCGACTTCTAGCATATATATCCAGACTTTACTTCTCTTCAGCTGATGCAAAACTATTTCTTGAGAAAGCCATATATTTTGTTGATTGAATTGATATCATACTGTTGATTCAATTAGACTACATTCTTGATTTGAACAAGCTGCTTCCATGAAATAATCATGTATCTGGTTGATTCAACTAAAAATTGCTCAGTCCAACAAAAATAATTCAGGCTTAAATAATTTGTTGATGCAACAAATCCTTTTTTCCGTGTGTATATAAAATATTGTTTTCACCACTAGCAATATATTTCAATCGTTATAGTTCTGTGGAACTGAAATATGGACATATTGTCACTATGGAAGCATTTCTTTTCACTTCTAATTAAAATCTAGTAGTCATGACCACGGAAGGAAATGACAAATCATTATTGACAAATACCTACCAGATTAGAGGGACATTCCTGCGAATCTCGCATCAGAACAGTAGAGGGGAGTATGTATATACAGCCTTTACGTCTTGAAAAGGAGTAAATAATGGTAGGTTCTATAGGTAGTGTTGAAAGAACTCGTATATTTATGCAATCTTACATTCTAATTTTATCTTGTGATCCATTATGAGCTAACCTGAAATCTATTGACGTAGGTACTAAAGTTCTATAACAACTGGCAAATTATGATTTCTGCGCTCATTACCAAATTTGTTGAGTATATAATATACTAATGCAAATGTTCTATATCATTTTTGTGAATCCTCCTGATTGTAAACTATTGTTCACACTTCACAGGTCTATTCAGAGGAGTGATTCAACAAAGTGGATCCCCACTAGTAGACACAGGGTTTCAGACCGATCCAAAACAGTATGCTGTTCAGCTGATACAGAAATTAGACCAGACTGGCATATTCGACCCAAAGAACTCCACTAGACATGTTGAGATCCTCCAGAATGCACCAATAGATGAAATCAGGAGAGTCACCAAAACGGTAGGCAGAAGAAATTCGATGAAGTTTTTCCTAATGTTATCCTGAACACGAGCTGCTATTGCGTTAATTTGTTCCACCACTGTGAATTTGTTTTTCCTACGCATTATTTTCCGCATTATTTTCACTACCAAGGTGGATTTCGTCATTTTATGAGGCCATAGACACCTCTGTTATGAATAACCCGAATTTACTGATGCGAGATTCGCAGATATATCCTCTCGAATAGATATTAGGTATTTATCAAAACGACTTGTTGTCATGCTCAGTCATGATTACTAGATTTTAATTGGAATTGAAAATGAGTGCTTTCATAGTGACAATATATCCATATTTCAGTTTCACAGAACTATAATGAATGAAATATATTGCTAGTGATGAAAAAATATAATATACACCTTGGTAGTAAAGACGGGACCTGAAGCCTAAGGATATAATCTTGGTCCCAGGGTAATCATGATATTCTTTACTACCTTGCTGTATTAATAACTATTCATCTACAGATTGTGGGCAGAGAATCTCAAAACGGTTTCATGCCCTTCATGATATGGGCTCCAGTAATGGAAAACAAGCAATCAAATGAAGCTATAGTGACTGCCCCGATGAGGCAGGCGTTTCAGGAGGGTGACTTCAATTTGGTTCCTACTCTCATGGGCATAGCTTCTGAAGAAGCATTGTACTTTTTGCCAGGTATGTCCGAGAGAATTCATGGATGTAGATCACATTAGAAAACTCTTCCAGATCCTTCGTTTGATGAGTCAGCACAGCGGTACGACAAGGACTCAGGTCTGCTGATCCATCCTAGATTGAACATCAAATATGAGGATACGAAGATGGTTGGCAGTTTGTTGAAAGCAGTGTACACATCATCAACATTTTTCGAAGACAAATATGCCTTTGTTAAGGTGAGAATTTCATAAGGAAACATCTGCATAGATAAAATAAATTGTTGTGATTTATGTTCTCATTCTCGTTTTTTTTTGCTCTCAGTTCACCAGTGATGTTGTTTTTTCGAGAGCTGTTATTGAACAAGCACAACTCATGGCTAGATATGTACCTGTATACTTGTATCAGTTCTGTCTTAGACAGAGTGGTAATTATTCTCATCCAGGTATGGAATTTTTCCAAATAACTTTGATATCGTGTTCTGAAGATGAATATCGTATTTATTGTTATTATTATCGAAGGTGCCCCTCATACATCTGAATTACCATATATTTGGTATAATGGAAAAGTAGAATCGAATTTAGAGGAAGATGGTAGAATCCAAATGATCAGGATGTGGACCAACTTCATAAAATATTTGTGAGCTTTATCCTTATTTGATAATGGAGCATTGATTGATAATAACATATATTTATTTCAAATTTTAGAAATCCCACACCGGAGAAAGATTTCTTGCTACAAAATATTGAATGGCCAAGACTGGATTCGACGACTATGGAATATTTGAACATCAACAAAACGCTAAGTATAGAAACCAACCCAAGAAATTATAATGAAATGAGAAAAATTTTGAATGTTTATGTACAGCAACCTTATAATGTATATTAGTATATTGGATCTTTCTTTTATTTTATTCAGACCAGGGAAGAGTCCCTCTTATCCTGATATCTATTATGGAACAAAATAAAAACGGTATTGAAGTTTGATGCGAACAGCCCTTCTGTCCCAAATAAGTTTCAGAAATACATTCTGAGAATTGAAAGAGATCGAACGGAATAAATAAATATCATAAACTTGAGAATAGTAAATTTGGTCATAATGTCGATATTTTCCCTAGTTTATGGACAATCTCGGTCTTTTGAACTTTGATTGATCACCTGGGTCATAATCAACTGCATTTCGAAGAAGCTGATTCTCATGAACCTCAGCTTTTTCGAAAGTCTTGATGTTTCGTTCTTTAATGACTGACACGATTGATGGGAGTTTCAGATCCCTGGCGATCTGGTTATTCCGAACATACCAAGGAGATCCTGTCACCATTCTCGCGATTTTGTTTTGTAATGTTTGTAATCTGGTGATATGAGATTTAGCTGTGTGGCCCCAGACTACTGAGGCATACAGTAAAATTGGCCTGATAGCCATGATATAAATATTCAATTTTTGTCTCAAACCCAATTTACTTCGTCTGTTTAGAAATGGATACAGGGCTCCAATGGCTCGTTTAGCTTTAGAAACTTGCTGTTCAATGTGCTGGGCCCAGGTGAGCTTTTTGTCAATGCACACACCTAAGTATTTAACTTGTGGAGACCACTCTAACTCATGACCATCCAGGACTATTCTGGTCCTGGGAGGCCTCCGCTCCCTTCCGAGTGCGACCAATTGTGTTTTTGTAGGATTTAATTTGATCTTCCATCTTAGGAAGTACTCCTGAAGAGAATTCAGTGCGCTTTGGAGGTTCATAGCTGCTTGCTCGAAATTTGTCGAATATGCAAGAACTGCCGTATCATCAGCAAAAAGCGACATCTTGCACATCACTGGTCTTGGCAAATCACTAGTATATAAACTGTACAACAGCGGAGATAAAACTGCACCCTGAGGAACACCAGCTTCAATGGGCTTGATACCAGATCGTTGATCATCAAGTTTTACTTGAAAAGTTCGATTTTTCAGAAATGAACACATCAACTGAATCAAATCGTCAGGAAAGCCCATATCGATCATTTTGTATAAGATACCATCATGCCACACCTTGTCAAATGCTTTCGCTATGTCAAGGAGAGCAAGATGGGTCTTTTGTCTATCATTTCTCAACGATATTGTGTTCTCAATGAGTCTCAAGACTTGTAGTTCAGTTGAGTGGCCAGTTCTGAAACCGAACTGCTCATCTGGTATAAGCCCGTTGTCGTCGATAAATTCCTGTAATCTCTGTTTAATCACTCGCTCAGTTATTTTAGATGGAGAGCACAAGAGACTGATAGGACGATAGCTCTGCGGAAGAGCATTATCCTGGCCTTGCTTCTTAAGCATCACTACTTCGGCATGCTTCCATCTTTGAGGGAAATATAATAGTTTCAATATGGCGTTGATGATTTTACATAAGTAAGTGATGAAATTACCAGGAATCCTTTTCAATATTCTGTTTGTAATTCCATCATTACCTGGAGCTTTCCTGAGTTTTTGTGCTTTGATGTAGCCGATTATTTCATCCGTAGAGGCAGGCCTTATTCTTAAATCGTGAACATCATTATTCAAATGGGCCAGGACTACTCGCTCCACAGAACCATCCCATTCCTGATCATACTCCTGCGACTCATTCAACTTGAATTGTGATACAAGTGACTCAGCAAAGACTTCGGCTTTTTCGGCAGTGCTGTACTTGACTCCGTTCTCCCCTCTTAGAGGAGGTATGACGGTTTTCTTATTCTTAACTCTTTTGATCAACTTCCAAAGATTATCAGGACCTTCATCCAAATTTTCCAGTGTGGTCTGCCATCTTGAGTTTCTGAAATTATCAATCTCAGTTCTCACGATATTACGAGCTTCGTTATATTCCAATTTATGAGGACGATAGAGAGTTCTCATGGCTCTTCGTTTTAATCTATTTCTTTCTCTTATGAGATTTTTCAAGTAAATTGGGAATTCATTAGCTTGAAAACTGGTAATATTTGTTATATGGGTGTTATTATTCAAAGCTGTGAGAACTTTCTGTTCGAAGTCAATCACAGCACTGTCAATTTTTCGAGGAGTGTCGAGTTCCTCAGGGGGGACTTCAACATCTTCCAAATCTCGCATGAAGTCTATCCAGAAGACCTTCCTGCGTTGAAAGATTTCATCTCTTGGAACGTGATCTCCCAGCACCAGAAAAACCGGATTATGATCAGAAGTCATGGTACTAAGAGTGAATATCTCACTATACCAAGGAATATTCATCACAAGAAAAATATCCAAGACATCTGCTGAATTGTTCCCGAATTGGTAGTGAGTGGGCTCATCAGGACCGAGAACCATGTATTCATTTCTATCAGAGTGCAGTCTCAGTAGTCTACCACTTGCGTTGGTGACACGACTCCAGTCAGTATGTTTGGCATTCAAATCGCCACCAACTACCATAATCCTTCCGTCATCAGACGTCAAAGCATCCAGATTCTCAGCAGATAAAACTCCGTTTGGAGGTTTATATACTGAAATACATCTAACTATGCCCCTAGAAGAGTGTAATTCTAGACCCACAGCCTCTAATGGAATGGTTACCCCTACATCGATCTGAGTGAATTTCAATGATCTTTTTATGTATATGGCAACTCCACCTTTGGGACGCCCTGTCCTATCTTTCCTGATTGAATTATAACTTTGTAGGTTCAGAATTTCACCCTTCAAGTGAGTTTCCTGCACTAGAGCAATATCGACATTATTTTGAAACAGAAAATTTTCGAAATCTAGTTTTTTGCTTGAGAGTCCATTAGCATTCCAGGTTACAATCTTCAATGCCTCTGGAATCATAATATTTATTTTCCTATAGCAGTATTGGCGTTGATACCGAGCGTCTCGGCAATACCTGTAAATTTACGGAATATCTCCTTTATCTGCTCCAAGGCAGTGAAGATGTCCCCTGGTTCGCTAGTGGATTTCAAAGCATTAGCGTAACTCCGACTTCCCGACTGATGTGAATTCTGAGAACTTGACTTGACCGGCCTTGAAGTCACATTACTTTTCCTTACAGGAAATGCCTCGCACCCCCTGAAGCTAGCAGGATGCGCGCCGCCACAGTTAGCACACTTGGCTTTAGTCGAGCTATCCTTCTGACAATTAGCTGTCAAATGATTACCGCTACATTTAACGCATCTCGGATCAGCAGAACATCTCGACTGTGCGTGTCCGAATTTTTGGCAGCGATGACACTGCCCTACCTGTGCCTTGGGTCTTTGGGGTTCTACCTTGATGGTCAAGCCAACCAACCTTGTTATATCATAAATTTCACGATTTTTCTCAGTTTTTGGCAACAGAACCAGGACTATAGGCATTGCAGTGCCATCGCGGCGCTTCATACGATGTACTGATGTGACTTCAAAGCCCCTCTCAGTCAACTCCTCTGATATATCATCCGGCTCGATGTGTTCCGAGACGTTCCTGAGTACAACTCTCAGTGATTTCTCGTCTGGCAACTGATAGGTATGAAACGGATACTTTTTATTATCTAAAAGTCGAGTGAGTGCCCTGAATGAATCAGGGCTGTCGCAGAAAACCTTGATACCTTCCGTTGTATTGACTGCTTTAAAATAGTTGATTTGCAGGGTTGGTAGCTCTTTGGAAAGACTTGTCCATTTAGTTTTATCTCTCAAAATGATAGGAGGGACTCTTACCTGGTGATTATCTACATTTTGATTAACAGATACATTATTTTTGTCTATTTTAGTAGGAATTGAATCTCGTAGACTACTACTTGAGGGCTTGTGTTGCGAATTCATTGGGACCTTTGATCCCTGTCGCTTCAACTGGACAGAATTCTGCTGAAATTGGCTCATTTGGGGCATTTGGGGCGATCTTGATCTTGATCTCAATTCTGAATTGAAGTAGGGACAGGAAATATCATCTCTGACATTTCTATCAGACAGTGATTTTCTTGCTCTGACGGACTTTTGTGAAGAGGATGACTTCACAGAAGAACATTCCGACATCTCATCGTCTTGTAACTTACTCAGTTGGTCGAATCGGTTACTCAGAGGAATCATTGGAAATTCCTTCTCGTAATTAGTCTCATGTAAGTCATTTGTGTCCTGAAATGGCCTCTTACCATATTTCGGAAGATGATCGGACTGTGGCTGATCGCTTACAGGACGGATAGACAGCTGGTTATGGGGGTTAAGTTTATTGAGTCTCTCCAATATTTGATGTAGTAGTGTGACTAGAGAGTCACCATCAAGGTCTTCTGGCAGATTCAACATGTTTCCCGGCGAAGAGTAACCGGAAAACTCGCTTCTAATTAAATTCGTATTAGTCTGACAGGAGCGTGATAAAAATGCGACCGTTCTCTTGACAGACAGAACGCGAATATAAGTATATTAGTAGGACGAACATTGAATTACAAAGTTTGAGTCTATTTTTCTCTTAGAAAATCAAGAGGCAATGACTATTCCAACCACACAATACTTTCTATCCACTGTAGATAGTTAGAAACCCTGGTGTACACTCCTGGATTATTTTTGGCAAGACCACAGCCTTTACCAAAAGATGTCACACCAATAATTTCGTACATACATTTGATGTCTTCGGTATCTTCGTGGTAAATTTGGAGGGGACCACCGGAATCACCCTGTAAAAAAAACTTTAGGTCAACTAATTTTAGGAGATTGATAACCATCAAAAACTATCTCGTACTTCTAAGATGCCTCTGAAAAACTAATGGATGTATCTTATCAAATACAAAAATATACTCAAAACACCACAATACTATCAGAGGCCTGAATCCTATTTCGGCAATTGAGTTGCTATCTTCAGTAGAACGAAATAAAGACTAACTGACTCTTGTATACACTCCCTGACAATTAATGAATTCTGGACAATGATGATTCAAGTCAATTTCAGACGCCAATGACTTCTTTGATGTTCATCTTATTTGGTAAAACTTTCAGAAGAGTATGGATATTTCTTTCGAAATGTGTGAGCTTTTCTTAACAAATTGTTTTTGTATCCACGTCGATATCTGCTTTGTATAAGAAGATGCAAATTCTTCAAGAAGTAGTAAAGTAGTAAAGTAGCACAATCACACGCATATCCAGGCCTATACTTGTCAGGAATACTTCCATCAAATTGTCCCTACTCACCCTACAAGTATCCTTCAAGCCTTGCTAGACCCAGAACAAACCGTCCCATCATAACATATTTCCCTACTCAATTTTGATACATACTCTATCATAATTCTCCTATAGGTCCAATCACACCCTATCGGCCCGTACAGCTTTATAATATAGCACTACCTTCTAGAGACTAGGGCTGTAATCAGCAAAATAGCTTCGTGAGAGAATACGCAAATTCTGTGAGAAGTAGTAAACTTCTTAGTAATAGTAAGTAGCACACTCACACTCACACTCACATACAGGCCCAGACTAGTCAGGGATACTTCCAGCGAATCGTCCCAAGAACTTATAACCTCCCAAACAAAAATCCAAGACCTACTTCCTCTCCCTATTCTTCCTAGTTACGCACGGTTTTCTTCAACATTATAGGAACTTTCTTTCGTGCGCTCCAAGAGATAAAAAAACTCACCCTACATGTATCCTTCAAGTCCTTGCTAGACCCAGCACAAATCATCATATCATCCACTATTCCCCTACTCAATTTCGAACCATACTCCATCATCACTCTCCTATACGTCCGATTACACTCTATTGGCCCGTACAGCTCCAGCACTACCTTCAAGAGACTAGGGCTGGGATCAGCAAAATACCCAATGGCGCCCCACCCGGAGGCTATGACTTGGGTCTGGGAGATGACCTTTCCATCAAAGAGGCACGCTGGTCTAGCATACGGGTTCATTTCGAACGGTCTGGCTAGCCTCAGGAGGCCTATGTCGTGGTAATGCTTGCCAGGTTCGTACTGGGGGTGGGGGTAAACCTCTGCTACAGCGCGTTGCTGCATGTGGGCCTTATCCGTAAGGACTGTTATGCCAGTTCTAACATACTTCGGTGAGCTGAGAAATTATGGAACAGAATATCAGTGCCTACGTGAGTTTCATGTTTGAATTAGATCGTTGCTTACCTGTCTTGATGTTGGACACAGTGGGCTGCTGTCAACACGAAGCGTTCACTTATCAATGATCCACCGCAATCCCAAGATATTAATTCAGATCTATCATATTTGAATCCGATTTGAGCCTAGAACAAAAACGGAAATGTTTCGAACGTCTTCTCTCTCTATCTTTCGGAGATTATCATTCACCATATGAGGAAATTCTTTGACAACTGCTGGTGTCCCTCCACTTATCATTTGTTGTATGTCGAATGCACAGTCCAGTGTTTTAGTCAATTGCGTCATCAGAGAAAGAGTATCGGACTGTTGTTCCTCCCATGCATATTTGGAATATTCTAAGCATTCTGAAATAATAATTATTTCCCAATGAATTATATTTGAGTGCTGGAATTGCTGTTTGAATTAATGGAAATCTTGTCTGTACATGATATTAGGACACTTACTTGCCTTGCTAATTTTGCCTACTTTATTAGCAGTCGTATGTTGCTCAGTACCTGATGACTTCCTCAGTTCTCCAGGAACTGAAGGGATGACGATAGGATTGAACGAAGTTATTGTTTTGCAACAAACGATCGTCATTGTCCCAATGAATCCACATATTTCCGGAAATATTGATTTCTTAAGGGCATCTTTCGCTGACTGGCATTCTGACAAAAATTTGCATGTACCCTTTGAGCCATCTTTGAGTTTGCATGGAGGTTCTTAAAAAAATAATTGATATAATTATCACAATTTATTGAGAGATATACCTATGCACAACATTTCACGACTGTTTTACATGATTTAGCAAAAAAATAACGAAAATAACGTAAGGCTGGCTGCTAAAGCTGATTTTCTGCCCTTATGACACAATATACTATTTTCATCAATGCCCATTTTCCCGAAATATAGCTTCGACTACAAGTCCTTCAATTTATGATATTTGCCACTGAATCAACATAATTGTTTGTTTTGTTTTTCGGGATTATCGTACCTGATTTTGATTCGGAATGGGCTGAATGTTTACCTATCAAAAATAAACAAATTATCGCAAGATGTCGCGTCTTATTTATGCACAATTTTACTTTCATCTTATACTGACCATTTCTACTTGTATTTTGATGAATTCTTCGCTTGTTAATTATCTCAGGCTTAACCTTTTAACCTTTTATCATTCCTGTTAATTTCTTCCTTCTACAGTCACATTGAAAATAATCAATACGTAAAAAATAGTAGATTATACACCGAGAGAGTATTGAAGTGCAATATTTTTTCCCGGGGTGCTCTTGTAGCCACTTAGACAAAAAAGTACTCATTTCCGAGGAGTGATGCATTATACTATGTTTTGACCCTCCGAACTGAAATAATCTTGAAATATAATCAATTGTCAATATGACATACCTGATTACCAAAAATGAAAATCTGGATGGCACACAAAGTTAAGTTTGATTATTATGACGACTGAAGTTTTTAAAACTAAAAAATGGAAAAAATTTGGATTTATTGCCAGAAAAATCCCAGAAAATTTACGAAAAGTGCTTATTTACCCAAGCGAGTAAATGGCTCACTTTACTCCTGCTTTTGTAGGAGTAAAATCGCGTATCATATACACTATATACAGGGTGATCCACGGTGGATGGCCTATTAGAAGTATCTGGAGAACGAAAAGACAGAACATTCTGAGAATTGGGATGCTTTGATAAATGAACATTCTCTATCCGTCTAAATCTAAAATATTTTCATTGATACAGTGTTGCCACTTCTATCAGAAACAACTAGCAACTTTGTTATTTCAAATGAAACACCCTGTATTTTATTGCATTTTTTTAATTTTTCCTGAAGAGCTGATTTCATCAATGTATCACACTTGGGGTCTAGCAGGACAGAGATATAGGGTGTTCAAAATCGAGATTTTCCAATTTTAAGATTTTTTTTGTGTCGGAACTATTCAATATCGATCAAACCGGCTTACATGTCCCTATCTTAACTTTTGATTCACTATCTACTGGAATCTAATTGGAAAAAATACAGGTTGCTTCAAGATTCAGAATTCTATCACCCTGTATCTGTTCTCTTAATAGGCCATCCACCTACCATATGTAGGTATAACTAAACTCTTATCCTATATAATTTTCAAATCATCGTACAATTATTTTATCATTTACTGGAGTAGGTATTCTCTATGAAGAATTAAAAATAATGGAAAGTCAATATCGCATCCATGAATTTGAAACTATACTTATACTACTACCTACTACCTAACACCTTTATTTAACTATATACTAGAAGAGCTGCCCCTTTTTTATTTTACGGCGCTCATGGAATAAGGTAGAATAATTATTATTGTTGTCATATTTAATCGTCAATTCAAATTCATGTTGTATTATTTTTTTAATCTTCTAGTTCAAGATAAGTACCTACTCAACCCTCCTACCCACTATGAACTATATAACAGGTCCCACTTTGATTTTCTAGGGCCTGGGTTGTGTCTAATTGATTCTGGATACAGGACCGTATTTCGAAATTTGAACTGTCAGGAACAAAATGAAATTGTAAGATTTATTAAAATGACATTCAAAGTAGTATCTGAATTTTAGATATTCTGGAAAATTTCAGGATTTTGTCGTCCATCATTTATTGGGACAAATAATATATCTTCAACAGTATTCATTGTATTGAGTGAGCATTTTCTGGCACATGTTCATCACTTTATGACCCCTTTTTTTGCAAATGTTGCAGATACATATACGATATTGAGAAAACTAAAATAAAAACAAAATTTTTTTCATTCGGCTACTTGCCGATCATCCATTTGGATACATGAAACTGAAATTGTTGTAATAATTATTAATTTAACCTTCTAATATCGTGAGTTTTTTTGGGATGATTTTTTTAAACTCAATAAAATTATTGGAAATCTTCTGGGACCGATTAGGATATGGAAAATATTCTGATAATATCAGCCTATCAAGCATCGAAATGTCATTGTATTCGGGCCACAGAGCCAACTTCATGTATTTCAATAAAATGCAGATTAACAGCTAATTAATGAACGAATATCAAATTGTAATACATATTTGAATAGAAAATTATAAGGCGAATAAGACAGACTACAGAAATATACAGGGTACCTTTTGAAAAAAAAAGTTGGGTCCACTTCTAATCAGACAGGTGGTTGGGAAAGATTGTCATTGGGTTCAAGGGAAGCGCCATGAACGATAATATAACCCTTGTGAATCTCAAATTTTTATCTCTCCAAATAAAAAAACTACAAGCTGTTATATGTCTCCTGATAAACATTTTGTTGATTTGATGAAATAATGATCATTTTGATTAGAATATATCTTTGAAACATACAAGTTTTCTTATTCCGATGTAGCAATGAACCCGTTTTCAACGGATCATTTGCTTGAATAGAGCAACAAAATATGTAATATCAATTAAATATTTTGTTTATTCTACATCAAGTTACATTTTCGCCTCTAGATGGCGATCATTTCGCCTCGTCTATGCATGCCTCGAATTCATATTATACGTGAGACCGGATTCTTCGTCTTTGAAATATCAGCTGGATAAATCGAACTTAGGATGATTAGTAATCCGAAATAGTTTTGCCATTGTCGATCTAAATGAAAACCATTTAGATCGACAATGGTTTTGCATCAGCTGAAGGGAAGTAAAGACTGGAGATCTATGCTAGAAGTCGACTAGTTTCCTAGTTTAGTTTATTCTTCTGATGTGAAATTTCAGAAAACTCTCGAATTAATACTGAATTTGATTCAACAAAACAATTTGTCGAATGATGATACAATTTCTCTTGAATCAACGAAATATTTCATTGAATCAACCAAATGATTCATTGAATCAACCAAATATTTCTTTGAATCAACCAAATATTTAATTGAATCAACTAAATATTTGATTGAATCAATATCTTGTTATTTTGAATCGAACAAAATGATTGTTTGAGTCGCAATTCAATATATCTTCATGAACAATTCATGGATGTGCTCGATTGAATAAGATCCAGAGTTCATTCAAAACATATTTACTCAATTCAAACTTCAAATTCGCTCTGAAACAAGATAATCTGTGATATAGATTTACTCATTTTCAGATTATATTTTGTCGTGCATATGACACTTTTATTTGCTTCATTCAATTCAATTCTGCTTGATTCAACAATTCCTTTTTTTTTTCGTGTAAGGATTAAATATGCTAAATTTTTGAATATGTGAGATTGTTCCAAAAATACAGCCCTGTACTAAGTGGAATGTTTTCCTTTACCTGCTGTGACGTTCAGACTCGAGAAACTGTAGTGATCAATATCCTCCCACTGTCCACAATAGGGATAGGCTAAGAATGTCCTAGAAATAGATTGCTCAATACATGTGGTAGAAATCACAATAGAAAAGAGAAGAAAAAAACGTGAGAATATTTTGTTTTGCTTCAATGTGAGAAAGAAGCTTCCAAGAAAAGTCTACTCGACCAGGTTATGACAGTATTGAATATTTTATTCTACAGCATGTTGAAGTTGGAAGTATTAATTTTTCATCATGATTACCCTGTATGAGCTTTCATTGTGGCTAAATTCAGTCTGACTGGTGACTGTAGAAAGCACCCATGCACTTTAAAATTTTGTAGTCAAATAATTTGTATTTATTTTTGTCGAAATCACTAAGCATGAAACATCTATTTCCAATTGATCAATCTAACAAAAATACAGAACAGAACAGAAAAAACAGTAACTTACCATAAATATCGAGAAATTTGCAAAAATACTTTTCAGCGATTGATACAAGAACGATTATGTAACTTTTTTCTTACAAGATGACAATAAGTAGTCCCTCCTGAATTTTTTCATTCTTAGTTTCATTTACACCCTAATTTATATACCGGGTGTCCCAGTATACCTGTTCCAATTAATTATCTCAGCCATTTCGAGAAATAAAAATTCGAAAAGCTCATGATCTCCAATTCGTTCAAGGAAGCTTCAACTGAGAAAAACAAAAATTGAAAGTCACTTCCGGTTTGACCGGAAATGACTCTAACTTCTTCATTTCAAATAGCACCCTGTATATTTTTTGCAATTTTTGATTTCTACTCAAAATTATCATTCCAACGATGTATCACTCTTCGTATTTTAAATCTGATTTGATGGAGAACATGACAATCGAAATTTCAAATTGAACGAATTGCAGTAGGCTACGATATTTTTATCATCTTGATTTTGACTTCAATAATAATTTCAAATTATTAAAATTGTAGTAGATCATGTAATTTTCAGATTTTCATCTCTCGAAATGGCTGAGATAATCTATTGGAACAGGTAAACTGGGACACGCGGTATATATATTTAGGCAGAAGATCGTTTACAATTAAATAACGAAATGATAATAATAATCGACAAAGTTATTCAACAAAATAGTACTTTAAACCAGAAGATACAAATGAAAAATAAATCAGGGTGTTACTACATTACTACTGTAAGTATATGGAGAATGAAAAATTAATGTATCTTTTCGACCGAATTTTCCTGAACGATTCGAAAGTTATATCAACAAAATATCAAGAAAATAAATGTACCCCTGAAACTGTTGGATTCTGTTCAGAAAAACGGAACTTCGTCTCGTGGGTGATGCCTCGCTCACAAACTCACTCACTTCTCTGGAACACCGTAGGAAAGTTGGCGATCTGACTCTTTTTCATAGATATTTTCATGGACGATGCTCTCCTGAAATATCAACAATTGTACCTCCCTTGGCAGTCCCCGCGATATTAACCGTCGAGTTGAGGCTTCGCACCCCTTCGTGATCACTTTGGAGACCTGCAGAACATCTCTTTCCAAAAACTCGTTCATCCAACGAACAGCGAGGCTCTGGAACACATTGCCAATGGAGGTGTTCCCCGAGGCATATGACCTCCAGAAATTTAAAAAGAACACCGATTCCTACCTTATTTCCCTTGGTTCTCACGATGTTCTCTGAACATTACAGAATATCCCTTTTCGTGGGAACCAGAACATAAAAAAAATGTACTATGAAGATTCTGCTCCACTTTATCAATCTCTACTCGGCATTAGAAATGAAAGGATAGATATAGGGTTTGGGCAAATAAATATTGTGAATAACAAAAGTTTCAACATCTTTATTTAACAAAATTCGCATAGAAACCTACAAAGGTACTGAAAAATAATATACAATTAGGAAATGGTAGGTAAATATGCACTTGCAACAAATCGAAATTACACATAGTCTTACGAAAGCAGTAAAATAGTAAAATAACATTACATAAAATGAATTATGATATATACAGTGGAATCATAAAAATTGATTGATAAAATTACACAACAACTCATAGGTAAGTATTTTGTAAACAAGAATTTGAATATCAAATTGACACAAAGTACTGGAAAATATAAGTATAATATGATAAACTAACAGGGATTACCAAACATATACTTACTTATTAGGCCATAACAGCTTCTGATATTCCTCAGAGTACATATATGTATATAAATCGCATTTACTTTTCAACAAGTCTCAGAAAAGCAATAAAAATAAAAACTAAACATATCAAACGGCATAATGATATTTACAGTGCATTTTATAAAAAGTGATGTGTAACAACATTAAATGTAGGTATCAGTTTTCAGTTAAGATATATTACACAAAGAAAAACGACAAAAAAATGCGTAAATTACATATATGTTAGTAAAAATGAGCATAATTTACCTTGGTCATATTTTGTACCACAAAAATACTAATTTATTTCTTAGAAATAAAAAATAGGTCAGATCTATATAAGAGCAATGAAGAAAAAATATATCAATAGATATTTGTGCTAATTTACTTACACATTTTTAAGTCGTTTCATAAGGAACTACCGTTTCTATCTTATATAATATCGTACAAAAATTTTCATCCAAAATGACTAAAATCTCCATATTTGCACAACTCCACACAATAATATAATAATTATCAGTCTTTTAAAAAGGTACAATTTCAGAAAAACCCACTCTAATCATACTTCCATTTGGCACCACAATTTAAATAAGTTAAGGTCGTTATTTCATATCACAGATTTCAGTTACAGACCAAACCAAATCAGAATCGTTAAACACATTTTCTTGAGGCCTCGGAAGAAGTAAAAACATTAATCATAAAACGCAGTGACCATCGATGAGATATCCAGGGAAATCAACTGCGTATTGGCAACACCGAATTCACGGAGGTTTCTGAGTCAGAGAGCTGAAACAAACAAAAAAAATTGATACACACTCTCGAAATAACATTGAAAAATAATGTTACTACTCAGTTACTGGGCAGGTGAAAACCAATTCATCAATAAATAAAATATATTTATCGCATTTTTCAATTAGGCCAAAGTTTATCGAGAATTTATTTTTTTTCGATTTTGATGACATTTAATCTACTTAGTGAACAATAATATTTTCCATTAAATTTATTTTTGAAAAGTGGCGTGTTCAAATACCACATAAATTATCATAATTATTAATAAAACACGATAATAAGTATATATACGAGGAGATTAATACTTTTAAATCCCTTGACTCTAAAAATCTAAATATATAATATACAATAGGTGTCTCATTTGAAACAAAACACCTAGAATAACCAGATTTTATTCATATTAGAGGGTCATTTTACAAGGGTATAACTTCTGGCAATGTTTCAAAATTTTCAGATGGAATAATGTGACTATAGGGCCTAGGGACATTTGAAAGATATGGAAATACAGGGTGTCCCATAAGTTATGGGGTGGTAGGGAGGCCATTACCAATCAAACTAACCATATATGTGGTTATCCAATCGTTTATGGTTCGAAAGTTATCATTTTTTTTCATTTCTCCATAAAATCTTGTACCTTATTTACTAAAAAGCCCCTACCAGCCCACTTCTCTTGATCCATTACTTATGGTACTGTATAGGACTTCCGTACCTCATTCCTTTTTGATGTGTTGAAAATATATTCGATATAGGTATCATTTTTCAAGATATTCATAGAGTACGTTACAAATGGGACACCCAGTACAAAGTAGAAACAGCGTACAAACATTCAGCAAATAATCTGTAATTAGCTAGTTGGCACTGCAAATGTCATTCTATAAATGTAGATCTTAGAACTCGCCAATTTATTTTTACTCCATATAAATTGAATTGATGATGATACTACACAGCATTATGAGAAAATATGCTTTCATGAACTTCCGAGTAGTTAGGAGTTGCTGGATTAGCCATGATTCCTCAAATGTTTGTACGCCGCTGATAGCCAATGATCTATAAAAAAATACTAACTATTTCTCGAGCTATTTCTACACCCAACAGCTGCCAAACAATCCCATATCAAAATCGGACCAGCAATCTACCAGTAAGGATTAGAGTTCTCTAAATGCGTCCAACTAGCAAACTCAGACCAAGAATCCAGCTTAGCTCGAACAGCATCCGTGCATTTTCTTATTACCTGAACTCCACCAGAACTTTCTTTCCCGCTCAGCGCTTCCTCGCCAAGCGACTTGTGCAGAGCAGCAGGAGCAGCCTTCTTCACCAAAACGTAATTTTTCTGATGATTGTTGTCCCAGTACTCCTTGCCGTCACACCTGAAGCAGACACAAAACTCCAGCATCTTGGACTTGGACGGAAGAGGTATTTTGAAGGAAAACGTGTCGTACAGCACGCTCACATTAGAAGCTATGTTATTTGGCACATAAACACAGAAGGCGTCCTCATAGCTCTTCCAGCCATTCAGCGACGATCTCACCACAACTTGCTTATGGAACGACAAGTTGCTGACCTTAACAGTGCCCATAATCACGCTGTCAGCCTCCTTCACGATAACATTCTCCAAAGATACCTTCTCTGTGTCCAACCGCTTCCTGAAAGCCAGATAGTCCGAAGCAGGCTGAGCGAAAGTGATCTCCCAGTTCTCCTCGTCTCCCACAGGGTCGGCATTGATCCCTTGAGTGACCTCTGCGAGGAACTTGTGGCTCCAGAAGGGCGGGACGTTAGAGGGCTCGGTCATAACCCTCACGTGCGTTAAGGACATGCCCTTGTCATCAGCGAAGACAACTTTCTTCTTCAGCCTGGTAGGACTAGTGGGATCCTCATCGCTGGAGAAGTTATCTTCGTTGGGGCGTATCACCAGACAAGGCCGTTTGGGGGAGGCTGGCATCTTGACGGAAGGTCTGGTTAGGCTGTTGAAGGAACCGGAGTGGTGCAGAGTCCTACAGGTGGCCATGGCTGCGCGTGGGAAGCTGTCTGCCTTGAATCTGAAGTCGTAGTCTGTGAGGAAGGCACCGGTTGGAGGGCTGTGAGAGAACACTGGCGGACTGTGCGAGACCAACATCTCGTACTCCATAGAACACATATATGCACCTGGAAGAGAGTTATTGTTGAAACTTTATTGGCTTTAAAAGGTGTAGTGGGTGTTCGAGCTATTGTTAGAAATCGATTAGGTAATCGAGGCATAGGTGTGTTGATATATACAGACAGTTTTCGGTGTAGCACTTCATACGAATGTTTGTTTTTTATGACCTTAGTGACTGTAATGGGTGAGTGGACTTAGAATGAATTATTGTCATTCAATCACTCCAATGAGGGTGTGCGTTGTTCGAAATTGTTGAATTTCGGAGCACATTTCAAACGTACCGTCATGACCACCATTTGGCGACAAGTCGAATAAATGCTGACGTCAGCTTTGATGCTGTTTCGATATTGGTCAGATAATCTTCCATCCCCCCTCACGAAGCAAGGTTGTCAAGTTATCAATTATAAGAAGAACCCATGATATACTCCATAACAAAATAGCATATAAATGTTGGAGACTTGGCAACATTGTGCTGAATGTTGAGAAGGGACAAGACCACGCCCACAAGTCTCGCGCACCGTGTTGTCACGTTCACCGCTTCAAATGTCCTCTGGTGTGAATTAATATAATTACTATTTACACAAAATTATAAGCCATAAGCCACAAATCATAAGACAATTGATTTTGGACTGCTAAATAGGAATATTACGAATACCTATATAATTGAGAAATTGAGAATTTATGAATGTTTGAATAACTAATATTTCTGAAGTTCCCAATCGTATTTCAACAAATGGCAACTGTGCTATGATCTGCTCCTACTCCTACGAAATCATGACAGTTTTTACGGTAAATTTTAATCCGTTTGAAAATCACCGTGGCATTATTGATGATTCAAGCACCTAAAAATCGACCGAAAAATTCTAAAAAAATATGAAATTGAAAGGTATTTGGGTGATGAATCCATTTCAGAAATAAATAAAAAATAGAAGTTTCACGAAAAAAATCGAATTCCTAATTACAGGGGGAAGGGGGGAAGGGATTAAATTTGCGTTTGTATATCCATGACCGCTGAAGGGAAAATAGTGGCTTCGATCCTATTTTTCGAAATTCATGATGGTATTCCCACTAGTTCATGACCTGTTGGATCTATATGAGCGATTATACTCGCATCATGACAAGTACAAATAGGTGTTTGGTCGTGCTTGTGAATGCATCATCGTCAATCAATATCACATAGAAAGCTTTGACATTTCCTCGTCATAAAGTTGGCTTCAAACATCGATTCCATTAAAATAACAATGCCAATAGTTTATTTTTACGTCTATGGAAGATGGTATTCAACGGTTTATATGCTCTTGGCATGTTTAATCCTAGTAATCATCAATAATAACAGATTAATATGAAGTGTCTACCAGCATCTAAAATACAAATCATTCAAAATATCTACTATACTTGAAGAAGTTAGTGATTTTGATTTTGCACAAGAATCTCAAAATCCAGTTCAACTTTCCTTTATATGCTTGTCTAGCCTACTTTGGATGAAAAATAAATTCTTCACAACAAATTCAAACATTTTTTTTCCAAATACTCATGCATTGTGGTTGAAATCAGCATGGGCCACAAATCAACCTCACTGAGATAAGCAAGCCTGGTTTAAGATTAAACACTGGTAAATTATTTGAATCATAATGTTGTTAAATTGTGGTAGTGGGAAAATTCTAATATTATTCATTGAAAAACACTAGGATTTCCATTCACTTATCAGCCTTATCACACAATCGGGGATTTTCAATTTTCCAATGATTGCCTATTGTTGCGTTTTATCATTCCAAAACCATCGCCAATAGTTGTCAGTTTGATTCATTGAAGTGCCTATGATAACCATCATTTCAATGGCTCGGCTGAAGTCTACTTAGCAAGTACCTATACGCAAAGGCGTCTCAAACTTGTTTGAGTGTTATCATATGCAGGTCTGGCCTGCCTGATTCCAATTCATTGCTTAGATATATAATTGTTCACTGCATACAATATTGATTACGGAGTTCTGAGAAGTCTCATCGAGAATTATTCCATTTAATATAAGTCAAACAGTTATTACAAAAATAACATTGACATGAAGGAGACTGCTAGTATATCTGGTTGATTCAATTTATTCATTCATTGATAATGAAGTAATTGATGAAACTGTTCTTCAGGGGATATCATGGGAGATACCAATTTGTTGCTTTTTGGTGTTTTGCGAATGCTCCTATTGTTGCTGCACATAACAAAACTGTTCGGAGACAGAACTCCAGCTGTAGTAGTGCCAAATATTCATATTATCATATTCCAGGTTATCATCCATTGGTAGAATTGAAATAGCTTGAACAGATTGATCATCGTGCTTTGAAACAATGGTAATTCCAAAAATGATGCTTGATAGTCCGAACAAAAATGATAATGCAAATTAATATGACAAGATTGGCAAGTGTCAAATTCAGGAAAATCTATAAATGCCAAATTTATTTCATCGTCTTACGGTATAGGCATCGTCCACTAATATTAGAATATTGGTGGACGATGGTATAGGTATCTATAAAGTACCAGTCTACCAGTTCTTTCATCAAAATGCGGGCTAATTATATTATGTACAGAGTGGTTTCGAAGTTAAAGGAAGAAGAAAGCAGAAAACAAAGTTAGTATCATAAAGTAGCTTGACGATAGGCACGATAGGTAACTTTTGACATGTAGCGAGTCACGTGTCCCCGATACTATCCATTTTTCATATTTTCCAAAGTAAAAAACTCTACGCACAAGTTGAATTTCGAAATAAATTACTACTAAAAGTTTTTCCCATATTATATGATGCCGACTTCATGAACGACACTGTATATCATGAGATATCATTCGTTCCTCGATTAATTATTCTTGTTTGGTAAGTTTTTATGACGACGATAATTTATTGATGCATTTATTTATTTTTTATATCATAGTAGAACATCGCAAAGGATAAAAACGCCCAGTCTATCGGGTCAAATACCATCATGCATTTCAAAATCAAACTCTCTGAATGGTCTTGAATGCTGTTCGAGGCCCAAATTCGGAAAGATGAAGAAACTTTTAAGAGGTTTGTCGCTACGCATTCTCATGGAGATGGCTTTTAGACGTTTTGATAGATTCCGACTTGTCCCAGGAAGATGATAAGATACAAAAAGGCCCTTTCACAAGGGATTATTGAAATTCACTGTCGAAAAATCAGAAAGATTAATAGGGGCAACGTATCTGAACCATTTTTCTTGACAGTTGACAGTAAGCCGACAATAAATCTGTTCGAACTAGAAATTGAAGATCTTTAAAAGGTACAGTTTTCTTCAGTGAACATGCTGTTGCGATTGGAATTGTCTTCATTGTAGTTTCATTCTTTGATTTGAAACCTTTCGCTCTGAACTCTCTATTTCAGAAAATGTTCGTTTGTTATTAATAACATTTAATGATAATGAAGCTTGAAAATATATGACTGCAAAAAAGTCATTTTTCCTTCCACAGAAATTAATAATAATCTGGTAGACATAATGATATGAGTAATGCGTTATTTTACTCGCGGAGTAAGAAATATCATAAACATTACGTCAAATACACGTATCTCGTTAGAAATAGAATGTTCAGTTATTTGTAACTTTTTCGATTAATCTATATTTACCGGGAATGTTTCCAAAATAGTCATACCCACTTTATGAATCACATTTATTTTAATATTCTGAAAGCTATAGTTATTTTTCAGAGCAATATTCACTTGGGAAATGAAAAAAATTAGAGATACTACAAACTAAAAATTGATTTTTGAATATTCCAACCTGTAAGTTATACAAAGGTTCAGCTCAATCACAGTCAATTAAGTATATTCGAAGGAATTTTTCTCCTGCGATTATGAAGTTATCCTACTATTATTATCATTATTATATTATCTAATTCAATTCGACGAAAATATTTTATTGCAATAATCTATGAGATTTAAAATTTTCCGAAGGATATAGATGATATCTTATCAGCGAGACGTCTAATCCTGATAAAATCTTTATCACATTTTGAAGCAGAATTCCATAAGATGAAAAACATCATCAGAAAATCGGAAAATTGCTCAATAAACAAAATTATCTTATGTTGTTTTGTTATTTATCCAGTTGATCTGTAATGCACCCTATTTTTATTATATTATATTGATTATCATTTATTACGAAATAAATAGTCATGATATAATGAAAATATGTATCTAGTAGTGATATGAACTGATTATTATTCGTTTAGAAAGTACAGCTGCCATAAAAACATGGACCAAAAGGAAAGTGATATTTTGAACTGATATCCTCGCTGATATCTTGGACTTTATTCCTAATGTTCTGTTGTCCTGTATCTTTCATCTCGATAACTATGTGAGGTTGAACATCCTGTATGATATTCATATGTGTAATTTCCAAATTAAAATTTCTGCTCATGAAATTTCTGAAAAAAACATCGCACGGAAAGAGTCAAAAACATGGTACGGTCCAATTTTTAGAATAAGGGTATGATTTCCAAATTGAAATTTAATTATAGATATTCGACAGGCATAATTTATAAAGATTTTCCTTATCTCCGTTCGCAAATAATTGTTTATTTTCATAGTTTATATGTTATCTCTCATAGTTTCTTATCGAGCAATGACATTTCAAGGAAGTTTTAGAGGACATAAAAAAATTTATTGAAATCATCAAATTTGATGAGAATTTACCTGTGACATTCAAAAATCTAGTAAATAACCTGTTCTAGACCAAAATAATTTTAGGTTGATGCGAATACCGACCCAATGAAACAAAAGGTTGCAAAGTTCGATATTTGGAAGTTATGATAAACGTCAAAAAAGTAGGTCAACACTCTGAGCTCTCGGAATTTTATCGGAATCTCTCATAGTTAACATATTTTTGTTCGATTTTGCGTAATGATTAGACACTTCACTACATTATGAAAAATTACATTTTTGATAACCTAATTTTCTTATATTCACGGGTATACAGTCGATAACGTTTTATATACGCAGTATTACAACTCA